TTACATCTCGTTCGGTTGTTTGGCGTTTATTTTAACTGGCATCGGCGCCGGCTGAGCTTGTTCCTGCGGTGGAGGATATTGGTTTGTTGGTGGTGGATAACTTAAGTAGGCCGGAGGAGCTTGACCGACACCTGGAGGAAGCTGATCGCAACCAGCTGGAGGAGGCTGGTTATAACCAGCTGGAGGAAGCTGGTTATAACCTGCTGGAGGAGGCAGGTTGTATCCTTCTGGAGGAGGCTGGTTGTAGTTCACCGACGGAGGAGCATGTGCTTGTTGCATCGTCATCATGTGGGTTGAGGCCATTTGTTGGTGCGGCTGTCGGCCTGTGACGACTGCAGCACTGGGTGTACGATAGCGGTAGAACGGGCAACAAGCGCAGAAGCAGCAGGATACGATGGAAACGATGATGACGAAGAAGATAATCGTGCCGATAACTGCGCCTGTAGTATACCAGCCGCTCCAACCACAGTTTGTGGAACAAACTCCCCCACAACAATCCTCTCCACTATCACACTGTTCGTCGGACGAACAGGAATGGCAAGAAGACGAACTACTGATGCATTTACTATTACAGCATTTCTTGCTCGATCCACATTCGTAGTCGCTCGTGCAGGAATGACAAGAAGACGAACTACTGATGCATTTGCTATTACAGCATTTCTTGCCCCATCCACATTCGTTGTCGCTCGTACAGGAATGGCAAGAATACGAACAGATGCTGTTACAGCATTCCTCGTTCGATCCACATTCGTCTTTGGACGTGCAGGAACAAGACGACAAACTTCTGGTGCATTTGTGCTTACAGCATTTCTCACCCCGTCCACACATGGATTCATGCGCACAGAGACAAATATCAGAACTTCTAGCACACGTGTCACCACAGCATTTCTCGTTCGATCCACAAAAATTGTCGTTGCGCCCACAGCCATTACAACGCGGTCTACATACTTTATCACGACAACAGTTCCGGTTCTTACCGGAGCAATCACTTTGACGGGTACAGTTGGTAGCACTTCCCAAGGCAGAGAAGCAGACGAAAAGAAAGCATAACAGTTCCTTAGTAGCCATTGTCCTTTCACGATTTCAATGGCGTCCGTTCGACTTAAGATAATAATTAGATGCGGTTGGCTGGTTTCAAATTCTCTCCAGATTCTTTACCATGGAAACCCTTATAGATGGTGGGAAGGTGAAAGGGAAAGGAAAGGAAAAATCGAAAATGAGAAGTTGAAGGGGAAAAAGAAAAATGCTGTTACCATACATAATAAAAGGCCAAAGCTAAAATGAAATATGGAACAAAGAACCAAGAAACATAAAAAATCTGTCGACCCCATGTCATTCAAGAAATCACAGTCATTTGTAAATATTGATCTCCGATAAAGATACATCCTTTTTGTACATTTCTTTTTAATAAGTGCTTGTGAGCAGCAAACAACAACAGAAAATGTCAACTTGATTCATCTTCTCCCAGCCGTTTAGTCTGATCACACAGACTTCATGAGGGAGTTTGAACAAGATGGTTTAAAGGAATTTATTACATACCTTATTTTCAAAGTAATAGTCACGTTCCAATAAGGGCGTGAACAGCGAAGGAAATCGAAATACGAAAAGAAAAACCGAACGTCTAGCGGCTGAGAACGAAAATCGACAACTGGAAGATTTGCCACAGGCCGATTTAGGCCATGTACCTGTAAGATTTCTTCTGTCGGTAAGGCCCAATTCAAGAACCGAGAATTTCGTTTGTTGAAAAATAGGCTCATTGTTGTTGTTTTTTTTTAGTGATTCAACACGTGTTTTCATCTTGAGTGCGCCAACGCACTTGGATATTTTTATTCGGAGATTTTCGATCCTTTTATTTTCACTTTTTACTAAAGTTGACTTTTCTTATCAGTAATGGGCAATTGTGTTTATATGATAAAAAAAAGAATACATGTTTGCTTGTGGAAATGGAATATCTCTTCTCGTGTTCAACTTGACATCTCACTCGCGAGCTATCGGGTTCAACACTCGAAGAGAAATTCCATATCTACACCCACCTATGCACTATTCTCTATTCGTCATATAAACAACAGCGTTATACAAGGATTTCCATCCCTGAGAAAAGCCGTAACAACACACGAGAACAAATACGATATTTTTTCACGTGTGTTTGATATCGCCAATCAGATACTGACACGTCACTCACCTTTGGCGTCACTCGCTCAGGCTGATGAATAAACGGCAAACCCTGCACCATTCTCACTTCAGGGTTGTTTGTCAGATCATCTTCGGATTCCGGCTGCTAAAACATTAGGGAAAATTTAGTTTTATGAGGATATGAGAGACCTCGAAACAAACATAGTGTACAGGATATTTGACTATCTTTGTAGAATTCACCTAATGAACCCTCGATATCCGTTTTCCTTAAAATAGCATGCCAGTAAATCCTAATGTTCATTGGAAGAGGTAAAAGAATGGATATGCACGTTTATGAAACTGAATTTGCCAATTTTGGTATGCAGTTTTGCAGATGGATAATATGTTTCAAACAGTCCATTTCTATCTGATAACGAAGGCCACATTCGCTTTCTTCCAGCTTGAATTTTGGGAGATTTGCTTGACGCTCAAAGCTCTCGCCAAATGTAGCCTCTTGGACTTCTTTAAAGTTGTTTAAGTGATTGTTTGCATTTCCAAGGTCCTTATCTAAGGATACTCGTTCTGTGTTACACATAAATAGCCAGAGTAAACGCCTGTAGGCGTCTAGTTTATCCTTCAGTTGTAATGGTTGAATAACAAAGCGATGTAAATAAATTCAGTGTGATTTCTAAACATTTATAGTAGTCAAATAATCCGCATTATTGTAGGAGTTAAGTTTTAGTTAGGAATAAATGCTTTCCAACTAGAATTGTTTCACTAGTAACACGGAAGCCCAGGGAGGAGAGCGTATCTGAGATTTAAAGTTTTCAGCCAAAGTTACAGGCAAAGTACGCGAAATGTAAAGGCCAACCGCTCGACGGGGAAGGTGCAAACTGAAAGATTTAACTCAAAGCGGCTATGTGTTTGCCTTCATTTCCATCCAAAATTAGATCAACAGTAAGGGTTGCAGTTATCTCATGGCCAATTATAAATCTGGAGGCCAATTAAAAGCGTTTCTATTTAAATTGTAAAGTTTAGCTTGGTCGATTCAACATGCTTTCTGAACTTTCTCAAGGTCGACACATCCGGCTCTATTATGATTGTGGTAATTACATAACGCGAACCTCATGTCTATGACTGTAAAACAGCGCAGTTTTCCTCGAATTTTATTTCTCTGATACGAGCGAACTTGAAATTGTCGAGACCTCATTCTTCACTGCCAACCCAGCTTAGTAAAACCATCTGCTTGTTGCAGGTTTTGAGTCTCACTAAGCCCAACTTCAAATAGTGTCTGCATCTGCCAATATGATGAAGATGTCCGCCAAATACAAGGTCCTTTTAGACTAAATGTGGCGAGACAAAAATTGAAACTTAACCGCTTTCTTTTGGCTGATTTATGTCTCCTTTATCAGGTTTCACCGTAGAAGAGCTTTCGCGACAAATGCATAATCAGGTTTAATACTGAAAGCAAAGATGTAACCGTATACAAATGTTTTTGCCTGGTTTTTTTCTCGACAGATCTCGTCAGTGTTAATGAAAGCAAAATTGCCCAAAACGCCAACTTCTCAATAAATCGTTCAGATGAAATTTTCGTCACGTTTACAAGCACAAGGAAAGAGTTGAGAATATCCAATGCAAAATTAGCTTGCGAACCGGTCATCTGCATATTAAACCAAACCTTACACACGGCGGCGGATTAACGGAAATTTCTTATTCAACAAAATAGTGACAACAAACAAATGTAAATGCTACTTAACACAGCATTTGCTGTGGAAGGATCTGCTAGAGATTCGATCAGCTTAAGGTAGAATTAGAAAAAGTAATAACTGTCTCTGAAGAAGAAAATAATTACTCACGTCTGTAAATAAGGTGGCAGCTCAAATATAGTAACATTCTATTAAGAAGATAATCAATTTGACCGCTTTACGACACGATCGACACTGAACATTTCTTGAACATATCACAAGCGTAAATAGATTGAAAACTGCATGGACTGGTTTAATGTGATACTTAAAGTGTAAACTGCATTCCTAAAAATACAATACTCATTCTGGAAAATTGATCCAAATGGCCGGACTCAACTATCTCCAGGAGATATCTGTGTCTTCTTGTTTTTCTTTGAACAATGAAATAGATATTCAAATTTGTAAATATACAGCGTGCAGATCATGGCTAAGATTAGGAGCAGTTAATTTAAGATTGGAGATCCTTTTTCCCTAACTTATAGCTGGTTATAACCTGCTGGAGGAGGCTGGTCGTATCCATTTAAAGGAGGCGGGTTGTAGTTCACCGAAGGAGGAGCATGTATTTGTTGCGTCGTCATCATGTCGGTTGAGACGATTTGTTGTTGTGGCTGTTGGCCGGTTACGACCACAGTACTGGGTGTACGACAGCAGTACTACGGGCAAGGACAACAGCAGCAGGTTACGATGGAAATGATGATAGCGAAGAAGATAGTCGTGCCGAGAACAGCATCTGCAATAGCTGCGCCGCTCCGACCACAGTATGAGGAACAAACTCCCCCACAACAATCCCCTCCAGTATCAAACTAGTCGTCGGACGAACAATAACAAGAGGACGAACTTCTGATGCATTTGCTTTTACAGCATTTCTTTCTCGATCCACATTGGTAGTCGTACGTGCAGGAGCAAGAAGACGAACTACTGATGCATTTGCTATTACAGTAATACTCGCCACTGTCACATTGGTAGTCGTATATGCAGGAACAAGGAGACGAACTACTGATGCATTCGCTTTTACAGCATTTCTTGCCCAATCCACACTGGAAGCGAACGAACAGGAACAAGAAGAGAAACTACTGATACATATGCTATTACAGCATCGCTCGTTCAATCCACATTAGCAGTCGCACGAACAGTGGGAACAACGCTTTCTGCAGACTTTATCTCTACAACAGGACTGACTGTAGGAACAATCACCGTCGTAGATACATCAGGTAACACTTCCCAAGGCTAAGAAACAGACGAAAAAAAAGCATAAAAGCTCCTCAGGGGCCATTGTCCTTTCACAATTTCAATGGCGTCCGCTCGAGGTCGGACAATAATCACTTGGCTGGTTTCCAAATTCTCTCCAGACACTTAACCATGGAGAAATTTTATCTTATCTGAGAAATTTTGTTGCCCTACATAATTACGTTATGGGAATGTTTCAGTACCTTTCAAGTCAGACCAAAGCTCAAATTCAAACAAAAGCTCAAACATTGAACAAAGAACCTAAAAACGTCGTAAATCTGTCTACCCTGTCTTCATTTAAGAAAAATACAGACATTCGTAAATATTGATCTACGATAAAGATACCTTTCTATTTTCTTTTAAATGAGTTCTAGTAAGCAGCAAACAGCAACAGATCTTGTCAACTTGATTTGTTTCTCCGACTGGATTCGTCTCCTTACACACCTTATTCACAAACTGCAATTTACGTTCCACCGGGCGTCAGCAGCAAGAAATATACCCACATAATGTACGTGCAGGATATCATTGGAATCCTGCAAGATGTTGAGTTTAATTTTGGGGCTCTCGGATTTAACGTTGAGTTGGACGGGGGTGGTATGTTCGAAAGGGATACACTTTTATGCAGATTTCGAGGTGCGAGCTTACACGAGATGAGCTTCAGTTACAAGGAAACTTTTAAGCGCGGGAAAAAGTGAATGCTAAGTTGTGGTTGGTTTAAGTTATGGATCTGGTGAAAATTTAGTTTTTCCAACGAAAAATTAACTTTACTTCCGCAGGCATCCGCCCTAGATAGAGCAAATTAAATGACCAACATCCGGGTAGCTTACTTTGCTTCGAACTTCCGCGAAGATTGCTTGTCACGCAAGCCGAGTAACGAAGCCTATTGTCTAGAAAGCGGCGATTGTATAAAGAATTCACTCCAAAAGAATATTTTGACGTTACAATACACCAAAATTAGTTTCCTGACATTGATGAAATTGTGACTTTGTTTCTGAATAAAGTTCGCTTTTTTTAAATTCATTTTTTTAAAGACAAAAATCATTTTTTAGCTCTCTTTAGAATAAATAGAAACATCGGAAACAAAGGCAATAACTCTTTGGAGACATATCGAGCGAAAAACTAACAGTATTTCCGCAAGTAATCGCCGTAATTGGAAGAAATTAAGTAACGAACTTCCGGAAAGATTACTTGTCACGCAAATCGACTGACGAGGAAATTGAAGCTTATTGTCGAGAAATCCGTGATTGGATAAGAATCTTGGGATGGCAATCATAACTTTCCTCTAAATTCAATCCAACATGGGAACAGTTCAATGCAGGGTTACTCTCTATCAAGCTTATAGGAGTCTATGTCATACATGAATACGTCACTTAACAAGAGTTGCTGTTAATTTCTATGTTGACTTGCTTCAAACATCTAAGTGCTTGGCCCGTAAGCGGAGCGCCATCGAAACGACTTGTCATTGTACCTCAGATGGAGGATAGAGAGGTGGATAAGGCGGCAGATAAGTGGGTGGTGCCTGGTTGTAACCTTGAGGAGGCTGATTGTACCCTACAAGAGGCTGCTTGTCATGAAGCGACGGACGAGCTTGTACTGGCGACGTCATCATCCTATGCGTGTGCGTTAGGACGAACAGTTGTTGCGGCTAATGAATTAAGGGGGTAAGTTTTTAAAGAAACCGTGGTGCTGTGTCGGTATAGATAGTCATTCATACATGATAAAAGCCCCTCCGTGCATACGTCTTCCTAAACCTCATTACCATGTTATTAAGAAGCTCTCATAAGCGGTAGCACTTCGTGGCTAAAGGCTCCTCTTACGCGATCTTTTCGCCTCGTTTTCGCTCATTTCGGAGATCAAGCTCTCCCTATTTGCTTTTTTGTTTGTTTTTTTTTCTGTTTTAGCTACCTTAAAATTTTATTTAAAATTCCTAAAAAGTTCTCAATAAGTTACCTTCAGTCTTATTTATACTTGTAATGATTTAATAACAAAACGATACAAATTAACTCAGAGCGATTTCGAAACATTTATAGTAGTCAAGTAATCCGCATTATTGTAGGAGTCAGGTTGTAGCTAGGAGTAAACGCTTTCCAATTAGAATTATATCTCTAAGAACATGGAAGCCCGGAGGGGAGAGCTTATCTGAGATTTAAAGTTTTCAGCCAAATTTACAGGCAAAGTGCGCGAAATGTAAATGCCAGCCACTCGACGGGGAAGGTGCAATTAATTCAACTCAAAGCTATGCGTTTGCCTTCAGTTCTAACGCAAATTAGATCAAAAGTAAGGGTTTTTTTTATTTCCCGGGCAATTATAAGGCTGGAGGCAAATTCAAAATGCTTTCTGACCTTTCTCAACGGTCTTATCAACGTTTACACATCCGGCTCTATTATGATTATTGTAATTACATTACACGAACCTCACAACTATGATTGTAGAACATTGCCGTTTTCTTTGCATTTTACTTCTCTGATAAGAGTGAAATTGCAACTGTCGAAACCTCTTTCTTCACTGCCAACCCAATTCAGTAAAACCATCTATGGTCCATCCCGGCTGTCTCATCATGGCAATCTTCGGTCTTCGCAGTGTAGCAAGCCTCAGAAATTATATCGGCCACCCAACGAGTAAACAGCTAAGATCTTGCTCTGATATCCTTTCCGATGCGTTGAGTGGAAGGCTACAGCAGCCACAGTAGCTGAGTTGTACGGCGCTGTCATCTAGAGCAATATTTCTGTTCCTGTGAAACACGAGCCATATATTCTGTATTAGAGACTAAAAAAAATCAGGCAAACGTGTTGAATTCCACCTGCCGAACTATTTTTTTTGTAAAGTATTGCATATTTTGATGTTTGATGATAACTGAACTTTGATGGTTTGATATTTTTGACAGCTTTAGTCTCGCTCAACCAATCAGGTTATTTGACCAATTCTGACAAGGATTCTGATTAGCTTACTGGAACGTGCGTAATGAAAGTATAGAGCATACTCACGACACTGCTGTTTGCAAATAAAGTTTGTTTTTTTTTTTAATTGGAAGTAATGCGTGGGGAATAGGAAAGCCTTGACTGTGCTCTGTTCGGTCGTAAAGCACTTAGAAAGGCGGCTAGAGCTCTCAGGAGGTGGGGAGAAACACGAAACGTAGTTGAATGTTTCTCCCTATACTTCTTTCGTGCTCTAGTCACTTGCTGCGTGCTTTACAACAGAACAGCGCACAGTCAAGGCCTCTCTATTTGTTAAATCAACGTCAACACATCCGGCTCTGTAGAGACTATGGTAACTAAATCACGCGAACCTCAGGACTATGATAGTAAAAAACCGCAGTTTTCCTTGCATTAGCTTCTCTGATAAGAGCGAACTTGCAATTGTCAAAACCTCTTTTTTCATTGCCAACCCAACTGAATAAAACCATCTGCTTCTAGCAGGTTTAGGGTCTCACAAAGCCCAACTTGAATGTTAATTTCAAATTGTGTCTGCATCTACTAATATGATGAAGATGTCCGCCTACTACAACGTCCTTTTAGAATAATACGGCAGGAAAAATTTGTGATTTAGCCGGTTTCTTTTAGCTGATTAATGTCTCCCTCATCAGGTTTCATCGTAAAAAAGCTTTCCGACAATTGCATGATTAGGTTTAATACTGAAAGCAAAAAATGTAACCGTGTACGTATGTTTTCACCTGGTTGGTCTCTCGAAAGATCTCGTCAGTGTTGATGAAAGTAAATCGCCCAAACGCCAATTTCTCAACAAATCGCTGAGATCAAATATAAGTCATGTTTACAAGCGCAAAGAAAAAGTTCGGAATATCTGATGTAAAATTCACTTGCGAACCGGTTACCTGCATAAAAAACTGGACCTTACTACAAAGATTATCCATTTAACCGCTATACGACACGATCGACATTGGCAATCTTGAAAATTTCATAAGTACCTTGAAAACTGTCGACTGAAGCAAAGACTGGGTTAAATACAGCCAGATGGGTTTAATATGACACTAAAAGTGTAACTACATTTCTAAGAATACAATATTCATTATGGAAAATTAATGCAAATAACCAGACTCATCTTTCTCTAGAAGAAATCTGTCTCTAGCTTTTGTTTTTCTTTGAACCTCAAAGGCGAAATAGATGGTCAAATTTGCAAATGTACGGCGTGCAGATCCTGCCGGCTAAGATTAGTATAAGTTAATTTAAGATGAGAGAACCTATTCCCTAACTTAAACCTTTAAAACTATCCTTAAAAAAAATACACGGATAACATTTAGTAACTTGACTACGTTTATATCCATGTAAATGGAAACTATAAACCAAAAGTACTTATTATTTCACCGGAACAGTGATGTGCTTGGAGAAGTTCCCTTGCAAGTTACAATAATTACATCTCGTTCGGTTGTTCGGTGTTTACTGCTGCTGGCATCGGCGCCGCTTTCGCTTATCCCAGGCGCTGGAGCATATTAGTTTGTTAGTGGTGGACAGCTTGATTGAGGCGGAGGAGCCTGATTGAAACCTGGAGGATGCTGGTGGTAACCAGCTGGAGGAGACTGGCTGTAACCTGTTGGAGGAGGCTGGTCGTATCCATCTGGAGAAGGCGGGATGTAGTTCAACGGCGGAGGAGCATGTACTTGTTGCGTCGTCATCATGTGGGTTGAGACCATTTGTTGTTGCGGTTGGCCGGTGACGACCACAGTACCGGGTGTACGATAGCGGTAGTACGGACAACAAGCACAGCAGCAGCAGGATACGATGGAAATGATGATGGCCAAGAAGATAATCGTGCCGATAATAGCGCCTGCAATAGCTCCACCACTCCAACCACAGTATGAGGAACAAACTCCCTCACAACAATCCTCTCCAATGTCACATTCGTAATCGTACCTGCAGGAACAAGAAGACGATTTACTGATGCATTTGCTATTACAACACTGCTCGCCACTGTCACATTGGTGGTCGTATGAACAGGAACAAGAAGACGAACTACTAATGCATTTTTTATTACAGCATTTCTTGCCCCATCCACATTGGTTGTCGTACGAACAGGAACAAGAAGAGAAACTACTGATACATATGCTATTACAACATTGTTTGTTCGATCCACATTGGTAGTCATACGAACAGGTAGAACATTGCCGTCTGCAAACATTATAGGCACAACATTTCTTATCAATGGAACAATCACTGTCGTAGTTACAGTAGGTAGTACCTCCCAAGGCAAAGAAACAGACGAAAAGAAGACATAAAAGTTCCTTAGAAGCCATTGTCTTCTCACAATTTCAATTGCGTGTGTTCGATGTGAGGAAATAATTAGATGAATTAGATGCGGTTGGCCCAACTTGAATTTTAATTTCGAATAGTGTCTGCATCTATCAATATGATGAAGATGTCCGCCAAATACAAGGCCCTTTTAGACTGAATATGGCAGGACAAAATCGGGATTTAACCGGCTTGTTTTAGTTGATTAATGTCTCCTTCATCAGGTTTCATCGTAGAAAAGCTTTCGCGACAAATGCATGATTAAGTGTAACTATATTTCTAAGAATACAATATTCATTATGGAAAATTAGTGCAAATAACCAGACTCATCTGTCTCCAGAAGAAATCTGTCTCTAGCTTTTGTTTTTCTTTGAACCTCAAAGGCGAAATAGATGATCACATTTGCAAATGTACAGCGTGCAGATCCTGCCGGCTAAGATTAGTGTAAGTTAATTTAAGATGAGAGAACCTATTCCCTAACTTAAACCTTTTATTGTGCCGGATAGTGTGCAAAATTCTCACAACGCACAAAAAAAGGAAAAAAACGTCCCTATTGGCTGGTCAAAAATATGCCACATTTTATACTATGGTTTGAGCGAGAACATTTGATCCAGTTAACCGATAACTGTGAATGAAAAGCTCAAAATTTAAGGGGAAAATGCTAAAATCAAAAAGCTAAATGAACTCAAGTGTCACTGAAAAATGTTTTGAAAGTCAAAGACCCGAAGTTATCAAGAGTTTTAATTGTTCAAAATAATGTTTACGCTGCCGTGCATGGTGCAATCGGAGAAAACTTGCAACAAAATGCTCACGTCATCTTATTTACGCACGCCCGTGCGTAAATAAAGATTTTGTTCATAGCGGTTCGATAGGACTTATATAGGGCAAGCACGCGCGCTATGTTATAAACAGTTCTTACCAATGAAACAATCACTGTCGTAGTTACAGTAGGTAGCACCTCCCAAGGCAAAGAAACAGACGAAAAGAAGACATGAAAGTTCCTTAGAAGCCATTATCCTTTCACAATTTCAATGGCTAGTGTTCGATGTGAGGAAATAATTAGATGAATTAGATGTGGTTGGCTGATTTTCAAATTCTCTCCAGATCCTTTACCATGGAAACCCCCAAAGGGGTGATGGATGGTGGGAAAGGGACAGGGGAAGGGGAAAGGGAATCGGTAAGGTAAGTTGAAGGGAAAGGGGAGAAATGCTGTTACCATGCATAATCTCGTAACGAGTATGGTTCAATACCTTTCAAAACCGAAAGTTCCGGATTCAGTGGCTTTGGTAATATCATTTCTCCGGGCTGTCAGAGAAAACCGACACCAGTATTCTGTTAACCCCGTCAGTCATTCCAAAAAAAGTAAAAATAGTCATTTATATATGATAAAAGTTCCTCCGTGCATTAGCCCACCAAGTTATTACGAGGCTCTCATAAGCGGCAGCACTTCGTAGTTATAGGCTCCTGTAAGACAATGAAATGTTACGCGATCTTTTCGCCTCGTTCTCGCTCCTTTTGGAGATCAAGCTACCTCTATTTGCTTGTTTGTTTTTTTTTTCTGTTTTAGCTGAATGATAATTCTATTTAAAATTCCTAAGAATCCTTCAGTCTTATTACTCGGGCAACGCAGGTAGGCCGAGTCTAGGTGTCAGTGTCCTTTCTATATCCATCTTTCGACAACGTCGAAAGTGTGTAAGCCTGCATTGCTCGAGGGTCTACGGTATTCCTTTGCAAGTATGAAAGCGAAGCAACCGTGAAAACGAGGCGGCTGACGAGAAAACTTGGGAATTGGTTTGCTCTTCCTAGGTCTCTTTGCTCTCTGCTTCTGGTGGTGCGAAGCTTGATTGAAAATCATGAATAATTGTTTCCCTTCTGGAACGCTTAAAGTACTTACAAACGCACACGCTATTCGCGGTAGACCCATACTAAAAGATATCGAGCGTCAGCTTCAAAACGGGTCGTTCCACCAACCAAAGAAATGCCATAGCAATGCCAAAATTACTCAAAACAACGCTAAACAAACTCAAAGCAATGCCAAGGGCAATGTCAAAAACAATGCCAAAGATACTCAAATGATCTCAAAAATTACTCGAGCACGCTCGTACAAACGAACAAATACCGACTGTTTAGTAAGAAGGGACTTCACTGAGAAATGCTCTGAGGAAAAAGTCAGAGAAAATATTCCGAGGAACATGGACGCCATATTTGAATTTTTCATTTAATGCGTTAACATTTGATGACATTTAATGCGTTAACAGAATCAAGAAACCTTGGACTTATATCAGTGACAATAAGGATTAGTTTTTTATTAGTTGTATTGTTTTTCTTAACGACGTTAAACAGTTTCTTCAACAGGCTATCGTTTGTTCAACTATCACTAGCTAGCCTGTTGATTATATCACTATAATACCTTAAGCTTATACCGCTTATTTCAATGAGGTATAATTTATCATCATACCTTTACAATACCTTCAAGGTTTTAAGCTCCTTTAATGTTTATGTTGTTATTATACGAGTAATTAATGATTGAACTCGTCATGAATATGTCATTTGAAATTTATATAGGTAAAAATAATCCTGCACAGATATAATTACCCTACACCCTAAAACATCTAGGCTCGGTTTATGTTTATTTTTTTATGATAAGTGTAATTAATGATTGGATCCACATGTCAATTGGAATTTTTATAGATTACCTGCACAAATTTGAGTAAACTGTACCATCAAGTATCTAAACTCGGTTAATGTTTATGCTGTTATATTAATCATTTTAAGCGTTTCAATAAAGCTTGAACTCTTCATTTGTTGACTGACTATTTCATCTCTATTTTATTTTCGGCCTAAGGTATCCCCAACGCTTTATCCAGGGTTTTTGTGATTATTAGGATTCCTAGAAAACATTTAGCATGTACAATACTGGGCGGAATTTAGTTTTACAAGGATACGGGAGACCTCGAAACAAACATAGTATACAGGATATTTGACTATCTTTGTAAAATTGACCTAATGAACCCTTGATTTCCGTTTCCTTTGAATTTAGCATACTAGTAAATCCTAATGTTAATTGAAAGAGATAAAAGGTATGCCATGTTAGGCAACAAATGTGAAAAAAAGCAGCTGATATACATGTTTTTGAGAATGAATTTGCCAAATTTTGGTATATAGATTTGCAGATAGATAATATGTTTCTAACATTCCATTTCTATCTGATAACAAAGGTCACATTCACTTTCTTCAAGCTTGAATTTTTGATATTCAAAGATGCTCTTTCTGTTTCACAAATAAGCCGGGGTAACGCCTCTGAGCGTCCAGTTTATCCTTCAGTTGTAATGGTTGAATAACAAAGCGATATAAATTAATTCAATTTGATCTCGAAACATTTATAGTGGTCAAATAATCCGCATTATTGTAGGAGTTAGGTTGTAGTAAAAGCCAGCCACTCGACGGGGGAAGTGCAAACTGAAAGATTATTATGAATGAAACTAAGCTATGCGGTTGACTTCAGTTATATCCAAACTTAGATCAACAGTAATGATTGTACAATCTCATGGACAATTATAGGGCTGGAGGCAGATTAAAAACGTTTCTCTTTCAATTTTACAGTGTAGTTTGGTATTCAACATGCTTTCTGACCTTTCTCAACGTCTTATCAACGTCGACGCATCCGGCTCTGTTATGATTATGGTAATTACATCACGCGAACCTCATGACTATGACTGTAAAACATCACAGTTTTCCTTGTATTTTATTTCTCTGATACGAGCGAACTTGCAATTATCGAAACTGCATTCTTCACTGCCAACCTAGCATAGTAAAACTAACTGCTTGTAGCACGTTTTAGGTCTCACAAAGCTCCGCTTCAAATAGTGTTTGCATCTGCCAAATGAACATGATGAAGATGTCCGCCAAATACAAGGTCCACTTAGACCAAATATTGAAGGACAAAACCGGGATTTAACCGGTTTCTTTTAGATGATTAATGTCTCCTTCATCAGGTTTTATCGTAGAAAAGCTTCCGCGAAAAATACACGATCAGGTTTAATTCTGGAAGTAAAGTTGTAACCGTATACATGTTTTGACCTGGTTAGTCTCAAAAGTCACTTTCTCAAGAAATCGCTCAGATGAAATTTTCGCCACGCTTACAGGCACAAAGTAAAACTTCGGAATATCCGAAGTAAAATTCATTTGCGAACCGGTTACCTGTATATCAAAATGAATCTTACACTCGAAAGCGGACTAAAAAGAATTGATTTTTCAAAAAAATTGTGACAACACACAAATCCAAGTACTGCTTGAAATCGACAGAGCATTTGCTGTCGAAGGATCTGCTAAAGATTCGATCAGCTAAAAATAGAAAATGAAAAAAGTAACAAATCTACCTGATTACTCACGTCTGTAAATAAGGGAACAGCTGAAATAAAGCAAATCAGTTATGAGCATTATGAGCTCGGTTGGATGATCCAACCGAGCTCATAATACCAACTTTTAACCTGTGTCATTCTATTACTAAGATTATCGTTTTGACTGCTATACGACACGATTGACATTCGTGAAACTACAATTTTAAGAATACAAAATTCATTCTGGAAAATCAATGCTAATTGCCGGACTCATCTATCTCCAACAAAAGCCCTCTCCACAAAAAATCTGTGATACTTTTTGTTTTTCTTTGAACGATGATGGTGAAATAGGTCGAATTTGCAAATGTGCAGCGTGCATATCATGACGAAGATTAATATAATTTCATTTAAGATTAGAGAACCTATTCCCTAAGTTAGACTTCTAAAACTATCCTTAAAAAATCTTACAAAACATTTTGTAACTTTACTACGTTTACATCTATTTAAATGGAAAATATAAACCAAAGGTTATTTATTTCACCGCAACGGTGATCTGCTTGCAAAACTTGCCTTGTAGGTTACTTTAATAACATTTCGTTCGGTTGTTAGGTGTCTACTACAGCTGGCATCGGCGCCACTTTAGTTTGTCTGAGCGGTGGAGAATATTGGTTTGGTGGTGGTGGACAGCTTGAGTAAGGCGGAGGAGTCTGAATTAAACCAGGAGGACTCTGGTCGTATCCATCTGGAGGAGGCTGGTTGTGACTTGCTAGGGGAGGCTGATTGTAGTTCACCGGCGGAGGAGCATGTACTTGTTGCGTCGTTATCATGTGGTTTGAGACCATTTGTTGTTGCGGCTGTTGGCCGGTGACGAACACAGTACCAGGTGTACGGTAGCGGTAGTACGGGCAACAAGCACAGCAGCAACAGGATGCGATGGAAATTATGATGGCAAAGAAAATAATCGTGCCGATAACAGCCCCTGCAATAGCTCCACCACTCCAACCACAGTATGAGGAACAAACTCCTCCACAACAATCCTCTCCAGTGGCACACGGGTCGTCGGACGAACAGTGACAAGAAGACGATTTACTAATGCATTTGCTTTTACAGCATTGCTCGCCACTGTCACATTGGTAGTTGTGCGAACAGGAACAAGAAGAAGAACTACTGATGCATTTGCTTTTACAGCATTTCTTCCTCGATCCACATTGGAAGTCGTACGAACAGGAACAAGAAGAAAAACTACTGACACATTGGCTTTTACAGCACTGCTCGTTCGATCCACAGTGGTAGCCATACGAACAGCTAAAACAACGTTGTCTGCAGACTTTATCTGTACAACAGGACTGATGGTAGGAACAATCACTGTCGTAGTTACAGTAGGTAGCACCTCCCAAGGCAAAGAAACAGACGAAAATAAAGCATAAAAATTTCTTGGAGGCCATTGTCCTTTCACAATTTCAATGGCGTCTATTCGATGTGAGAAAATAATTGGATGCGGTTGGCTGGTTTCCAAACTCTCTCCAAACACTTTACCATGGAAACCCCTATAGACGGTGGGAAGGGGGCAGGGGAAGGGGAAAGGGAATCGGTAGGGGAAGTTGGAGGGAAAGAGGAGAAGAGAGGTGAAATTCTGTTACAATGCATAATCTGGTAACGGGGATGGTTCAGTATCTTTCAAGTTAGGCCAAAGCATTAATTGACATGAAAGCCGAGAGATTGCACAAAGAACCTAAAGGCATCACAAATATATGTTAAGGCTGTCCACAGGCGGCCCAAGCTTCACCTGAGAGATGATCATCTTGCGCAAAAATAGTCATGGAGGAATTATAAGAGTTTGTATGGGAATATTTATGACCGCTCTGAGGAATAAAACAATACGTCAAATTCTTAATAAAAATATCTCACCTTACTTCCATAGTGTATCACTTATTATCTGACCACTTACTTTGATGAAAAGAAAGCATTTTAGCCAGTTGTCAATTTAGAGGTTCTCAAGGCACACGAGAAAAGCCCAAGGCTGAGCACTCCTTTTCCGCACGCTCGATCTGAGAAGCGAAAAATTCCAGCGCAAAATGACCGGGCAGCCACAAATCCAACGCAGAATCCAAGCACATATACCGTAGTTTCATTTCAATTCACTACAAACTCAATCTTTCCCGTGCAACCGACGCTAAGCCGCAGTTTGCTTCAAAAATTTCTAGTTTAGAGGTTTCTAACAGCCCGCGTCCACATCAACCTAGACACACAATCGTTGAAAACGAGCTGGGTAGCCTTGCCTCCTTTTTAAACTGAGCCTCGCCGGGGACCATTCTATAACTTGGCATGAAGAAATTATCTTACCACCATGGGTGCCAAGTTACGGTGGGGTCCCCGGCGAGGCTAAGTTTAAAAAGGAGGCAAGGTTACCCAGCTGGTTTTCAACGGTCGTGTGTCAAGGTCGATGTGGACGCCATGACTATTATTGCGCAAGATGATCATCTCACAGCTGGAGCTTGGGTCGTCTGTGGGCTGTCGTCATTCAAAAAAACACAGTCATTCGTAAATATTGATCTCCGATAAAGATATCTTTCTTTAATTTTTTTCTTTTATGAGTACTAGTGAGCAGTAAACAGCTATAGATCTTGTCAACTTGATTTTTTTTCTCCCAACCGTTTCGTCTGATCACACAGACTTCGTGAGGGAGTTTGAACAAGATGGTTTAAAGGAACTTATTACATACCTTAATTACAGAGTACAAGTCACGTTCCAACAAGGCCGTCAACAGCAATAAATACTCACGTAACGTAAGTGCATATATCACTGAAATCCTGCGCGATGTTGAGTTTAATTTTTGGGCTCTCGGATTTAACGTTGAGTGAAGATTTTGAGGTGCAAGGTTACACGAATTGAGCTTTCGTTACAAGGGAGCTGATTAGCGCGGTAAAAAGCGACTGATCTAGTTGTGACTGGTTTAAGTTCTGGATCTGGTGAAGAAGATTGAACGATCCGAGGTTTCTTTTAACAAGTTTTGAATACTCTGCTGAAAAGGTCTGATGAAGTTAGAAGTTTGTGCAACAACAAGAAAGCCGTATCATTATCCATGATTAACATGTACCTTGAAACAACCGCCCTTGTAAACCCAAGTTTCTTACCATTATTTTTGCAGTTTACAATTTACAGACGCAACTCCACTTTATTAATATAAAAAACCTGATAAATGCCACTTCAAAAAATAGAATATAAAAGACTTTGATTTTAAAGGAGAATGCAATATACAAAAATTAGTTTCCCGACATTGAAGTAATTGTGACTTTTTTACTTGTAAAAGTCCGCTTTAAGGTATTTTCTTTTCTTTTGATTAATATTTTTACGATAAAAATCATTTTTTAGCTCTCAATAGAATAAATTGAAACATCATAAACAAAGGCACTAATTCTATGGAGACATATCCGGATCCATCGAAAAACTAACTAACTGTATTTCCGCAAGCATCCGCCGTGATTAGAGGAAATGAAATGACGAACTTCCGGTAAGATTACTTGTCACGCAATTCGAGTAACGAGGACATTAAAGCTTACTGTCGAGAAATCTACGACTGGATAAGAATCTTGGGATAGCAATCATAACTTTTCTTTAAATTCAACCCAACCTGTTGGCAGTTCATGGCAAAGGAGTCTATCTCATACCTGAATACGTCAAATAAAATGAGTTGCTTTTTGTTTCTTCTTAGATATCTGACTTGCTTCAGACATCTAAGTACTTGGCCAGTGAGCGGGACGCCATCGAAACGACTTGTCATTGTACCTCAGATGAAGGATACACAGTTGGATAAGGTGGCGGATAAGTGGGTGGTGCCTGGTTGTAACCCTGAGGAGGCTGATTGTAACCCATTGGAGCGACGGAGGAGCTTGTACCGGCTGCGTCATCATCGTGTGCATGTGAGTTGGGACGAACAGTTGTTGCGGCTAATGAATAAAGGGGTAAGTTTCTAAAGAAACTGTCATGCTGTGTCGGTGGGAGGGTATAACAGGGTGTTTAGTAATATCAACTGAGTTGATAACGTAAATTGGTCACCGTAAATACTATAAGTTTAACAATTTTCTTTGGAGACGTTATCTATACAACAGGATTCAAGGACCGAACAATCAGAGCGTTTCGAACGGTATTTACCATTTCCAATTCGAATTATGTCACTGGGAACCTGGAAGCCCAAATTTTTTAGCCAAATTTACAAGCAAAGTGCGCGAAATGCAAACGCCAGCCACTCAACGGGGAAAGTGCAAACTGAAAGATTATAACTGATTAGACTCAAATCTATGCATGCGTTTGCTTTCATTTCTATCCAAAATTAGATCAACAGTAAGGGTTGCATATATTTCACGGACAATTATGAGGCTGGAGGCAAATTAAAAACGTTTCTCTTTAAATTGTAAAGTTTAGTTTGATATTCATCATGTCTGACCAACGCACCAGCAATAAATTTAAGAGGAGTTTAATTTCTTGACGATATGGTCGAACTCTTCTATTTACACGCCAATGTCAGTGGTTTCTAAGTAAAGTATGACGAACATAATACGTCAAGAACGGAACAAATAATTACAAGATTGGAAATAACAGGCAATACATATAACATAGGCAATACTAATAACATAAAGAACACGGGACACTCGATGAAAGAGCAATTTCCCTGACGGTTTTAGAATACGGCTGCATAAGAACGTGCTTGCGATTACCCTCCACTCGAGTTAACACCGTTATATGCATGATCCGCGCAGACTGGGGCTAGGAGGGGGATTGGTTTCTACAACATGCTTTCTGACCTTTCTCAACGTCTTATCAACGTCAACACATCCGGCTCTGTTATGATTATGGTAATTACATCACGCGAACCTCATGACTATGATTGTAAAACATAGCAGTTTTCCTGGTATTGTACTTCTCTGATAAGAGTGAACTTGCAATTGCCGAGACCTCTTTCTTCACTGCCAACCCAAGTTAGTAAAACCAGCTGAGGTCCATCGCGGCTAGCTCGTCATCGCGGTCTCCAGTCACCGCAGCGAAGCAAGCCTAAGAAATTACATCGGCCGCCCTTCGAGTGAACAACTACGATCTTGCTTTGATATCCTTTCCGATGTCTTGAGTGGAAGGCTACATCAGTCACAGTAGCAGAGTTGTAAGGCGTGGTCATCTGGAGCAATCTTTCTGTTCATGTGAAACACGCGCCTTAAACAGTTTGTTTTCTAATTGTCATGTGAAAATAAAATTCTGTGCTTTCACGAGCTTCAATTCCGCCGGATTTCACTAAACATTTGACTTCTATATTCTGTATTAGAGACTGAAAAACTTCAGGTAAACGTGTTAAATTCAACCTGCCGAACTATTTTCGTAGATTGTGGTGATGTTTCGTAGATGTTTGATGATTTCAGAACTTGATGGTTTGACATTTTTGACAGCTTTAGTCTTGTTCAACCAATCAGATTATTTGAACTATTCTAACAAGGATTCTGATTGGCTTATTGTAGTGTGCGTAATGAAAGTATAGAGCATGCTGACGACACTATTGTTCGCTTTGGAAACAAAGTTTGTTTTGAAAACTAGAAGTAATGCGTGGGGAATTGATCAGCGTTGACTGTGCTCTGTTCTGTTGTAAGGCACTCAGAAAGGTGGCCAGAACACTCAAGAAGTGGTGAGAAACACCCAACTACATTTCGTCTTTCTCCCTACACTTCTTTCGTGCTCTAGCCGCTTCCGGCGTGCTTTATAACAGAACAGAGCACAGTCAAGGCCTCTTTATTTGTTAAATCAACGTCCACGTCAACACTTCCGGCTCTCTAAAGACTACAGTAATTATATCCGCGAACCTAAGAGCTATGATGTAAAACATCGCAGTTTTCCTTGCATTTACTTCTCTGATAAGAGCGAACTTGCAATTGTCGAAACCTAATTCTTTACCACCAATCCAAATTAGTAAAAACATCTGCCTCTAGCAGGTTTTGGGTCACACAAATTTTAATTTCAAGTTGTGTCTGCATCTGTCAATATGATGAAGATGTCTGCCAAATACAAGGTCCTTTTAGACTAAATAACAGGAAAAAATCCGGGATTGAACCGGTTTGTTTTAGCCAATTAATGTCTCCTTCATCAGGTTTCATCGTAGAAAAGCTTTCACGACAAATGCATGATCGGGTTTGAAACTGAAAGCAAAGATTTCACCGTATACATATTTTTTCACCTGGTTGGTCTCAACAGATCTCGTCAGTTTTGATGAAAACAAATCATCAGAGGCCAATTTCTCAATGAATCGCTCAGATGACATTTTCGCCACGCTTACAGCCACAAAGTAAAACTTCGAAATATCAGAAGAAAAATTCACGTGCGAACCGGTTATCTGCATAACAATCGGCAGTGCATTAACAAAATTTATTATTCAAAACGATGGTGACAATACACAAATGTAAATACTTCTCGACATCGACAGCATATGCTGTCGTAAGATGTCCTAAAGATCTGATCACCTAAAAATAGAAAATGAAAAAAGCAACAAATCTCACTGAATACTTACATCTGTAAATAAGGCAGCAGCTGTAATATAGTAAATCAAACCGAGCTCATAATACAAATTTTAACCTATGTAATTATATTACTGAGATTGTCAATTTGACTGCTAAGCGATACGATCGACATTCGCAATCTTGAAAATTTCATAAACGGAAATAGATTGAGAACTGTCGATGAAACTATAGACTCGGTTAAACACAGCCTGATCGGTTTAATATCACACTTAAAGTGAGACTACATTTCTAAGAATACAATTATTATATTCATTCTGGAAAATCAATGCAAATGGCAGGACTTATCTATCTCTAACAAAAATCCTTCATCACAAAAAATCTGCGTCTACTTCTTGTTTTTCTTTGAACGACAATAGCGAAATAGATGTTCAAATTTGCAAATATACAGCAGGCAGATCGTGGCTAAGATTAGTATAATTTCATTTGATTAGAGTACCTATTCACTGACTTATACTTCTTAAAACTATCCTTAGAAAATCCTACATAACATTTGGTATATTGACTACGTTTACATCTATGAAAATGAAAAATAAAAACCAAAGGTTTTTTATTTCACCCGAACGGTGATCTGCTTGGAGAAGTTACTTTGCAGGTTACTTTCATTCGATCTCGTTCGGTTGTTCAGTGTTTACTGCTGCTGGCCTCGGCGCCGCTTTAGCTTGTTCCAGCGGTGGAGGATATTGGTTTGGTGGTGGTAAACAGCCTGAGTAAGGCGGAGGAGCCTGATTGAAACCTGGAAGAGGCTGATCGTATCCATCTGGAGGAGGCTGGTTGTAATATGGTAGGGGAGGCTGGTTGTAGTTCACCGGCGGAGGAGCACATGCTTGTTGCGTCGTCATCATGTGGGTTGAGACCATTTGTTGTTGTGGCTGTTGGCCTGTGACGACCACAGTGCCGGGTGTACGATAGCGGTAGTATGGGCAACAAGCACAGCAGCAGCAGGATACGATGGAAATCATGATGACAAAGAAAATAATCGTGCCGATAACAGCCCCTGCAATAGCTCCACCACTCCAACCACAGTATGAGGAACAAACTCCTCCACAACAATCCTCTCCAATGTCACACTGGTCGTCGGACGAACAGTTACAAGAAGACGATTTACTAATGCATTTGCTTTTACAGCACTGCTCGCCACTGTCACATTGATAGTCGTACGAACAGGAACAAGAGGACCAACTACTGATGCATTTGCTATTACAGCATTGCTCGTCACTGTCACATTGGTAGTCGTACGAACAGGAACAAGAAGACGAACTACTGATGCATTTGCCATTACAGCATTTCTTGCTCGATCCACATTGGAAGTCGTACGAACAGGAACAAGTAGAAAAACTGCTGATGCATTTGCCATTACAGCATTTCTTGCTCGATCCACATTGGTAGTCGTACGAACAGGAACAAGAAGACGAACTACTGATGCATTTGCCATTACAGCATTTCTTGCTCCACCCACATTGGTAGTCGTACGGACAGGAACAAGAAGACGAACTACTTTTACATTGGCTTTTACAGCACTGCTCGTTCGATCCACATTGGTAGTCGTACGAACAGACAGAACAACGCTGTCTGCAGACTTTATCTGTACAACAGGACTGAAGGTAGGAACAATCACTGTCGTAGGTACAGTAGGTAGCACTTCCCAAGGCAAAGAAACAGACGAAAATAAAGCATAAAAGCTCCTTAGAGGCCATCGTCCTTTCACAATTTCAATGGCGTTCGTTCGATGTGAGAAAATAATTTGATGAATTAGGTGCGGTTGGCTGATTTCCAAATTCTTTCCAGAACTACCATGGAAACCGCCACTGATGGTGGGAAGGGGTTAGGGGCAGGGGAAAGGGAAAGATAGGGGAGGTTGGTCTTAATTAAAAAAAAAAAGACCTGGTATATTCCATATTAAAAAGTGAAATATTAAAAACCTTAAGTTTAATGGAAAATCACGACGTTACAATTTACAAAAGTTAGTTTCCTGACATTGAAGTAGTGGTGACTTTATTACCGAATAAGAGTTCGCTTTAGGGTATTTATTATTCTTTTTTTGTTCATTTTTTTTCTACAATAAAAATCATTTTCTAGCTCTCTAGAGAATAAATAGAAACATCGTAAACAAGGGCACTAACTCTATGGAGACATATCGATCGTAAAATCAACTGTATTTCCGCAAGCATCCGCCGTAATTTCAAGAAAATTAATGACGAACTTCCGGGAAGATTAATTGTCACGCAAGTAATGTTCCTAGTATTGCAGATTGTGAACTTTGATGGTTTGACATTTTTGACAGCTTTGGTCTTTTTCAACCAATCAGATTATTTGAACCATTCTGACAAGGATTCTGATTGGCTTATTGTTGCGTGTTTTTATGAGAATATAGAGTATGCTGCAAACAAGATTATATATAGATAGATAAGTTAAAGAGTTAAAGAGGACGCATCGATTCTCTGTGACTCTGAGTTTCGCGCCTAAGCGCTCGTCTGCGTTCTCTTTAATTCTTTAACTTACGTATACTTACCTCTGCTACCACAGCATTGAGCACTTTATGCTAAGGTAGACTCAACCCCCACATTCATTTATATATATATATATACAAATGTGGGGGTAGAGTCTACCTTGGCATAAAATGCTCAATGCTGTGGTAGCAGAGCTGAGCATAAATAAGTGAAAGAATCAAAGAGGACGTATCGATTCTCTGTTACTCTGAGTTTCGCGCCTAAGCGCTCGTAAGACAGAACTCGTCAGAAAGTTGTCTGACGAGCGCTTAGGCGCGAAACTCAGAGTAACAGAGAATCGATGCGTCCCCTTAGATTCTTTCACTTTTATATATATATATATATATATATATATTTATATATATATAGAAAGTCTGCAAGTCGATTTTCGCGTGGAACAGTGCTCAATACGTTGAAGCAGAGCAGAATAAATATTAGACAAGATAAAAAATATATTTAAAAAAATATACATCGATGTTCAGTCGCTACTAGCTGACTACGTCTCGTGTTTCTCCCTGCGCTTCTTTCGTGCTCTACCCGCTTCCTGTGTGCTTTGAAACAGAACAGAGCACGGTCAAGACTTTTTATTTGTGAAATCAACGTCAACAAATCCGCTTCTATTGAGATTATAGTAATTACATCACGTGAACCACATGACTAGGATTATAAAACATCACAGTTTTCCTTGCATTTTACTTCTCTGATACGAGCCAACTTGCGATTGTCGAGACCTCTTTCTTCAGCGCAAGCCCAACTTAACGAAACCATCTTCTTCTAGTAGGTTTTGGGTCTCAAAAAGCCCAATTTGAATTTTAATTTCAAAAAATGGCTGCATTTGCCAATATGATGAAGATGTCCACAAATACAAGGTCCTTTCAGACTAAATATGGCAGGATAAAATCGGGATTTGACCGGTTTCTTTTAGCTAATGTCTCCTTCATCAGGTTTCATCGTAGAAAAGCTTTCGCGACAAATGCATAATTAGGTTTAATACTGCAAGCAAAGATGTAGCACTATGCATATATTTTACACCTGGCTGGTTTCGACTGATCTCGTCAGTTTTGATGAAAGTAAATCGCCCAAACACAAACTTCTCAATAAATCGTTCAGATGAAATTTCCGTCACGTTTAAGAGTACAAATAAAAAGTTCGGAATATCCGAAGTAAAATTCACTTGCGAACCGGTCACCTGCATATCAAACTGAACCCTATACGCGGCAGCTGATTAACAACAATTTATTATTCAAAAACATTGCTACAACACACAAAGCTAAATACTGCTCAACATCGACAAAGCATATGCTGTCGAAAGATCTGCTGGAGATTCGATCAGCTAAAAGTAGAGTTCTATAGAAAGGTAGCAGCTGAAATATTGCAGCAACAACCTGGCCAATAAAAAAATTTAAGCTGTGATATTCTATTACGGAGATTGACTGTTATACGACAAGATCGACATTTGCCATCTTAAAAATTTCATAGGCGGAAATAGATTGAAAACTGTCGATGGAAGCATAGACTGGATCAAGTACAGTCACATTGGTTTAATATGGCAGTTAAGTGAAACGACATTTCTAAGAATACAATGTTCTATCTGGAAAAATGATGCAAATGGCCCGACTCACCTTTCTACGACAAAATCCTTTCCACAAGGAAACTATGTCTACTTTTTGTTTTTCTTTGTGTGACGAAAGCAAAATGGAAGATTAAATTTGTATATATACAGCGTACAGGTCATTCTATACTTCATGTACTCCTTAAAATATTAAAACTATCCCTAAAAAAATACTAACATAACATTCAGCATTCAGTAACTTGACTACGTTTATGTTTATGTAATTAAACCGAAACATATGTATTTCACGGGAACAGTTCTGTTGGGTGGTTACTTTTATTAGAACTTGTTCGGCTGTCCAGCGTTTATTGCAGCCGGCATCGGCGCCGCTTAAGCTTGTCCCAGCGGTGGAGGATATTGGTTTGGTGGCGGTGGATAGCTCGGGTAAGGTGGAGGTGCCTGATTAAAGCCTTTAGGAGGCAGGATGTAACTAGCTGGATTGTAGTTCACCGGCGGAGGAGCATGTACTTGTTGCGTCGTCATGTGTGTGTGAGTTGAGACCATTTGTTGTTATGACTATTGGCAGGTGACGACCACAGTACCGGATGTACGATAGAGACGGGAAACAATAGCAAGCATGATGACGAAGAAAATAATTGTGCCGATAGTAACACCTGTAATAGCTCCACTGCTCCAACCACAGAATGATGAATAACAGACTCCCCCACAACAATCCTCTCCAATGCCACAATCGGAGTCGTACGTACAGTAACAAGAAGACGAACTACTGATGCTCGTTTGTTCCACACTGGTAGTCGTACGAACAGTTGTAACATGTCTGTCTACAGACTTTATCTGAACAACAGGACTCACTGAGGGAACAATCGCTGTCGTCGTTACAGTAGGTAGCACTTCCCAAGGCAAAGAAATAGACGAAAAGAAAGCATAAAAGTTTCTTTGAGGCCATTGTTCTTTCACAATTTCAAAGGCGTCTGTTCGATGTGAGATAATAATTTGATAAATTGGACTAAATTGGACGCGGTTGGCTGGTTTCCAAATTATCATATATGGCATTGACGGTGATGGGGGGAGGGGGAGGGAAGGGTGGACGAGGAGAAAGTCCATTTTACTAAACATTTTACTAAAGAAGGTCGTGAGATGTCACGGTATTACACTCTAGTACAGGGAAAACAAACTGGCCTACGGAGCAACTGGCCGCACCGAGCGATGCAAAATTAGTATTTTGTGTTTTTTTTTTTCCTCGGCTCGACTTTTGAAGAAGCGTCCTTATGCGATCGATAAGATGCTCCGTAACCTACGTGTAGCCATACCATCCCCCCCCTCCCGCCAAGGTAAAACGGAAGAGAAGGAACGTCTACGAAAGCCCTAATCGTACACTACTAATCGTATTCTGTGACGATACTATAAACTATGCAATATTATGTCACTTGATGATATTCTTTTCTAGCGTGAAAGGTAATGGCTGATACTACTTTGCGAAACGAAACGAACAATGAAACGAAACGAAACGAAACCAGGCGAGATATAACGAAACTAAAGGAATTTCGCAGATGTATTTTCCAATAGGGTAAAGATAACCTTCCAAAAGGTTTTGGAGTAATCGTCAATTGATAAGTAGGATTTTTAGTCATTTCGCTAAATAATAATTCAGGAAGAGTTACTATTTTGCGAAATCGACTATTTTTTTCCTGCCTGCGGTGACAATGTGACCTCTTTCATGTCACAGATATGCATTTAAACATTACAAGTTAGTTCAGAACCAAACATTTTGGCCTCCTCTTATTTCTTAAACCGTATTAAAATATATTTCGAAAAATAGTAATTTTAGTAGAGACACTATTTTAAGAAATAGACTATCCTCACCCTACAATAACGACTTTCTTTTCGGGTCACAAAAATACGTTTCAACTTTAAATTATAATATATTCCCATAGATCTTGGTCACCTCCTATTTCACTATCCATATAAAATTAATTTCGCAGAGTAGTAATTTTAAGTCAATTACTATTTTTTATTTTTACGAATGACTATAATCACTGGGCGGTAACGATGAAGTCATTCTCGTGTCACACAACAGCTTAGGTACTTTACTAGTGTGTAATATTTCAATTCATTTTCGTGACATGGAAAATGTCACAGGGTCACCGGAGGGTGAAAATGGACGATTTTGTTAAATATATTAAATAAATTAAAATCCCCCTTAAAGACTAACGTTTACTTCAAAATCCTCCTTAACGACTAGCGTTTACCCCAAAATCCTTGTAAAAGTTATCTTTAAATTTTAGATAATATACTTCATTATTCTTTTCGTTTCGTTTCGCAAAATAAAATTTCACTGGCGCACAGGCGACCCAAGCTCCTAAAACTTTCAGCTGAATTGTGATCTTCTTTTATTTTTCAAGAAAGTTTGGACTGAAATTTCCAGTTAACTGACCTTCAGCACGTTTTCCAGTCCAACTGATAGTGGATCTCGTCCATCGCCCCAATCGCCCAATTCATCTTCTATTTCCACAGAAATTCGCAAAAACCACAAAATAATCGCTAAAAACCACGACTTATCCACCGGTTAGTATTATCCGGCTCGAAGGACCAGAAAGAATTATCGCGCAAAATGCTTCCACCACAAAGTTAAGTACTGTATTTTACAACTCAATCATTTATTGTTTTTTTTCAACCACGAGATCTCGTAAAATCACAAGACTTTGACGTTTCTGATTCAATGGCACGTAATGCGACAAGTCGACTACGTCTCGTGTTTCTCCTTACGCTTCTTTCGCGATCTAGCCGCTTCCTGCGTACTTTGAAACAGAACAGAGCATGTTCAAGGCTTTTGTATTTGTTAAATCAACGTCAACACATCCAGCTCTATTGAGATTATGGTAATTACATCACGTGAGCCTCATGGCTATGGTTTGAAAACATCACAGTTTTCCTTCCATTTTACTTCTCTGATACGAGCGAACTTGCAATTGCCAAGACTTCTTTCTTCACTGCCAACCTAACTTAGTCAAAACAATCTGCTTCTACCACGTGGTTTGGGTCCCACATCGCCCAACTTGGATTTTAATTTCAAATAGTGTCTGCATCTGCCAATATGATGAAGATGTCCGCCACATACAAGGTCCTTTTAGACTAAATATGGCAGGACAACATCGGGATTTAATCGGTTTCTTTTAGCTAATTAATGTCTCCTTCATCAGGTCTCATCATAGAAAAGCTTCCGCGACAAATGCATGATTAGGTTTAGCACTGCAATCAAAGATGTAGCACTATGCATATGTTTTACACCTGGTTGGTCTCGACAGATCTCGTTAGTTTTGATGAAAGTAAATCGCCCAAACACCAACTTCTCAATTAATCGTTCAGATAAAATTTCCGTCACGTTTACGAGCACAAAGAAAATTTTCTGAATATCCGAAGTAAAACTCACTTCCGAACCGGTCACCTGCATATCAAACTGAACCTTACACACGGCAGCTGATTAACAACAATTTATTATTAAAAAAACATTGCTACAATACACAAAGCTAAATAATGCTCAACATCGACTTAGCATATGCTGTCGGTCGAAAGATCTGCTGAAGATTCGATGAGCTAAAAGTAGAATACTATACAAAGGTAGCAGCTCAAATATTGTAACAATAGACTGAGATTGACTGTTATACGACACGATCGACATTTGCCATTTTGAAAATGTCATAGGGGGAAATAGATTACGAACTGTCGATGGAAGCATAGACTGGGTTAAATACAGTCAGATTGGTTCAATATGGCAATTACATTTCTCAGAATACAATATTCAATCTGGGAAAGTGATGCGAATGGCCCGACTCACCTTTCTCCGACAAAACTCCTTTCCACAAGGAAACTGTGTCTACTTTTTGTTTTTCTTTGTGTGACGAGAAGATTAAATTTGCATACATACAGCGTACAGGTCATCCTATACTTATGTACTCCTTAAAATGTTGAAACTATCCCTTAAAAAAAAATTCCAACATAACATTCAGTAACGTGACTACGTTTACGTTTATGTAAGTGGAAATTAAACCGAAAGATATTTATTTCACCGAAACAGTTCTGTTGGGTGGCTACTTTTCGTAGAATTTGTTCGGTTGTCCAGAGTTTATTGCAGCCGGTATCGGCGCCGCTTGAGCTTGTCCCGGCGGTGGAGGATATTGGTTTGGTGGCGGTGGATAGCTCGAGTAAGGCGGAGGAGGCTGATTAAAGCCTTGAGGAGGCGGGTTGTAACCAGCTGGAGGAGGCTGTATGGAGTACACCAACGGAGGAAGATCTACTCGTAGCGCCGTCTCGTGGGTGTGAGTTGCGACTATTTCTTGTCGTGCTTGTTGGTCGGTGACGACCACATTATCGGGTGTACGATAGCGGTAGTACGGGCAAGAAGCGCAGCAGCAGTAGGATACGATGGACATGATGATGGCGAAGAAGATAATCGTGCCGATAATGGCGCCTGCAATAGCTCCACCGCTCCAACCACAGTGTGAGGAACAAACTCCCCCACAACAAACCTCTCCAATGTCACAATGGTAGTCATACGTGCAGGAACAAGAAAACGAACTACTGATGCATTTGCTATTACAGCATTGCTCGCCAGTGTCACATTGGAAGTCGTGCGAACAGGAACAACTTGAGAAACTACTGATGCATTTGTTATCACAGCATTGCTCTTTCGTTCCACACTGGTAGTCGTACGAACAGTGGAAACATCTCTGTCTACAGACTTTATCTGAACAACAGGACTCACTGAGGGAACAATCGCTACAGTAGTTAGCACTTCCCAAGGCAAAGATATGGACGAAAAGAAAGCATAAAAGTTTCTTTGAGGCCATTGTCCTTTTACAATTTCAAAGGTGTCCGTTCAATGTAAGATAATGATTTGATGAATAAGACGCGGTTGTCTGGTTTCCAAATTATCATATATGGCATTGATGGCGATGGGGCGCGGGGGAGGGGGGTGGAGGGAGGGTGGAGGGGGAAGGGAAAGTCCATAACATTTTACCAAAGAAGGTCTTGAGTTGCCACGGTATTACACTCTAGAACAGGGCAACAAACAGGCTGCACCGAACGATCCAAAAATTAGTATTTTTTTTATTTTCACCATCTTCTTCGTTAGTACATGAAAGAAAACTACCAACTCCAGCCAATCAGAATTCACAAAAGAATGGACAAAGGGTTAACCAGGAGGGAGTCAATTCACATTTTCTTGCAAAAGAGTGACGTCAAAGAACACAATTGGTGTCAGATTTTTGTCGACGTTCCCTCCCTTCCGCTTCATCTTAAGGGGGGGGGGGTGGGGTAAGGTATAGCTACACGTAGGCTAAATGCACAGGTAAGGCCGTAGGATATATTTACAGTGTATTACGGAGTTACAGTGTATTCAGTCTTGTCACCGTTAACCAGTTAAGTCGGAACATTCTTGGCTCGAGCTCTTCTTCACCTTCGAAATCCTTAAGTCTTCCCTCCAGACTGCCGTGGCCACCTTCGTCGTTTTGTACGGCTTGAACTTCAGCTAAGTCGAACTGCTTCGGCTTCCAATGTCTCATTTCCTGCGCTTCTTCAGAGGTGGGACGTTGTTTCTCAAGTTCAAGTTCTGCTTCTAATCGCACTCGCTCAGCTTCTTCCTTAACTTTAAACAATTTTCGCTGTAACTCAGCTTGATTTTCAATTTCTCGCAATTTTTCTTTGACAGTACCTTTTGCCTTTTGACGTACGCTATTGTAGCGGCTGCTTTCGCTTTGAAAGCCAACGGATCCCTACTACTCTTAAACGAAGCCTTCGAACTCAATACAAACGATTCTTCACTCGTTCTCGCCTTTAAATGTTCTACTACCTCATCCAATGCTTCTGTAGCTCTAACAAGATCTACATCGTGCCATTCAAGTACTTTATCGTGCTCGGAGTCAGAAATAAACGACAGATACTAAACATTCAATTCTTCGGCTTGTTGTAAACAAGACTTTAATTCGGCCATAATACGACTGATTCGAGTTTTACCACTTGCCACACTGTTCTATCAAAGCTGCTAAACCTTTCAGCTGATCATAAATTGTGATCTTCTTTTACTTTTCAAGAAAGTTTGGACTGAAATTTCAGGTTGACTTACCTTCGGCACGTTTTCCAGTCCAACTGATGGTGGATCTCGTCGATCGCCCCAATTACTCAATTCTTCGTCCATTTCCACAGAAATTCGCAAAAACACAAAATAATCGCCGACTTATCCACCGCTTAGCGTTATCCGGCTCGAAGGACTAGAAAGAATTGTCGTGTAAAATGTTTCCACCACAAAGATAAATACTGTATTTCACAACTCAACCATCTATTACTTTTTGTAACCACGAGGTCTCATAAAATCACATGACACAAAGCGTGCAAACGAGATAAAATAAAATATATATATATATATCGATGTTCAGTTGCTACAAGCCGACTACGTCTCGTGTTTCTCCCTACACTTCTTCGTGCTTAAGCCGAATCCTGCATGCTTTGAAACAGAATAGAGCACAGTCAAGACTTTTTATTCGAGCTCCCGTAGGGACCTCTGAGAAAGCTCGAGTCTAAAAATGCAAGCTGTTCTTCGTCGTATTTGGCCGTCAAATGTATAGGTTTCGCACCAAAAGTTCCAGGCGTTCCTAGCGAAGACCCTAGAAACTGGGAATACAGCTATACAGAATGCCGCAGTGTTCTGTGAAGAAATCTCCGGAAAGAATAATGCCTCATACGCTCGTCTCACATACAAACGCACACACCATTCGTGGTAGGCCCACACTAAAAGATGTCGAGCGATTTTGGAACGAGTGAAGGTTGTCCAACACACCCAAGCTGAGTCCGATGGACAAAGGCCATGAACAACCAGACAGAAAGTATAGAGTTGCGGACTGGGTGGAAATACATGTCGGCAAACGGCCGGACTCCATCGGATACGATGGAGACGGGTTGCTGTGGCAAGAGGCTATCGGACTCGCCGCGTGTCAGTTCGCGAGAGACTTAGAAAATGTACGGCAAAGTAGAGTAGAGGAGGAAGTGGAAAATGTGGGTAAACGGACTCCATCGGATCCGATGGAGACGGGTTGCCGTGTCAAGAGGCCATCGGACTCGCCGCGTGTCAGTTCGCGAGATACTTAAAAATATACAGCAAAGTGGAGTTGAGGAGGGAGTGGAAAATGTGGGCAAATGGATTCCATCGGATCCGATGGAGACGGGTTGCCGTGGCAAGAGGCCATCGGACTCGCCGCGTGTCATTTCGCAAGAAACTTAGAAAATATACAGCAAAGTAGAGTGGTGAAAGGGGTGAAAATGTCAGCAAACGGACTCCATCGGATCCGATGATGCCTTCTCTGTGCATGGTTACGTTTGGCACGTACAGATGAAGGTTTCTTTAGGCAGCCCAGTCGTCGGTGTGTACTTCTGACCCAGGCAGGAGGACCCTTTGCAGAACATTGGACAATTCTCGGCGGTCTCTTTTTCACACAACTTAGAAGTAGCCGCGACTATGACTGTGTTCCGAAGAGATCACGCCAAATACCCATACTTTATCGCTGGCCCTGCGCCCTCTTTGATACTATAACGAGTAAATGTTTTAAATTGGAGATTGAGAGTTGCCCCTGTGTTCATCAAAAGAAAGTTTAATTTTTATCTAATATTTGTGACATCAAGCACCTTCCTGGCAGATAAACCCAGTCCTCTTAGCAGATTTAATGGCGGGTACTGTGCCAAGTGTTGGGAGTTACTCGACGCTATTTGACCATTTTATAAGTCGAATAAGAATTTCGCATTTGCCTCAAGGTCGAGCACAGTTTTAATCTTTGTAAATAATTTTTGAAAGCCTAGTTTATTCATTTATGTGCCCGAACATTGTTTGATTTCCTTTTAAAGTTGCCCAGAAGTTCAAAGGCGTTTTTGGTCAATCCAACCATGAACGATACTCTAGAGCGCAACTCGCGCTGACCCCACAGGTAGATTACAATTAAGAGTTTTTTTAAAGGAATACTGGGAAAGTCGGCGAAAAAAGTGCCTTCTCTTAAAGACTTCTTGCCTCTACACCCTCTGTATCTCCTGGAAAAAAAAAGCAGTGGTGTAACTCGGGTAGAATTCTGGTTTATAATTATCACTTTTTGTAGAACTATATTAGTTTAATAGTAGTATGCCAGTAATATAAAGTGGACAATTTTAAAAATAGTCTTTGTGTTGGAACTGTCAAGTCTTACCGCGCATAGCCATCTACGGAATTTGGATTTCTCTCTGCTAATTCCATTCCTCTATTACATGGCACACATCTCAGAGGGCTAGCTATCAAGTTCTGCCGCTGCAGCCAAGTTATCACATTGACGACTGGACCATCAGTGAGCATGTTAATGTCCATGAGATTCATCTTGATATGCTATTCAAATGCTTGGTTGGCTTCATTTATACTTATACTACGACTACTACGACTACTGAAACAACTGCTACTACAGTGTGGAAACGAGATGCGAAGGTGCGTGTCATTAAGTGGGGCCCCTTGTTCTGTCGCATTTTGTACTAAGATTTTCGTACTTGTTAGAGGGCTTTTTTCAATAGCTGTCAGCAAAAAAAAATTCTCCCGTAAAAACAAATTCAAATTTTATGAACCACGGACAGTGAGCAATATCCGAATTTTAAGAAAGCCTGTCAGGAAGATTGAAAGTAGGCGACATTGTGGAAATACTTGCCGATGCCGAAGAAAGGGTATCAAAATAAAAAAACTAAGTGGACGATAAGACCAATTCAGGGTAACAGAGTCTATTTTATTTTAGAATTCATTACATTAAAAACAACAACAACAGAGTAAAAAAAAAAAAACAACAGCAACACAAATAACACAGCAATGATTGATCACGTTACGTATGAGTGATTTTTCGAAAACTTTTGCGTATTAGCTGCGTAAAAATTACCCACAACCTTATTGATAATAAAAATGACGTCAACAAGATTCAAGTTGCGCCTCGTTGCTTAACTTAGGTTTGGAACGTTGAGGAAGTCATTTCTATGATCATAATAAAGTTATAGTTAATGAAAAACTCTGCTGAATTTGTTAACGCGCACTTTTTAATAACACTTGTCGCACCTTGTATTTAAAAAGCTGTGAATATGAACACGATCTTTACGGTAATGAACACTGAGTGGGTATGCCAACTTTTGGAACGGGTGTGTTTAATTTTTAGGGGGTGGGGTTCGATTCCCAACGTACTTGGTGTCTAGTGACCCTCTGGATTATGGTGAACCCAACCCTAGGGCATAGCACTCCCAGCCATGAGTTGGAACAGACTGGTTGTCCGGCGGGCATTGCACGACCCTCACGGGAGCCCGGCCGTTGGCCTTAAACATGAAAAAGAAACTAGCTGAGCAGTAGTAAAAATAAGGCCTGAAAAATTCATGCTGGTACGGGATTTGAACTCATTACCTGTGCGATACCGGTGCAGTGCTCTACCAGTATCACAGAGGTCATGGGTTCAAATCCCGAACAGGCCTTATTTTTTCTGGCCTTATTTTCACTACTGCTGAGGTAGTGTTCACTACTGCGAAGGTCGCTTTCATATTTACGTCTTTATCCGCAGTTCACCTATATGATTTTCATACATTCACATTCAAAGCTCTCGCACTTTTTTTTGTAATGTGAATGGTCGGAGGGAGAGTAGACCCAACTGAATAACCATCATCCCTGTCAATAACGACAATAATAATAATAATAATAATAATAATAATATTAACAGTAGACCATAACAAATATAACGATGATACTAATTATCGTCAAGAACTTTTTGTCCTTGCTTCTCACTCTTTGTTCATCTCGAGGCTCGGCCTACTGCCATCGAAAATTCGTAATGCAAAATGCTTGCCTGCGACTGAGATCACATACGGGGGGCCATACGGGGGGCCATTGCGACGGGCCATTTTCGCAAAAACGCATTGTATAGTGCTAATGACAAGGGCTTAACGCTCGAAACGTCAGCTTACAAACTTTTTACGGTGGCCAATTTACGTTATCAACTCCGTTAATAAAACCAAATTAGCTTAATATTTCCCTCAGCGACGAGGTTGAGGCGTTCCTGGTGCAAAATCTTCCTTGGAAAGTACAATTGTCTACTCCATCAATGCGGACGACCTTGAGACAACAAAATAGTGTCCATATCCAGCGTCCAGAAAAATTTAATTCCGTATCGAACGAGTTTGTAATGGTAATTATCTGCTATCCGTATCATCGGGTTATCCATAACAGTAGGGTTTCCTCGAAGCGAGAGTTTACTGAGTTTATCAGTTTCTTTCATGAAGAATTTTTTAATACTTTTTTTTAATTGATAAACTATAGCACTTCCCGAGCTTAAATTATTATAGTAAAAATGTGTTTAATCAGGCTAAACGTTTCATCTGACAATGGCAGACTTCATCTGCGGCTTTTTACAGTAAAGTCGAGTAATTAAGTTTGCTTAAGTCGAAATAATAAATAAATTGTCTATTTTCGTTTTTCATCCATAGTGTGAAGATAGCGTAAAGTATTTACAAGGTGTGACAGAGGAGTTCCACGCGCGTGCGTGAATTGGAAGTTACATGCATGGGTACCTGATGTGTTTACGGGTCACAGATTTAGTATCAAATCTTTGCTACAATTATCGTTATTAAATATTGACAAGGATGTGGTTGTCCTTGGGGCCACTTGTCCCAATTAAGCTTGGCGACTTTTGAGCTACTTTTGGCGTTAGAGCATCTTTTGCGGTCTTGGTGACCTAAAGCACTTGTTAAGCACGAAAAAGTCAACGGTTTCATAGAAAACTCCGATTTATGCGAATTTCTTGAATTTTCATCGACCTTTAGAACACATAACCTGTCACTTGGCAACGTCTCGCCGACCTATAACGACCCTTGTCTAACGGTCCTTGTAACGGATAATCAGCTAGCCGTTAGACTTCTTAGTTTTCTTTTCGTTGGCTTATTTTTAAGAAAAATACAGAAGGAGGCTGGACTTTTCGCGTACGAACTATAGGAAATTGGAACAAGCTGTCTTTTGACATAAAGAAAGCGATAAATGCTAAAAAGAAATTTTATACGAATTTAATCGCTGAGAAAATAGAGATAGGAAATTTTGAGTATCTTTTAAATAGTTAAGTAGCCTTTTATATCGAGTCTCCAAAATAATTTGTTCTAGATACCTAATATGTTTTTAAATAGTTTAGATTTTAAAATAAGATTCTAGATAGTTTTTAAAAACTATATTTGCTTGCTTGTTACATTGTGTCGATGAATAGTTTTTATCCTTCTATAATGACAGTGTAGAAATATTTTAATATTAATTTTTATTTTATGTTTTAGAGAGGGCCTATATGGCGATAGAACTGTCACGTGTTTACCCTCTTTAGATAAGGGCGTTACCTTACCTATCCAAAAATTTCGACCCCATATTTGCGAGCAACTAACCTATTTTTCTTGACCTGCCCCTGAGGAAAAAATCATCATTTGATGTATGCTTCAGTGAATAATGAAGGTGAATAAAGTCAAGGGGTTCTTACAATCAGGGGTCTTACAACCAAGGGTTCCTACAATCAAGGGTTCTCAAAACCAGGGGTTCTTACAATCAGGGGCTTGTATCAGTGTATCTTACATGACAGGTCTGTGCCCAGATGTTGATATTGATCATTGTTCCTTACAGTCAGGGGTTAAAATCAACGTGTCTTATATGACAGGTCTGTGCCCAGATGTTGATATTGATCACTGTTCCTTACATACAGGGGTTCAAATCAACGTGAACAGGTCTCTGCCCAGATATATATATTGATCATAAAATCTTACAATTAGGGGTCTGTGTTGATCACAAATGTAGTGCATTTCCTGTGATCAGATGTTGATATTGACCTTACAATGTCGCATTCATGTGAAACCTATGTCCTAATGTTTATTCTGATGGTAAATCTTATATCTAGGGGTCTGCGCGCAGATGTCGATATAGATTGTGAATGCTTTCATTACTTCCACGGGTCTTAGATTCCTTTCTTACAACTAGGGTTTTTCAATTGGACCTTGGAATAGTTGCAACGTAACAATAACGAATTATATATGGGGATTTTTTTTTAAATTGTAAGGTGGTTTTATATAAGGGTCTGTTCCCAGCTACTGATATTGATCCAATTCTACAATGAGATATGCTAATAAGTCAAATCAGCTGAACATGGAAAGAAATATTTCGAATACTTAAGGTTGTTTTCATGTAATTTCCCATATAGTGAGTACAAGAGTCTAACTCATAGAGGCAATTGTACAAAGTACAAGCTTTGTAATGATGTGGAGGAAAACCCTGGTCCTGCCATGCAGCATGTTGATCCCAATAAAACAATAAAAGATCCACATAAAAAAGGGGATGTTGTATTTTGACAAAATGCAAGACAAAAATGTGTTGCAATGAGTTTATGTGCTTTAATATACCACAATATGAAAGGAATAAGTAACCCTGGTGACTTGAAACAAATGGTGCATATTGGCAATCAACTATACAGCAGTTTGTCAAAACTTAAGCTAGATAATCATTCTTACTGCTTACAGAATTACCAACAATGCTTACAGTATTGCAGGGAAATTACCCGCTAGAATACAGTGCAAGTTACACTGTTAGTGTCCATGGTGAGACTACTATTAAGGAATATCAATACTGAGCCTGAAAAGAGCTTTTGAGTCACGGATATCAGAACAATACAGGTTGCTTATTTTAACAGTTGGTCGTATTGCTGTCAGTATTGTTTACTGTGCTGACAATCACCATTTTAAAGTGTTTGACTCATGCTCGAGATATTTATAATAAGAGTCATACTAAAGGGAAATATATACTATTAGATATATCATCTGCAGACAACTTAGTGCCATACTTTCAAAGTTTATACGGAGTAACTGATGTGTATGAACTGAAAGGTTTACATATTACAAAATATGACATAACAGCGAGCAACAGTGTAAAAGATGTATTAAATACACCATCAAAAACCACTACTGCTTTGAAATAGCTCTTTATTCTATATGTTACTCAATCATTTCACCTTGTGGTTACTGGAACTCAAATACTTTAAATGCAATTATTCAAAATGGAACTCGGCTTAATAATACAATGCAAAGTGAACATCATTCAACATCTATTTATATTCGTAACAGTGTTATAATTTTTGGCATTAAGATAAACATAGATGTTGATAAACTAAGTCACAGAAAATTAAATGAATTACCTAAAAGCAGGATATCTTTAAAGACCTTGATTTTAAGGAACAATGGGAAAACAGAATTTTTAATGTGCATTTCAAGTTTCTGTGCTGCTTGTATTTATCAACAAAATACCACAGTGAGACTGTTTTCACTTCTGACATGAAGATGGTAATTCACCTGAAAGAAAACACACAAAACACATCAGTGGTGTAAACAAACTTCTAGAGGCAATTCAAATTATAACATAGCTAGTAAATTTGTCTTGTCAAATTCAATTGCGCGAGCGTGCTTCATATTCCTATTGTGCACACTCATGACGTCAGCAGACAAATCCCTCAAGAAAAAAATTTTCCTTCGGGTTGAAAATGTTATAAAACAATTGGTTCATACATCAGCTGTGCGTTCATATGAAGATATATGATATCTTCATATGATATATACTTCATATCTTGAGATATGAAGCACTTGGGAAGTTTGGAGAGCACTCAAGAAGCTAGAGTTGTTCTATTGAATAATGTATTAAAACGTTTAAGAAGAAATTTAAGAGAAGGCCCTTATTTCATATGTATTCTCTGTAATCGAATACTTTATAAAAAATCAGTAATGAGGTGCATAAACAACAATTACGCCTGCCCAACATTTTTCAATATTCAATAATCAATTGATGGTAAGGAATATATATGCAAGACATGCCATTAAAAAGTCATAAAAAGAGAATTACCATATCAGGCTGTTGTGAATAATATGTATGTTGATGAAACACCCACACAACTGGCTTCACTAGAAAAACTTGAACAAGAACTAGTTGATTCACAATTTTCGATCCTCTAGAGCTACTCAGTTTTTTTTTCTGCTTTTTTTTACTGCTTCTTTCCCCTAACTTCTCAATAAATCGCTCAGATTAAATTTCCGTCACGTTTACAAGCACACAAAAATGTTCGGAATATCCGAAATAATATTCACTTGCGAACCGGTTGTTACGATATTCAGTTGACTGCGTCAGAGCTTTGTATTTCCCTTGGCAATAATGCACCAGTCAATGTAAACCCCCGCACCCCCCGGCCGAGACATAGCAGTGCATTTGACATGCGCTCACTTCTAAAGTTGCAGAATGCCCCGCACCCCAAGGTCAGGTTTTTCTCTAATTGAAGCTAACGACCCCGCTCATCCCCCCCTCTTGTTGAGTGGAAGACACAGGCTAATGTAAATGATTTAAACTTTATTTGTCAAGTAACACACGTCACCGCAGACAATGCTTTTCAAATGATGACATGCTTGATCGGTCAAGTGATTCTCAGAATAAATTAAGTTAACCTGACAAAAGATTTTTGTTCACAAAACAACAAACGACCTTAAGGACGGATGGCATACTCAGCCAAAGATATAAGGTGATTGAGATAAAACGACTCTTACATTCTTCAAAAGCCGCCATCTCGCCGGACTAGCAATTCTTGACTCAGTCCACCTCGGTGGAAAATACCCCGGTCCACTCCCCCGCTGTTCTTGGATGACGTGCAAAAGAGGTCAAAGTCCCCGATACCTGCGGCCCTTTCGCTTGTCAAATAACGGAAAATTCCCTGCAAATGCCTCGCTATGTCCCGGCCGGGGGGGTGCGGGAGTTTACATTGACTGGTGCATAACGTTTAGTTGGTAAAAAGCACATGGTGACTGCTGTCTTACGTCACCGGTCACCTGCATGTCAAACTGAACCTTGCACACGGCAGCTGATTAACAAAAATTTATTATTCAAAAAACACTGCGACAACACACATAAATAAATACTGCTCGACATCGACATAGCATATGCCATCGAAGGATCTGCTGAAGATTCGATCAGCTAAAAGTAGAAAATGAAAAAGCAACAAATCTCGCTAAAACGGAATCAGATTTCTAACGTCTATAAATAAGGTAGCAGCTTAAATGAAATAACAACAACCTAGCCGATGGAAAAAAAATTAACATGCATAATTCGTTTACCCAGATGATCAATTTGACTGCTATAAGACACGATAGACATTCACAATCTTGAAATTTCATAAGCGAAAAATAGATTGAAAACTGTCGATGGAAGCATAGACTGGGTTAAATATGACAGTTATATAAAACTACATTTCTAAGAATACAATATTCATTCTGGAATATTTATGCAAATGACCGGACTCATCAATCTCCTCATGAAATCTGTGTCTACTTTTTGTTTTTGTTTGAACGACGAAAGAAAAGTGGAAATATACAGCGTACAGATCATTCTATACTTCAAGTACTCCTTAATTAAAACGTTTGAAACTATCCCTAAAAAAAATACTAACTTAACATTCAGTAACTTGACTACGTTTACATTTATGTAAGTGGAAATTGAACAGAAGGTTACCTCGAAGGTTACTTTTATTAGAACTTGTGCGGTTGTGCAGAGTTTATTGCAGCCGGCATCGGCGCCGCTTGAGCTTGTCCCGGCGGTGGAGGATATTGGTTTGGTGGCGGTGGATAGCTCGGGTAAGGCGGAGGAGGCTGATTAAAGCCTTGAGGAGGCGGGTTGTAACCAACTGGAGGAGGCTGATTGTAGTTCACCGGCGGAGGAACATGTACTTGTTGCGTCGACATGTGTGTATGGGTTGAGACGATCTGTTGTGGCTGGTTGCCGGTGACGATCACAGTACCGGGTGTACGATAGCGGTAGTAGGGGCAACAAGCACAGCAGAGACAGGACACAATGGAAATGATGATTGCGAAGAAAATAATTGTGCCGATAATAGCGCCTGCAATAGCTCCACCGCTCCAACCACAGTATGATGACGAACAAACTCCCCCACAACAATCCTCTCCAATGTCACAATCGGAGTCGTACGTGCAGGAACAAGAAGACGAACTACTGATGCATGTGCTACTACAGCACTGCTCATCAATGCCACAATCGAAGGTGGACGAACAGGAACAAGTGGAGAAAATGCTGATGCATTTGTCATCACAGCATTGCTCGTTCGTCCCACACTGGCTGTTGTACGAACAGTAGGAACATTTCTCTCTACAGACTCCATCTGTACAACAGGACTCACTATAGGAACAATCGCTTTTGAAGGTACAGTAGGTAGCACTTCCCAAGGTAAAGAAACAGACGAAAAGAAAGCATAAAAATTCCTTAGAAGCCATGGTCTTCCTTACAATTTCAATGGCGTGTGTTAATTGATGTGACATTGATAGCGAGGGGGGGAAGGGGAAGGGGACGAGGAGAAAATTCATAACATTTACCAAATAAGGTCATGAGATGCCACGGGGTTACACCGTAGAACAGGGCACACAACCTGGCCTACGGGACAACAAACTGGCCGCACCGAGCGCTCTCGGAAGTTTGCATTTTTGTTTTGTTTTGTCTTTTCACCCCACAATAATATCTTTCTTTTCGGGTCCCAAAAATACGTTTAAAATTTAAATTATAGTATATTCCCATAGATCTTGGTCACCTCCTATTTCACTATCCATATAAAATCAATTTGAAAAGTAGCAAGTTTAGAGCAATTACTATTTTGCAAAATGGACTATAATCACTGAGCGGTAACGATGAAGCCATTCTCGTGTCATACAACGGCTTTGGTAATTTACTCATTTGAAATATTTAAATTTATTTTCGTAACATAAAAGATGTCACATTGTCAACGCAAGATGAAAATGGTCGATTTCGCAAAATATATGTCAAAAAATTAAAAATCCTCCTAAACGTTTATTCCAAAATTGTTGTGAAAGTTATCTTTAAATATTAGATAATATACCCCATCATTCTTTTAGTTTCGCTTGGTTTTGTTTCGTTTCGCAAAATAGAATAAGCCAAAGGTAATCGAGATTCACAACAACACTGAAAAGAATTCATTTTCCATGCATAATTCGGGTAAATTCACATTTTACTGTCCCTGTTCAAATGTATACTTTGCTTTAATTAACGATACAGAAAAAGATTATGAGCGATTTTTGGTATAGGACGTATAGAGCGAGAAGAGGACAATGTTCGATTCGCATCGCGTTTTCGAAACTAGATTTCAACGTCCAAGCGGTTTCTGCTTGCATTTGTAAACAGTGCCACAGTCGTCGAAGAACGTTCACTAAAATGGCCGCGGTTTAACCAAGTAAGCGGTCAGACAACAAGCAATGCACAGTAAAAGTAAAGTGAAGTATTGTTTTATGAAAGCTTTAACCGACGGCACGATAATTAAAGTGACCGGTTTCTTCTAGAGATGGAAGGCGATCGATCACTGGCATACAGGCGGCCCAAGCTCCAGCTGTGAGAAGATTAACTTCCTGTCATTTTGAGATTGGGTTTTTCGCTTTCGGAAATGGAGTGTGTAGCCTTAGGAGCAGGAAAACTTAGAAGAGGTTAACTCGCTAAAAATGGCCGCGGTTTAACAAAGTAAGCGGTCAGACAACAAGCAATGCACAGTAAAAGTGTGAAGTATTGTTATATTTACTCCTAAGAGTAAATATTCTCATACAAACTCTTATAATATTTTCACCATAACGCTTATTACGCAAGATGATCGTCTCACAGCTGGGGAAACCAGAAACATCGTTCCCTTCAAAAGTGACGTCACAAAACACGATTGGTGTCAGGTTTTGGTCGACGTTCCCCCCCTTCCGTTTTCTCTCGAGGGTGGGGGGGTACGGCTACGCGTAGATGCACCGATAAGGCTTTAGGATATATTTGATCAAAATATTAAAAATTGAAATAGTAGTGGAATAATACAACCCATTTTTAATGGTTTGACATTTAATACGAGCGGACATCTTGCTCACTAATCGCAATTTTCTTCGCAGTTTTCCTCGCGCCTTTGGGGCGCGAATAAATACTACGAGTCTCACAATTTACCCGCAAGTATTAAATGTTAAGCCACCAAACAAAGTGTATATACATAATATCTTAACGGGGATGGTTCAGTACCTTTCAATTCAGACCAAAGCTGATATTGAGGAAGGCCCAAATATTGAACAAAGTTCCTAAAGACACCGGAAATCTGTCAAGCCTGACGTTATTCAAGAAAAAACAAAGTCACTCGTAAATACCCTCTTCGAAAAATTGTATTTAATCAAATTCTTAATGTATTTTTTTTAATTATGACGACTCGTATTAATCTTGTATCAGTTCGTCTTGAATAAAGTTTATGCAATTATTTTCTAATTATTTAGCCATTTCAACCAAATTTAACATTTATTAAAATAATTCATATTCAGTGATTTGGAAACATCATAAACGAAGGCCTTGACTCTATCGTAAAATATTAATAGAAAACTGTACTTCCGCAAGCATCCGTGAAAAGAGCAAATAAAATGATGAAACTCCGGGAAAATTACTTTGCATGTCACGCAATTGTAACTTACTGGAAATCGACAATTGAGTAAGAAGCTTGAAATATCCAATAGGGTTAACCGATAACAGTAAGACGGCCAAAAAAATTAGCCATTTGGCTCAGAAATTGACAAATTTTACTCGTTAGCCGTACGAAAAGTTAACCGTATGGAAAATTTCTGGTGACCACAATGGAAAGGTATTATCTGTTTATAGCCGTAAATGGGCCAAAATTGTCAACATTAACCGTAAAAGCCATCATTCCACTAAGATCCTCAACCTTGGGATGGTAATTGTGAATTTTCTCTAATTCTACTCCGATGTAAAAAATTGTTCTATGCAAACTTGCGCCATACCATGGATATATGACATATGCCATACATAAATTAGTTGCCGGTTGTTTCCATGTTGACTTGCTTCAAACATCTTAGTACTTGGCCGGTTTGGGAGGCGGTATCGAAACGGCTTGTCCTTTTATCTCAGCTGAAGGATTCAGGTTTGGAATAGGTGGCGAATAAGCGGGTGGTGCTTGGTGTAAACCTGAAGGAGGCTGGTTGTAACCTGCTGGAGAAGGCTGGTTGTAGTTATGCAGCACAGGAGCTTGTACTTGCTGCGTCGTCACCGTGTGTGCCTGAGTTGGGGACGAGCTGTTGTTGCAGCTGTTGGGTGACGATCACAGTACCGGGTGCACGATAACGGTAATACGGGCAGGAAGCACAGCAGAGGTAGGATACAGTGCAAATGACGAAGGCGAAGAAGACAATATTGCTGATGATAATACTTGCAATAGTTCCACTGCTCAAACCACAGTTTGACGAACACACTCCCGACAACATTCCTCTCCAATGCCACATTGGAAGTCATACGTACAAGAAAAAAGAAGACGACTCACTGATGCATTTGTTTTTACAGCATATCTTGCCTAATCCACATTCGTACTTGTTCGCACAGAAACAAGAAGACGAACTACTGATGCATTTGTTATCACAGCATTGCTCGCTAGTTCCGCATTGGTGGTCGTACGAACAGTAGTGACATCTTTGTCTGCAGACGTTATCTGCACAACAGGATTCAAGGGCCGAACAATCCGAACTTTTCAAACAGTATTTAGCCTTTCCCAAAGCAAAGAAAGCCATCGTCACCAGTTGGCGTTATCCGGCTCAGAGGACCAGAATGAATTGTCGTGTTAAACGCTTCCATCACAAAGTTAAGTACTGTATTTTACAACTCAACCATTTATTACTTTTTCTTAACCACGAGGTCGCGTAAAATCACATGACCCTAACATTAATAATTCAATGGCACGCAATGCGTGCAAACAAGATTGAAAAATATCTTTTAAAAAATATATATTGATGTTCAGTCGCGACAAGCCGACTACGTCTCGTGTTTCTCCCTGCGCTTCTTTCGTGCTCTAGCCGCTTCCTGCGTGCCTTGAAACAGAACAGAGCATAGTCAAGACTTTTTATTTGTTAAATCAACGTTAACACATCCGCTTCTATCACATACATCACGTGAACCTCATGACTAGGATTGTAAAACATCACAGTTTTCCTTCCATTTTACTTCTCTGAAACGGGCGAACTTGCAATTGTCGAGACCTCTTTCTTCAATGGAAACCCAACTTTATGAGACCATCTTTTTCTAGCAGGTTTTGGGTCTCACAGGGCTCAATTTGAATTTGAATTTCAAATAGTGTTTGCATCTGCTGATATGATGAAGATGTCCACCAAATACAAGGTCCTTTGAGACTAAATATGGCAAGACAACATCGGGATTTAACCGGTTTCTTTTAGCTAATTAATGTCTCCTTCATCAGGTCTCATCGTAGTAAAGCTTCCGCGACAAATGCATTATTAGGTTTAATACTGCAAGCAAAGATGTAGCACTATGCATATGTTTTACACCTGGTTGATCTCGACAGATCTCGTCAGTTTTGATGAAAGTAAATCGCCCAAACACAAACTTCTCAACAAATCGTTCAGATGAAATTTCCGTCACGTTTACGAGCACAAAGAAAAAGTTCGGAATATCCGAAGTAAAATTCGCTTGCGAACCGGTCACCTGCATATCAAACTGATACACACGGCAGCTGATTAACAACAATTTATTATTCAAAAAACACAAAGCTGAATACTGCTCGACATCAACATAGCATATGCTGTCGAAGGATCTGCTGAAGATTCGATCGGCTAAAAGTAGGATACTGTACAAAGGTAGCAGCTCAAATATTGCAACAACAACCTGGCCAATACAAAAAAATTTAAGCTGTGATATTCTATTACCAAGATTGACTGTTATACGACACGATCGACATTCGCCATCTTGAAAATTTCATAGGCGGAGATAGATTGAAAACTGTCGATGGAAGCATAGACTGGGTCAAATACAGTCACATCGGTTTAATATGGCAGTTAAGTGAAACCACATTTCTAAGAATACAATATTCTATCTGGAAAAATGATGCAAATGGCCTGAATCACCTTTCTCTGACAAAAATCCTTTCCACAAGGAAACTGTCTCTACTTTTTGTTTTTCTTTGTGTGAAGAAAGCAAAATGGAAGATTAAATTAGCAGATATACAGCGCACAGGTCATTCTATACTTCATGTACTCCTTCGAATGTCAAAACTATCCCTAAAAAATACTAACGTAACATTCAGCATTCAGTAACTTGACTACGTTTACGCTTACGTAAGTGGAAATTTAACCGAAAGATATTTATTTCACCGAAACAGTTCTGTTGGGTGGTTACTTTTATTAGACCTTGTTCGGTTGTCCAGCGTTTATTGCAGCCGGCATCGGCGCCGCTTGAGCTTGTCCCGGCGGTGGAGGATATTGGTTTGGTGGCGGTGGATAGCTCAGGTAAGGCGGAGGTGCCTGACTAAAGCCTTCAGCAGGCAGGTTGTAACCAACTGGAGGAGGCTGATTGTAGTTCACCGACGGAGGAACATATACTTGTTGCGTCGTCAAGTGTGTGTGAGTTGAGACCATTTGTTGTTGTGGCTGTTGGCCGGTGACGACCACAGTACCGGGTGTACGACAGCGGTAGTACGGGCAACAAGCACAGCAGAGACAGGACACAATGGAAATGATGATGGCGAAGAATATAATTGTGCCGATAATAGCGCCTGCAATAGCTCCGCCACTCCAACCACAGTATGATGACGAACAAACTCCCCCACAACAATCCTCTCCAATGTCATAATCGGAGTCGTACGTACAGTAACAAGAAGACGAACTACTAATGCATTTGCTATTACAGCACTTCTTGCTCGATCCACATTGGTAGTCCTACGAACAGGAACAAGAAGACAAACTACTAATGCATTTGCCATTACAGCATTTCTTGCTCGATCCACATTGGTAGTCGTACGAACAGGTACAAGAAGACGAACTACTGATGCATTTGCTATTACAGCACTGCTCGCTAATTTGACACTGGTAGTCGTAAGAACAGGAACAAGTGGACGAACTACGGGTTCATTTGTTATTACAGCATTGCTCATTCGTTCCACACTGGTAGTCGTACGAACAGTAGTAACATCTCTGTCTACAGACTTTATCTGAACAACAGGACTCACTTTTGAAACAATCGTTGTCGTCGTTACAGTAGGTAGCACTTCCCAAGGCAAAGAAATAGACGATAAGAAAGCATAAGAGTTTCTTTGAAGCCATTGTCCTTGCACAGTTTTTAAGGCGTCTGTTCGATGTGAGATAATAATTTGATAAATTGGACGCAGTTAACTGGTTTCCCAATTATCATATATGGCATTGATGGTGATAGGGGGGAGGGGAGGGAGAGAGGTGGGGATGTTGAGGGGGACGAGGAGAAAGTCCATAACATTTTACCAAAGAAGGTCACGAGATGCCACGGATAACCCTCTAGAACAGAGCAAACAAACTGTCCTGCCAAGCAACAAATTGGCCGCACCGGGCGATGCAAAATTAGTATTTTTTGTTTTTTTGTATGGCTTACACAACGTGTTTAGCCACATTATGGCACGATCGGATTTCTTTATTTGTTTGTACACGAGAGTCGAGCGCCTGTCACGTGGTCTAGTATCGTATTATTGTACGGCGCACTAATCTGAGTCAGCCATCTTGATTGTAAGCGTGGTCTCGAGTAATTTTTTTCATGTGATCGTATCACGAGTTAGTTCCCCTCACACAAGCCAACACATCCAGACCCGGCTTGTGTTATAAGTGCAGCTTGTGCAAGAGCTTGTACGTTCTTAAAAGACAATATTTAACTGCTTGAATCTTCGGTACGGGCTGTACCACACTGAAAGGAGCTCTTGCACTCTCACAAGCCAACAACTATCGGCTTGATCTATCGGTGCGGGTTGCACCACTGAGTGTGTCTGTGTTGCAATGTCACTTACTGCTATTATTTATCATTACATAGAAGATATCAATTTGTGGACTTCTTCCCTTTTGAATAATATTCTTACCAATGGAAATAATTTGTATACTTCTATAAGATGTTCTGTCTAAACAAATGATTATTTGCTTTTAACTGATGTTCCATACATTGTTTCAATGTACAATAATGTATACACATTAGAATATAGTGAGTCATTAACAGGAAGTTTGTTCATAAATAATGGGCCATACATGTCTCTTGAAAATTCTCTGACAGAAGTGTTTTCAAATTGTCAACTTAACTACAAGTGTTGTTTGTTAATGATTGGAATAAATACTGTTGCAGTGATTAAGAATTCAGAACAAAGCTTGAATGATGCTCATTCCAGGGATTTTCATGGGATGCCCCACTCATTTGGGAAATTCACTTTGCTTACCATTGAAGGAATTGAAAACCTTGTATCATATTTGAACATTTCCTGCTTACAAATAGGGTTTGTTCCTTTTGAAATTAAAGGTGTCTTTGTCAGAGATAATGAACTTGATTTGCAAAATGCTCACGAGAGTCCAAAAATTGAACATTTGCCTTTCATAAATAAAAGAAACCAAACATAACATATGAAAACGAAGTAAAAGTCTTTAACTGAAACGCCAGAAGAAAAAGAAAAACGAGTGATTGCTAAACATGAATATGAGAAATGAAGAAAGGTAAATGAAAGTGAGGAATCTAGGGAAAAGAGGCTGGCACAGCAGCGTCTGATCAAGGAAAAGAAACGTGCAAATGAATCTTCTGAATCAAGAAAAAAGGCGGTTGCCAAACCTAATCTCATTATCAAAGAAAAAAAATTGCAAATGAATCAGCAGAATGTAGAGTGGAGAGACTGTTAAACCAACGTCAATATCAGAATGAAACTAGACGCATAATTGTATTCACCCAAGCTTTCTGTTGGAAATAAACTTTGTTTTTTATGCTTGCATTTTCCTAAGTTTTTATACAATTATTGGTTTATCCTGTACCTGTTTTTGCGTGGTTTACATGAGGTGTAAACCACACTACGTCATGATCCAAGATACTTATTCCTAGCTGGATTTATCACAGTGAACAGATCGCTTGTCACGTGGTTTATTATTGTCGAAGATTGGTTTCAGTCTATGCTTGGCTAAGTCACCTAAGCTTCAAAGCTTCAGAAAGCGACCATTTTGCAATGGTGGCTGTAACACGCTGTCGAAGATCGTTTTTTAATCTAGTTTTTCATTCATCTTTGTTGCTTAGATTTCACATGCCGGCTTTCCTACAGTCGACGTGTCTTCTAAGTGCGGATTACAGCATGGAGTTGAGCTCTGACAGGCCAACATTTCATGGTCTGGACCTTCAGTGCAGGTCATACCACATTGAAACTTAGGAGTCATTATTGACTCTCTTTGCGCACATTTCACATAAGTCATTTACTGGAACATTTTTTATCCTGAATTTCTGTTTATACCACATTCTCAGTGAGAAAATTACTTAACCAGTCTTTTTAGTACATGCAAAGATAAAATTTTGGTTAAACTGCAAAATACCTTACCACCCATGGCATTACATGTCATTGAATACGAATAGAATAAACCATTTTTAGCCAGTAGTGAAAATAGGACTTTTTTGTTGCCATTAGAAAATCAAACACTGCTGTTGTCTGGAAATTCAATTTGACGGCCTCTTTAAATGAAATTATACTTTCATGTTTACATAGCTAAACCAATAAAAGTCACAAACATCTAACGCCTAACCTGAAACTGCGGTTTGTCGTTAACAAGGTGCTAAATGTCTATTGTGATTGTCTCCAAACTTTAGGGAGTAATCCATTGAAACTCAGTAGCGAAGTGGTTTTGCTTTTATTAAAATATGAATCGAAGCCTAGTGCTTTAATGTTAACTGAAATGTGATTAGTGATATGTTTTCCAAGTTATACGGCCAGAATTATTCAGACCTTAACATCTCATGACTTCCTTCAAGCTTGGCAGTCTTCTAGACTCTCTTCATACTTCATAAAATTACACCTTTTTGGTTGGCTGAAAATAGCTAGCTAGGTGCCTTTTTCATTTATCATTAGTGAAAAATTTATAACTCATGTACAAAATAATATAAACTAGGCTTAGCAACAATAGATCACATTAGAAACCAATCAGATTTACACAAAGTAGGTTCTGATTGATAAATGCAGTAGCTGACAAAAATAAACAAGAGCTTGGATACTTCTATGTATATTGATAAACACTAAAAAATTACATTCCTGAGTAAGAATTCCGCTGAAGGACAAATTTTGATGGCATGCACTTCATTTAGTCAATACTGTAAAATTTATCTGCCATCAGTTTGTTGATTTCCTGTAAATGTGTATCTTTCATGTATACGTTATGGATAATTAATAACATGATTTCTCATATGATAAGCACCTGTAAATTTTTCAAATACTTTAAACTGTACACACGCTATGAGCTCAACATTTGTTGTTTGTGAAAAATTTACTTCTGCTTGTTTAGAACACCAAAGTACACTTTAATTAACTTAGCTTAGACTTTGTTGAGTTTTTATTAAGACAGTTCAATGGAACTGGCATTTTTTACATTTATAGTTAAAAGTTAGAGCTAATTGATGTGGATTAGATAACCATCAGGTATCCTCGGAGACCCAAGGTTCTAATCACATCTGTAGACCCCTTAAAAGCACAGTCTTAACAGATCAGTTCCAAACTGTCACGGTCATTCTGAATTTTGATTGGTACCAGAAGTTCAATCTTGTTCTGGCAAATGAGAGAGAAGCAGGTCTCACAAGTCCTCTTGTGTGCTCTAACACAAAGTGATACATGAAATTCAGTTGCTTACCATGTTTGTTTTGGACCTTTTTGTACGGTAGATTAGCAATTTGCATGATGATGTGAAGTCGACCATTTGCATGATGATGTCAAGTTCACCCATTCATTTCTCCACATAACTTGAATTTGGTAGACTCACTGGCATGAAATTACAATTTCAATTAAATAAATTAAAATTGCCCTTAACTACTTACATTTACTTCAAAATCCTCCTTAACGACTAGCGTTTACTTCAAAATCCTTGTGAAAGTTATCTTTTGAATATTGGATAATATACTTCATTATTCTTTTAGTTTCGCCTGGTTTTGTTTCGTTTCGTTTCGCAAAATAGCATAATCACTGGCGCACAGGCGGCCCAAGCTCCTTAACCTTTCAGCTGAATCATGATTAGCGTTATCCGGCTCGAAGGACCAGAAAGAATTATCGCGTAAAATGCTTCCACCACAAAGTTAAGTACTATATTTTACAACTCAATCATTTATTATTTTTTTAACCACGAGGTCTCGCAAAATCACAAGACCCTGACGTTTCTAATTCAATTGCACGCAATGCGACAAGCCGACTACGTCTCGTGTTTCTCCTTACGCTTCTTTCGTGTTCTAGCCGCTTCCGGCGTACTTTAAAACGGCGCCGCTTGAGCTTTTCCCGGCGGTGGAGGATATTGGTTTGGTGGCGGTGGATAACCCGGGTAAGGCGGAGGTGCCTGATTAAAGCCTTGAGGAGGCGGGTTGTAACCAGCTGGAGGAGGCTGATTGTAGTTCACCGACGGAGGAACATGTACTTGTTGCTTCGTCATGTGTGTGTGAGTTGAGACCATTTGTTGTTGTGGCTGTTCGCCAGTGATGATCACAGTACCGGGTGTACGATAGAGGTAGTACGGGCAACAAGCACAGCAGCAGCAGGATACGATGGAAATGATAATGGCGAAGAAGATAATTGTACCGATAATGGCGCCTGCAATAGCTCCTCCGCTCCAATCACAGTATGAGGAACAAACTCCCCTACAACAATCCTCTCCAATGTCACATTGGTAGTCATACGTGCAGGAACAAGAAATCGAACTACTGATGCATTTGCTATTACAGCATTGCTCGCCAGTGTCGCTCTTTCGTCCCACACTGGTAGTCGTACGAACAATAGTAACATCTCTGTCTACAGACTTTATCTGAACAACAGGACTCACTGAGGGAACAATCGCTACAGTAGGTAGCATTATCCAAGGCAAAGAAACAGACCAAAAGAAAGCATAAAAGTTTCTTTAAGGCCATTGTCCTTTTACAATTTCAAAGGTGTCCGTTCGATGTAAGATAATAATTTGATGAATAAGACGCGGTTGGCTGGTTTCCAAATTATCATATATGGCATTGATGGTGATGGGGGGGGGGTGTTTGGGGGGATGGGGATATTGAGGGGGGCGAGGAGAAAGTCCATAACATTTTACCAAAGAAGGTCTTGAAATGCCACGGTAATACACTTTAGAACAGGGCAACAAACAGGCCGCACCGAACGATCCAACATTAGTATTTCTTGTTTTTGTTTTCTTCGGCTGGACTTTTGAAGAAGCGAACTTATGCGATCGATAACCGTACTAAAATATTTTTTGCAAAATAGTAATTTTAGGAGAGACACTATTTTAAGAAATATTGAAATTTATTTTCGCGACATGGAAAATCTCGGATTGAAAAGTGAAAGTGGACGATTTTGTTACATATATTGAATAAATTAAAATCCTCCTCAACTCCTTAGTGACTAACGTTTACTTCAAAATCCTGGTGAAAGTTAACTTTAAATATTAAATAATATACTGCATTATTCTATTAGTTTCACCTGGTTTCGTTTCGTTTCGTTTTGTTTCGCAAAACAGAATAAGCCAAAGGTAATCGAGATTCACAACAACATTAAAGTGAATTCATTTTCCATTATCTGGGTAAAGTTGCAATTTACTCTCCTTAAAAGCTAGTCGTAGATTGCTGTTGTCTGAAAAATTGACCATGAAAGCATTCTGTTCACTATCTTCTTCGTTAGTACATGAAAGAAAACTACCAACTCTAGCCAATCAGAATTCACAAAAGAATCGACAAAAGGGGTTAACCAATAGGAAGTCATTACATATTTTCTTGCAAAAGAGTGACGTCACAGTACACGATTAGTGTCAGGTTTTCGTAGACGTTCCCTCCCTTCCGTTTTATCTCGAGGGGGGTGGGGAAGGGTATAGCTACACGTAGGGTTGACGGACAGGTAAGGCCGTGGGATATATTTCACAAACTAAAATCAAAATACTGAAAGTGAAATAATACGTCATGTATAATCGAATGAAACATTGAAATGCAATCACTCCAATGGATGGAGTTGCCGTCAAAGATGTCAAGCTTCAACTTTGATAGAAGACCGCAAAATAACTCTGTTGACCGTTGAATCAGCTTGCACTCCACCATTAGCCTGACTAAGGGTTTCTTGGTTACCAAACTTCACCTTCAAAGGCTGAACTTCTGAATCTCGTTTCGGAGTTACAGTGTATTCAGTCTTGTCAACGTTAACCAGTAAAGTTATCCACTGGTTGGCGTTACTGGCCAAACTGTTCTATCAAAGCTGCTAAACCTTTCAGCTGATCACGAATTGTGATCTTCTTTTACTTTTCAAGAAAGTTTGGACTGAAATTTCCGGTTGACTTACCTTCGGCACGTTTTCCAGTCCAACGGATGGCGGATCTCGTCTATCCCCCAATCACTCAATTCATCGTCCATTTCCACAGTAATTCGCAAAAAACACAAAAAAAATCGCTAAAAACTACGACTTATCCACTGGTTGGCGTTATCCGGCTCGAAGAATCAGAAAGAATTGTCGTGTAAAATGCTTCCACCACAAAGATAAGTACTGTATTTTTTACAACTCAACCATTTCTTATTTTTTTTCTTACCACAAGGTGTCGTAAAATCACTTGACACAATGCGTGCAAACAAGATAAAAATGTATTTAAAAAAACGAAATATCGATGTTCAGTCGCTACAAGCCGACTACGTCTCGTGCTTCTCCCTACGCTTCCTTCGTGCTCTAGCCGAATCTTGCGTGCTTTGAAACAGAACAGAGCACAGTCAAGGCTTTGAAAAAAGCTCGAGTTTAAAAATGCAAGCCGTTCTTCGTCGTATTTGGTCGCCAAATGTATAGTTTTCGCACCAAAAGTTCCAGGCGTTCCCAGCGAAGACCCTCGAAACTGGGGATGAGAATCACGACAACCTAAAAGCCATTTTTCGCAAAAAACACAACTTATACAGAATGCCGCAGTGTTTTGTGAAGAAATCTCCGGAAAGAACAATGCCTTATACGCTCGTCTCAAATACAAACGCTCACACCATTCGTGGTAGGCCCACACTAAAAGATGTCGAGCGATTTCGTAACGGGTCGGTCCACGAATTCTATGGCTTGAAAGCGTTGAAAACTTTGAAAAATGTGAATACCTCAGATATTGAAAAAATGGCTAAAAAACGTGATCGTGAACCAAGCAGAGTACCAGTAAATATGTTGAAATGTCTCTCTCAGAAAGGCAGAAAATTACAGAGGTACGTATGGAGCCGATTAAGGAAAAACCTAACAAAATCATCGAAAGTTCATCGTCTCATTTCAACAGGAAGCAAAAGTAGACACAAAACAAGTGTCAGGCTTGTACAAAAAATGAGAAGGAAACCCATTTTTAGAACAAGAAAAGTCAATTCTACAATGAGATATGTTAACAAGTCAAATACAGCTAAACATGGAAAGAAATATTTCAAATTGCTTAAGGCTGTGTTCGTTTAATTTCCCATATAGTGAGTACAAGAGTCTAACTCATAGAGGCAATTGTACAAAGTACAAGCTTTGTAATGATGTGGAGGAAAACCCTGGTCCTGCCATGCACCATGTTGATCCCAATAAAACAATAAAAGAACCATATAAAAAAGGGGATGTTGTTGTATTTGGACAAAATGCAAGACAAAAATGTGTTGCAATGAGTTTATGTGCTTTAATATACCACAATATGAAAGGAATAAGTAACCCTGGTGACTTGAAACAAATAGTGCATATTGGCAATCAACTATACAGCAGTTTGTCAAAACTAGCAAGACAATCATTCTTACTGCTAACAGAATTACCAACAATGCTTACAGTATTGCAGGGAAATTACCAGCTAGAATACAGTGCAAGTTACTCTGATAATGTCCATGGTGAGACTACTATTGAGGGATATCAATACTGTATGGGCCTGAAAAGAGCTTTTGAGTCACTGATATCAAAACAGTACAGGTTGCTTATTTTAAAAGTTGGTTGTATTGCTGTCGGTATTATTTGTTGTGCTGACAATCGCCATTTTAAAGTGTTCGACTCATGCAAGAGAAGTTTATGGTGAGAGTCATCCTAAAGGGACATGCATACTATTAGATATATAATCTGCAGACAACTTAGTGCAATACTTTCAAAGTTTATACGGAGTAATTGACGTGTATGAACTAAAAGGTTTACATATTACAAAATATGACATCACGGCGAGCAACAGTGTAAAGATGTGTTAAATACACCATCAGATCAACAGAATTGTTTCAAAAACCACAACTGCTTTGCAATAGCTCTTTATTCTATATGTTACTTAATCATTTCACCTTGTGGTTACAGGAACTCAAATACTTTAGATGCAATTATTCAAAATGGAACTCGGCTTAATAATACAATGCAAAGTGAACATCACTTAGCATCTATTTATATTCATAGCAGTGTTACAATTTTTGGCATTAAGATAAATTTAGATGTTGATAAACTAAGTCACAGAAAATTAACTAAATTACCTGAAAGCCAGATATCTTTAAAGACCTTGATTTTAAGGAACAATGGGAAAACAGAATTTTTAATGTGCATTTCAAGTTACTGTGCAGCTTGTATTTATCAACAAAATACCACAGTAAGATTGTTTTCACTGCTGACATGAAGATGGTAATTCACCTGCAATGAAACACATAAAACCCATCAGTGGTGTTAACAAACTTGTAGAGGCAATTCATGATATTATTCAAAATAAATAGCAATGTCAGACTGTAGAGTATGATATACAATTTATTTGCTGTTCTTGTGATATTAGTGAAAATGAAAGGGAAAATATGACGAGAAAACAGAAAAAAACATGTATATGACAGCATGGAACCTGTTGCAAAAAAAAGGTTTGTAGAGGAGATTCAAAAGAGGTATTCAACAATGGATCCTATAAAAAAGAAAGAATTATCTTGCAAACACTGAAAAAATTACCAATCTTTAGATGGTATAGATGAGAAAAAATTATTCCACAAACGCAAAGAAAATACCAATCCATGGATGCGACAAAAAAAGAATGCAATAATTTCAGAAATGCACAGAAAAATACGAATCAATGGACACAGAAGCTAAAAGAGATTTATTGAATAAAAGAAAAGAGAATCAAAGTCAAAGCCACATCTATTGAATCACGTATTAAACCGTTTAAGAAGAAAATGAGAGAAGGCCCTTATTTCATATGTACTCTCTGTAATCGAATACTTTATAAAAAAAATCAGTAATGAGGTGTATAAACAACAATTACCCCTGCCAAACATTTTTCAATATTCAACAATCATTTGATGGTAAGGAATATATATCCAAGACATGTCATTCAAAAGTCATAAAAGGAGAATTACGATGTCGGGCTGTTGTGAATAATATGTATGTTGACGAAACACCCACACAACTGGCTTCACTAGAAAAACTAGAACAGGTACTGATTGATTCACAATTTTCGATCCTCTAGAGCTACTTAGTTTTCGTTTCTGCTTTTTTTTCCTAACTTCTTAATAAATCGCTCAGATTAAATTTCCGTCACGTTTACAAGCTCACAAAAAAGTTCGGAATATCCGTTGTAATATTCACTTGCGAACCGGTTGTTACGATATCTAGTTGATTGCGTCAGAGCTATAAAGTTTAGTTGGTAAAAAGCACATGGTGACGGCTGTTTTACATCACCGGTCACCTGCATATCAAACTGAACCTTGCACACGGCAGCTGATTAACAAAAATTTATTATTCAAAAAACACTGCGACAACACACACAAGTAAATACTGCTCGACATCGACATAACATATGCTATCGAAGGATCTGCTGAAGATTAGATCAGCTGAAAGTAGAAAATGAAAAAGCGACAAACCTCGCTAAAGCGGAATCAAATTTCTAACGTCTATAAATAAGGTATCAGCTTAAATGTAGTAACAAGAACCTAGCCAATGGAAAAAAATTAAACTGTTTAATTCTTTTACCCAGATGATCAATTTGACGGCTATACGACACGATAGACATTCGCAATCTTGAAAATTTCAAAAGCGAAAATAGATTGAAAACTGTCGATGGAAGCATAGACTGAGTTAAATATGACAGTTAAGTAAAACTAAATTTCTAAGAATACAATATTCATTCTGAAAAATTTATGAAAATGGCCGGACTTATCTATCTCCGCGTGAAATCTGTGTCTACTTTTTGTTTTTGTTTGAACAACGAAAGAAAAGTGGAAATACACAGCGTACTGATCATTCTATACTTCACGTACTCCTTAATTAAAACGTTTGAAACTATCCCTAAAAAAATGCTAACATAACATTCAGTAACTCGACTACGGTTGCATTTATGTAAGTGGAAATTAAACAGAAGGATATTCATTTCATCGAAACAGTTCTGTTTGGAGAAGATGCCTCTCAGGTTACTTTTATTAGAACTTGTTCGGTTGTCCAGCGTTTATTGCAGCTGGCATCGGCGCCGCTTGAGCTTGTCCCGGCGGTGGAGGATATTGGTTTGATGGCGGTGGATAGCTCGGGTAAGGCGGAGGAGCCTGATTAAAGCCTTGAGGAGGCGGGTTGTAACCAGCTAGAGGAGGCTGATTGTAGTTCACCGGCGGAGGAGGATGTACTTGTTGCGTAGACATGTGTGTATGAGTTGAGACGATCTGTTGTGGCTGTTGGCCGGTGACGATCACAGTACCGGGTGTACGATAGCGGTAGTAGGGGCAACAAGCACAGCAGAGACAAGACACAATGGAAATGATGATTGCGAAGAAAATAATTGTGCCGATAATAGCGCCTGCAATAGCTCCGCCGCTCCAACCACAGTATGATGACGAACAAACTCCCCCACAACAATCCTCTCCAACGTCACAATCGGAGTCGTACGTACAGTAACAAGAAGACGAACTACTAATGCATGTGCTACTACAGCACTGCTCACCAATGCCACAATCGAGGGTGGACGAACAGGAACAAGTGGACCAACTACTGATGCATTTGTTATCACAGCATTGTTCGTTCGTCCCACACTCGCCGTCGGACGAACAGTAGTAACATCTCTCTCTACAGACTCCATCTGAACAACAGGACTCACTATAGGAACAATCGCTTTTGAAGGTACAGTAGGTAGCACTTCCCAAGGTAAAGAAACAGACGAAAAGAAAGCATAAAAATTCCTTAGAAGCCATTGTCTTCCTCGCAATTTGATGTTTGATTTGGCGTTTGATGTGAGGTTATGATTAACTTAATTAGTTGGCTGGTTTCCAATATGACGTTGATAGCGAGGGGGGGAGGGGGAGGGGGACGAGGAGAAATTTTATAACATTTACCAAATAAGCTCATGAGGTGCCAAGTTATTACACAGTAGAACAGGGCAAACAAACTGGCCCACGGAACAACAAACTGGCCGCACCGAGCGATCGAAAATTTGCATTTTTCTTTTGTTTTGTTTTATAATATCTTTCTTTTCAGGTCACAAAATACGTTTAAACTTTAAATTATAGCATATTCCCATAGATCTTGGTCACCTCTTATTTCACTATCCATATAAAATCAATTTGTAAAGTAGTAAGTTTATGTAAATGGACTATTTTCACTGAGCGGTAACGATGAAGCCATTCTCGTGTCATACAACGGCTTTGGTTACTTATTAGTGTGAAGTCTTTCAATTTATTTTCGTGACATAAAAATGTCACATTGTCACCGCAGGGTGAAAATGGTCGATTTCGCAAAACATATTCAAAAAAATTAAACCTCCTTAACGATTAACGTTTACTCCGAAATCGTTGTCAAAGTTATCTTTAAATATTAGATAATATACCGCATTATTCTTTTAGTTTCGCTTGGTTTCGTTTCGTTTCGTTTCGCAAAATAGAATAAGCCAAAGCTAATCGAGATTCACAACAACACTGAAAAGAATTCATTTTCCATGCATAACTCTGGTAGATTTGCAATTTACTGTCTGCGTTCAAATGTATACTTTGCTTTAAGGATACAGAAAAAGATTATGAGCGATTTTTGGTATAGGACGTATAGAACAAGAAGAGGACGATGTTCGATTCACATCGCGCTTTCGAAACTAGATTTCAACGTCCAAGCGGTTCCTGCTTGCATTTGTAAACAGTGTCACGGTCGTCGAATGACGTGGCATCATTTGCCGAAAAATCTCAAGGTAGATTTCACTAGGAGATAGTTAAGACGCAATTGTGAAAAAAGAGTGTACTCTTTTCTCAATCGAAAGAATGGCTCCAAGAAACAAACCGTTTTAATTTAATAGCTGCGCAGCACCGTTTGCAAAGAGACCGAAAGTTAAGGGCGGACAATACTCTTGGCCACTGAGATACTGCACCTGGTGTTTTATGAAAGCTTTAGCGGGCGGCACAATAAATATAGTGACCGGTTTTTTCTAGAGAAGAAAGGCGATCGATCACTAGCGTACAGGTGGCTTAAGCTCCAGCTGTTAGAATATTATCTTCCGGTAATTTTGAGATTGAGTTTTCGCTTTCGGAAATGGAGTGTGTAGCCTTGTTCTTCTCGTAGGAGTAGGAAACTTAGAAATGGTTAACTCGCTAAAATAGCCGCGTTTCAACAAAGTCAGTGGTCAGACAACAAGCAATGCATAGTGGAAGTAAAGTGAAGCATTGTTATATTTATTCCTAAGAGTAAATATTCCAAACGAAACTCTTATAATACTTTCACCATGACGCTTATTACGCAAGATGATTGTCTCACACAGCTGGGGAAACCAGAAACATCGTTATCCTTCAAAAAACATATTTATGGCTTGCTGTCTTCTTGAAATTTCTCTATCCCTAAAGTCGGGCAAACTTGCCTTAAACCTAGTCGTAGATCGCTGTTGTCTGAGCAGTTGACCATGAAAGCATTCTGTTCACCATCTTGTTCGTTAGTGCATGAAAGAAAACTACCAGCTCTAGCCAATCAGAGTTCACGAAAGAATCGACAAAAGGGGTTAACCGACAAGAAGTCATATATTTTCCTGCAAAAGAGTGACGTCACAGAACATGATTAGTGTCAGGTTTTCGTCGAAGTTTCCTCCCTTCCGTTTTATCTTGGGGGTGAGGGAGGGTACGGCTATACGTAGATGCACCGGTAAGGCCGTAGGATATATTTCACAAACTAAGATCAAAATACTAAAAAGTGAAATGATAGTAAAATAATATATCCCATTTTTGATGGTTTGACATTGAATACGAGCGGACATTTTGTTCACTGTTCGCAATTTTCTTCGCAATTTTCCTCGCGCCTTTGGGGCTCGAATAAATACTACGAGTCTCACAATTTAAACGCAAGTATTATATGTTAAGCCACCAAACAAAGTGTATATAAATAATATCTAAACGGGGATGGTTCAGTACTTTTCAAGTCTGGCCAAAGCTGATATTGAAAAAAGCCCAAATACTGAACAAAGTTCCTAAAGACACCGGAAATCTGTCAAGCCTGACGTCATTCAAGAAAAAAAAAGTCACTCGTAAATAACCTCTTCGAAAAATTGTATTTAATCAAATTCTCAATGTATATTTTTTAATTATGGCGACTGGTATTAATCTTGCATCAGTTCATCGTGAATAAAGTTTATGAAATTATTTTCTGATTATTTAGCCATTTCAACCAAATTTAACATTTATTAGAATAATTCAGATTCAGTGATTTGGAAACATCATAAACGAAGGCCTTGACTCTATCGTAAAATATTGATAAAAAACTAACGGTATTTCCGCAAACACCCCTAAAAATAGCAAATAAAATGAGGAACTTCCGGGAAGAATACTTTGCTTGTCACGCAATTGTAACTTATTATTGATAAATCGACAGTTAAGTAAGAATCTTGAAATATTCAATAAGGTTAACCGATAGCCGTAAAACAGCCAAAAACATTAGCCATTTGGCTCAGAAATTGACAAATTTTACTCGTTTGTCATACAAAAAGTTAACCATAAGGAAAATTTCTGGTGACCACAATGGAAAGGTATGAACTGTTTATAGCCGTAAATGGGCCAAAATTGTCAACATTAACCGTAAAAACCATCATCCCACTAAGATCCTCAACCTTGGGATGGCAATTGTGAATTTTCTCTAATTCTACTCCGATATAAAAAATTGTTCTATGCAAACTTGCGCCATACCATGGATATATGATATATGCCATACATAAATTAGTTGCCGGTTGTTTCCATGTTGACTTGCTTCAAAGATCTTAGTACTTGGCCGGTTCGGGAGGCGGTATCGAGACGGCTTGTCCTCTTATCTCAGCTGAAGGACCCGGGTTTGGACCAGGTGGCGAATAAGCGGGTGGTGCTTGGTGTAAACCTGAAGGAGGCTGGTTGTAACCTGCTGGAGAAGGCTGGTTGTAGTTATGCAGCAGAGGAGCTTGTACTTGCTGCGTCGTCACCGTGTGTGCCTGAGTTGGGACGAGCTGTTGTTGCGGCTGTTGGGTGACGATTACAGCACCGGGTGCACGATAACGGTAATACGGGCAGGAAGCACAGCAGAGGCAGGATACAGTGGAAATGACGAAGGCGAAGAAGACAATATTGCCGATGATAATACCTGCAATAGTTCCGCTGCTCAAACCACAGTTTGACGAACACACTCCCCGACAACATTCCTCTCCAATACCACATTGGAAGTCGTATGAACAAGAACAAGAAGACGATTTACTGATGCATTTGTTTTCACAGCATCTCTTGCCTAATCCACATTCGTACTTGTTCGCACAGAAACAAGAAGACGAACTACTGATGCATTTGTTATCACAGCATTGCTCGCTGGTTCCGCATTGGTGGTCGTACGAACAGTGACATCGTTCTCTGCAGACGTAATCTGCACAACAGGATTCAAGGGCCGAACAATCAGAGCCTTTCAAACAGTATTTAGCATTTCCCAAAGCAAAGAAACAGACAGAAAGAAGGCACAAAAGTTCCCTAGAAGCCATCGTCCTCTTCACAGTTCTAATGGCGTGCGTTCAGTGTGAGATTAATAGATGAATTAGATGAGATTGCCTGGTTTTTAAGTTCTCTCCAGAAAGGGAGGGAAGGAAGCGGAGGAGGAAGAGACGAAATAATGTTACTATACATAGTCTCGTGACGGGAATGGTCCGGTACTTTCAGTCAAGTGAGGTTAAAGCTAAATTTTAACCCAAGGCTCAAATATTGAAAAAAGAACTTTGAAACAATAGAAATCTGTCAAGCCTATCATCATTGAAGAAAAACATACTCATTCGTAAATATTGATCTCCAATATAGAACCACTGCCAAACTTGTATTTCATCAAATTCTCGCTGTATTTTTTCGTATTATGGCAAACTGTATTCATCTTGTATTTTACCGTTTTTTAAGTTTAAAATGTAAATTGTTTTACCACTTTAGCTATTCAATCCAAACTTGACATTTTGTAGAATTATTCCTACTCAGTGGTGTTATTTCCACTAATCCTATTTTAGAGGACAAAATATTGAACGAAGAACCTAAAAACTTCTCAAATCTGTCAACTCTATCGTCATTCGAGAAAAATATAGTCATTCGTAAATATTGATCTCCGATAACCACAGCCAAACTTGTGTTTCATCAAATTATCACTGTATTTTTTTAAATGTTGCAACTTGTTTTCATCTTGTATTTTATCGTTTGTTTAGTTTAAAATGTAAATTTTCCTACCACTTTAGCTATGTGATCCAAATTTGGCATTTTATAGAATTATTACTACTCAGTTGTGTTATTCCCGCTAATCTTATTTTAGAGGACCAAATATTGAACAAAGAACCTAAATACTTCAGAGATCTGTCAACCCTGTCGTCATTAAAGAAAAACAAAGTCATTCGTAAATATTGATTTCAAATACAGATAACCTTTTTTTTGACAAGCAAGGGTGTGAACAGCGAGAAACACCAAGATAATCAGTACGTACGGGATATGACTGATATCCTGCACGATAATGAGTTTAACTTTGAGACTTACGGATTTAACATCAAATCCTTGAGCCCCAAACTTGAACTCACCAGCAGACAAGATTTCAGAAATACCGTGCACGTTCTTTATCTGAGTATTTCTCCTTGTTCGAACCCATGTTGATAAAAAAGGGTTATCTTTATCAGAGATTAATATTTACGAATGACTGTTTTTCGTGGATGACGAAAGGCTAATTTATAGAAAACGTTTTTTTTCTAATAATTTATGTCTAACCATCTAGTTCAAACTCCTCAATGAAGTCTGTAAAATAAGATCAAACCGGTAGAGAAAATGAATCAATTTGACAATTATTATATTATTTATTATAGGTTAAGCCACCAAATAAGGTGTATATACATAATATCCTAACGAGGATGGTTCAGTACCTTTCAAGTCTGGCCAAAGCTGATATTAAGAAAGGCCCAAAAACTGAACAGAGTTCCATAAGACACCGGAATCTGTCAAGCCTGATGTCATTCAAGAAAAACAAAGTCACTCGTAAATGTTGATCTCCGATGCCGTCTTCAAAATTGTATTTAATCAAATTCCCAATGTATATTTTATAATTATGGCGACTTGTATTTATCTTGTATCAGTTCATTGTGTATAAAGTTTAAAATGAAATTATTTTCCACTAATTTAACCATTTCAACCAAATTTAACATTTATTAGAATAATTCATATTCAGTGATTTGGAAACATCATAAACAAAGGCCTTGACATTATCGTAAAATATTGATAAAAAACTAACTGTACTTCCGCAAGCATCCGTAAAAAGAGCAAATAAAATGATGAAACTCCGGGAAAATTAATTTGCTTGAACTTCTGGGAAGAATACTTTGCTTGTTACGCAATTGTAACTTATTATTAAGAGATGGGCAATTGGGTAAAAATCTTGTAATATTCAATAGGATTAACCGATAGCCGTAAGACGGCCTAAAAAATTAGTCATTTGGCTCAGAAATTGAGAAATTTTACTCGTTAGCCGTGCAAAAAGTCAGCCGTAAGGAAAATTGGAAAGCCATAAAAAAAAAAACCACAATGGAAAGGTATCAACTGTTTATAGCCGTAAATTGGCCAAAATTGTCACCATTAACCGTAAGAGCCATCACCCCATTAAGGTCCTCAATCTTTGGATGGCAATTGTGAATTTTCTCTAATTCTACTCCAATGTAAATAATTGTTCTATGCAAACTCGCGCCATACCATGGATACATGATATATACCATGCATAAATGAGTTGCCGGTTGTTTCCATGTTGACTTGCTTCAACCATCTTATTACTTGGCCGGCCCGTGAGGCGGCATCGAAACGGTTTGTCCTCGTACCTCAGCTGGAGGATCCGGGTTTGGACCAGGTAACGAATAAGTAGGTGGTGCTTGGCGGAAACCTGAAGGAGGCTGGTTGTAGTTGTTCAGCGGAGGAGCTTGTACATGCTGCGTCATCATTGTGTTTGCCTGAGTTAAGACGTGCTGTTGTTGCGGCTGTTGGGTGACGATCACAGCACCGGGTACACGATAACGGTAGTACGGGCAAGAAGCACAGCAGAGGCAGGATACAATGGAAATGATGATGGCGAAGAAGACAATACTTCCAATGGTAACGCCTGCAATAGTTCCGCTGCTCCAACCACAGTATGACGAACATACTCCCGCACAACATTCCTCTCCAATGTCACATTGGTCGTCGTGCGAACAAGAACAAGAAGGCAAACCACTGATGCATTTGCTTTTACAGCAATGCTCGTTCGATCCACATTGGTAGTCGTACGAACAGACGTAACATCTTTCTCTGCAGACGTTATCTGGACAACAGGATTCAAGGGCCGAACAATCAGAGCTTTCCAAACAGTATATAGCATTTCCCAAAGCAAAGAAACAGACAAACAGAAGGCACGAAAGTTCCCTAAAAGCCATTGTCCTCTTCATAGTTCGAATGGCGTGTGTTCGATGTGAGACTAATAGATGAATTAGGTGACTTGCCTGGTTTTTAAACTCTCTCCAGAAAGGGAGGGAAGGAAGCGGAGGAGGAAGAGGTGAAATAATGTTACTATACATAGTCTCGTGACGGGGATGGTCCGCTTCCTTCAGTCAAGTTAAATTTTGCAGTCAAAGCTAAATTTTAAACCAAGGCTCAAAAAACCTTGAGACGATAGAAATCTGTCAAGCCTACCATCATTGAAGAAAAACATACTCGTAAATATTGATCTCCGATAACCTCGGCCAAACTTGTGTTCCATCAAATTCTCGCTGTATTTTTTTGTAATTTGGCAACTTGTATTCATCTTGTATTTCATCGTTTTATAAGTTTAAAATGTAAATTTTCCTACCACTTTAGCTATTCAATCCAATTATTCCTACTCAGTGGTGTTATTTCCGCTAATCCTATTTTAGAGGACAAAATATCGTACGAAGAACCTAAAAACGTCACAAATCTGTCAACTCCATCGTCATTCGAGAAAAATATAGTTATTCGTAAATATTGATCTCCAATAGAGATAACCTTTTTTTGACAGACAAGGGTGTGAACAGCGAGAAACACCAAGATAATCAGTACGTATAGGATATGACTGAAATCCTGCATGATAGAGAGTTTAATTTTGAGACTTACGGATTTAACTTCAAATCTTTGAGCCCCAAACTTGAACTCACCAGCAGACAGGATTTCAGTAATATATCGCACGTTCTTTATCCACATATTTCTCCTGTTTCGCACCCTTATTGTAAGGAAAAAAGGGGTTATCTTTATCAGAGATTAATATCGCGGATGACTATGTTTTTCGTGGATGACGAGAGGCTAATTTATAGATTACATTTTTTAATTATTTACGTTTAACCATCTTGTTCAAACTCCCTAATGAAATCCGTAAAAGAAGACTAATTCGGTCGAAAAAAATAAATCAAGTTGATAAGGTCTGTTGCTGTTTGCTGCTCACTAGTAAAGTACTCATTTAAAAAATTGTCTGCGAAAGTCGTGTTTCATCAAATCCTCACCCATATCTTTTTTTGTATCAAGGCAACTTGCACTCATGTTATATTTCATTGCGTACATTCTCAAAAAATATGGAAATTTATTTTGACTTTTTCAGCTATTTTAAAATGTAGCATTTATCAGAACAATTCACATTCAAGGGTTATATTCCTATTAATAAAATACTTAAGTACTCATTCATTCTTTTTTCGCCATTGCGCTATTTTTTGTGAATTCATTTCGACCAAAACGAAGATTCTAATGATTCTATTTCTAGGGTAATCAACGCTTTCCAATCATTCCAGTTCACGCGCCGATCAATTCGAAGCCTCAATCTCAACACCAGGAAATTCACGGGTATTGAATTGTAGTCCGTCCGTGCCTCGGGGTGGGGGATCGATGTGGACATTGTCTGAGTGGGAGGGGGAGTTTGAACCAGAACTGTCAAGTCTTTCCAGCGGAATGAATGTAATTTATCCTTTAACCTATACTTAAACCATAGTTATTTGAAATTTCTTAGGGACCAATCTGGTCTATATTCCAAATACTTCAGTTACACGGAAGGATCTGGGTACCAGATTTGGACCAGTCATATATTGCATCATCAAATGGTTTTTCGGGGGAAATGTAGGGGGGAGTGGACCGGTCGTCCATCAACAGAGTATGCATGGGGGACTATTGAAAATCGACTGGTAATTTACTGCCAATGACAGAGGTTGAAATCATAAGGAAATTACAAGTCTTATTATGGGGAATCAGGTAAAGTTCATCGTTACTCAACCAAAATCCTCTAAACCTCCCTCCCCACCCTCGCCATAAATGATGACGGTTCCCCAACCCAATTTGAAAAACGAAAACACCTTTCTTTTTAGTTCCCCTTTTAATATCTTTGTGGCTGTGCACTGCTCTGAGAAGTTTACCTTCCTTTTTCTACGAAAGCATGTTGATATTTGACCAATTATCCCACTTTGGGCGGAAAAGGCATTGGGCTGGTTTCTGCTTGTCCCAGAGATGGGAGATGCTGGTTCAGTGCCAATGGGTAGCTGCTCTAACCTGACGGAGTCTGCGTGCATCCTGCAGGTGGGGAAACTGCACCAATGTTTGCTGATTCGTGTGAGTTGTCGACTGGATTAGCTGAATAGGCTGGTCACAATCACGGTCCCGGGCGATCCGTGGCGACATAACGGGCAGTACAGTAGAAACAAAAGGCGATGGAAAAAGACAGTGGCGAAGAAGGCGATTGTACCGACTGCAATGCTTGCGTTCTCGCCGTCGTTTAAAGAACTAGAAGTGTAAGCGGCCCCGGTAAAAATTGATAGGATCCCGAGCGTTTCGAAAGTTCTGAGGGTTGGGAAAATTATAGGGAGTTAAAAGACACAGCCACGTGCAGGCGCGTTACAACAATTTTTTTTGTTGCCACACTGCCAATCGAGCGAGCAATTGTTGCGAGTTTCCTGCAGAAACCATCCAGAAAACCTTTTACCTGACCACAGAATCGATGCAGTAGGTGTAGTAGGGACAAGATGACAAACTACCAATTCATTTGCTATTACAGCACCGCTCACCAGTTCTACATTGGTGATGGGAACAGGAACAAGAAGGCAAACTACTCATGCATTTGCTATTACAGCACTGCTCACCACTGTCACATTGGTAGTCGTACGAACAGGAACAAGAACACATACTACTGATGCATTCGCTATCTTACAGCACTGTTCTCTCGTTTCACATTGGTGGTCGAACAAACAGAAATAACAACATCATCTGTACAACAGGACTCAATGAGGGAACAATCGCAACTGAGCTTAAAAAAAAAGAAGAAAAGAGACAACAGAAAGGACAGAATCCCTTTGTGAACCACTATAGACAAGTTTATGAGTGACGGCTGTTCTTTAACTCGTGAGATGATTACCTCTTCATATGGGTGAGGCAATTGCGTTCGTTCTTAAATTTATTTCCGGCTTGCGATCAGTGCTTTTGTAAGGGAGACTATCACTAATTGACGAATACCGCTGGGGTAGAGAGGGTCGATATTCCCTCTACTAGAACACACCCTCCGTGACAAGGGGATAGTCCGTCCAAAAGGGGCACTCCTTCATTCAGGCTACGAGGTGCAGGGTTTCATGAGTAGTGTAGAAGATCTCCTTCGTTTTTTAATTTAAAGTAACAATTTTTCTCTTCCTCTCCCCCCTTCGTGTTCTTTTTGTATTCACGCGCGGCGCGCGTGATTTTACAAATTAGGCAATTACATCAAAGAGCTCTAACCTAGACATTGGAAAACTGACGGGGAAATTTTTCGTGCACTTTTAGTTTGTTTTCGCGAAGTTTTAATGAGTTGTTTTTGAGCGTTCGTTCGCGTAAATTTGTTACTCCTTTGTTGGAATTTTAAGAAGTTTCGGAGTTTTTATTTCAGCCAAATGTTGTGGTTCATTTAACAAGTTTAATACGTATTTTTTACGGAGTTTAGATCGTAGCCTCTTTTTTCGTAAACGTAGCCCTAGGATAGAAGGAAGAGAGGCAGCTATTGAGCTCAGGAAAAAGAGAATGACCTTATTGTGATTGGTTTAAGTTCTGGTTCTGGTAGAAGCGCAATGAATGAAACGTATTTTTTTAGAAAATCAATGAATAATTTCAATATCTTTGATTCATATGCTCCTGGAAACACCCCCATTCTTGTCTACAAGCCCTTTTTCCCTTCTTTTAGGGACGGGGTGGGAAAAGGGCCCGCGGGCGAGGTTGGAAACACCCTTTATTGGGGAGCCTATTTTCTTAGCATCATCTGGTCTGCCCAGAAAAGTTAGTTGTCCATCAATCATAACTCTTCAGAAACGCAACTCAGCTTTATTATCCAAAAGAAAAATTGATGCCAGTTTAAAAAGAAAATTAAGAAACTAATTTTAAATGCCTAAACTGGGCGCCTGGAAAAGATTTATAATATCTGCTCACCAAAGTCAAATTTGAAAACTAACATTAATTGCCGAAGGCGAAAACGCAATTCTCTATGGTAATTTAGTCCCACTATAGGATATGTTCATCTGTAAGGAAAATGAATCAAGTTATAGGATATTTAAAAAATTTCCGTAGCACACCGAAGGGTTTCTTGCGCGACAGGGGGGTGGAGTAGGAAGGATTTTCTTTCTTGGTCATCTCTGCAATTAGAACGCCTAAAAGTCAATCATCTGTTACCCATAGAGTACATAGCAAAGGCCTTCACTCTCTAATAAAACATCTATAAAAGGGTTTAATGCTAGCGCACAAAAATCCTTGAAAGGAGTAAATTTACATAACAAGTTTCCGGGAAGATTACTTTACTTGTCACGCAATTCAAATAAGGAAATTGCCGAATGTCTTGCTTTTCATGCTATTCGACCAAGGAGGAAATTGCAGCTTATCATTGAGAAATCAACGATTGCGTAAGAAGCTTGCGGTACGTATCATAACTTTTCTCTTATTGTACTCCAATATATAAAATATTATAGGAAAAACTTGCGCCATATCATGCATATAGGAGTCTATGTCTTTTTAAAACTTAAAATGAGTTGCCTCTTGAACTAAAAAATGAAATATTATATGTTTCCGTGTCGCTTTGCTTCAGATATCTCAGTTATCTTACCCTAAAGGCGGCTTCGAAACGTCTTATCCTTGTACCTGAGCAGGAGGATACGGGGTTGGACCAGGTGGCGGATAAACGGGTGGTGCCTGGTTGTAATCTGGAGCTTGTACTTGATCTGTCATCATATGTGTCTCAGTTGAAGTGAACTCTGGATGGTGCTGTTGGGTATTGACCTCAGTACCAGGTTTACGATAACGGTAGAACGGACAACAAGAACAGCAGAAGCAGGATACGATGGAAATGATGATGGCGACGAAGATAATTGGACCGACAATAGCGCTTGCATAAGCTTCATCGCTCCAACCACAGTATGAACAAACTCCTCCACAACAACGCTTTCCGTCTACACACTGATGGTCGTACAAACAAGGACCTTAAGCAGGCAGGACGGCAACGCCAAGGAAGACTTCGATTAAAAAATTAATTTCTGCCTTTAATTGGAATTTCATAAATGGCTGCATGTGTTTACCGTCTCATACGGCACAACTCTCAACCTCAACTTCAGCATAACGTATAAAAGAAGCGTTGAGTTCCAAATGGAAATTAAAATAATTTGCCTCGCGGTTTCGGTTTGCAGACGACGCAGATTGTGGTGATTTCATGTTGTTGTTTTGCATAGGACGACTAAGAAATGTACAAAGTTTTAAAATGCACGTACTGAGCTATTGTTTTGCCAATTAGATCTTTTGTTTTTCCATGTCTTCGTTGCCGTCGCCGTCGTGGTTTGCCTAAGGGACCTCAGGAAACCACAGCGACGACAGCAACAAGGACATGGCAAAGCAAAAGATTTGATGAGTAGATCAAAAGCTCGGCACATTTTTTTTCTAACATTGCATATTTTTCAGCCGACCTCTGCGAACTGCAAAATTGCAATCACCAATACTGATATCTGTATGGTCTGAAATCGTACACCCCGTCAGCGAATTATTAAGTGTCGATTTGGAACTCAACGCCACCAAAGGCTGCCCAAGCTCTTATGTACGTTGAAAACCTCGAAATACCAGTAGTGTATCTTAGTGTTTCACTGATCTTGCGCAATAACGGTCATGGCTTTTCTTATGTACGTTGAAAACCTCGAAATGAACAACTCGTTCAAATGGGCTCTTTTCATCAAAGTAAGCGGTCAGATAACAAGCAATACGCTGTGGAAGTAAGGTGAGGTATTTTGACGTATTTTTTAATCCTTAGAGCGGTCGTAAATATTCCCATACAAACTCTTAAAATTCCGCCATGACCGTTATTGCGCAAGATGATCATCTCACAGCTGAAGCTTGGGTCGCCTGTGACGCCACTAGCGCCACACCGCAGCTTTAGTAAAACGTATGTAAATTACATGCGTTATGCTGAATCTGAAAGGAAAAGGTAAGTAGTTTCTAAAACAACAAAAGAGCAGTTTTAGCATCCTTCATCAACATACATCTTAACCCTTTAACCCCTAAGAGTGACTAACATATAATTCCTCCTTAAAAAATATCACCCTCAATCTCACATTAATGACATGAGAATAAAGGAAATGATCACCAAATTAAAAAACTCTTGATTTTTAAACAAATTCTCCTTGTCAGCACCTTGGTAAAAGTACAGAGAACAGTATGGAGAATATGAATACTGATGTTAGGGTGTAAAGGTTTAAAGCACCCACTATTATGAAGCCAAGTATCATGACATCATCTTGCCTGCACAGCTAAATTAATGTGTCAGTCAATCACAACGCTCCACAAACGCAACTCAGTTTAATTAATTAAAAACATTTTACATATGCCACTTTGAAAACAAAATAATGAAAATACTTTGAGTTAAAATGGAAATCTTAACTTTTCTAGAACTAATTTTCCTAACTTTTAACTATAGTTGTGACTTTGTCACGAAATAAAAAGTCGCTTAAGAGTACAAATAACGTTCGTATCGACATTATTTTTAATGAGCAAAACGACGAACTTCCGGGAAGATTATTTTGCTTGTCACGCAATTCTACTGCGGAAATAGGCCATTTTACAGTTATTTACTTCGTTGCCAAGTCTTTGAGTTGAAGTGAGGCTGAAGGTGACCTCGTTGTGATAAAGATTAGTATCTAGTTGGCATGATAACAAAGTAATTTATATTTGAAAAGCAGCAAGCTTTGTATCATAACAAGGTCACGCTTAGCCTCGATCCTGTTCAAAAGCTTGGCAACCAAGCACGCAACTGTAAAATGGGCTTATTGTAGCTTAAATGTCGAGAAATCGACGATTGTGTCAGAATCTTACGATGCGCTATAACTTTTCTCTAATTCTACTCTAGTGTATTAACAGTTCTAAGCAAAATTGCCCACTACCATGCAAATAGACTATGTCTTTATATGGACGAGTTGCTTCTTAATCCAAAGACAAAGATGTTTGCTTTCATGTTGCCTCGCTTCAGACATCTCAGTACTTGACCGGTCCAGGAGGCGGCATCGAAACGGCTTGTCCATGTACCTGAGCTGAATGATACGGGTTTGGACCGGGTGGTGGATAAGCGGGTGGAGGCTGGTTGTAGCTTCCAGGCGGTGGATACTGCACAACTCCTTGCTGCGTCGTGCAAGTGGTCGACACGAATTGCTGATACGGCGGCTGGCTTGTCACAATCACAGTACCGGGCGTATGATAGCGGTAATACGGACAACAGGCACAGCAACAGCAGGATACGATGGAAATGATGATAGCAAAGAAGATTATTGTACCAATTACAGCGCCTGCAATGCTTCCTGTCGTCCAAACACATGAATCAAGACATTCGCCACCGCAGCAAACCTCCAAACCAGGACATTCGTTATTTCTCGAGCAGGAAAAATAACAATAATCCCTGCAAATGCCATCAGAACAACAGTATTCAGCTATCCCACAGTTGCTATCGAAATCGCAGGACATAGCACCTTGCAATCCAAAGAAAGAGACCAAAAGAACGATAAAAAATCTCTTCGGCGCCATTGTTACAAAGCGAAAGACGACGTGTTGGAGCAGACTTGAAATGAAAGAGAATGTGGGTGCGGTTGGCTCGCGTCCAAAGTTTATCTCCGCCTACTTCCCTTTTGTCATTCTGACGTGACATATAAACAATAGCTATGTCTGCACGTCTCGGTTCAAGGATTTGACCGCGATTAGTGTTTTTGTCATTTCCGTTACACTCTATTTTCACCTCTTTTATTTTTGAAGGGAGGGGGGAGTTCAGCACTGTAGAGTTATTCCCAAAATTGCCTCATAAAAGGATTCTTTTTCATTTTATCTTACCATTAACATTCGAAAATCAATTGATTCGACTCTAAGGAATATTTTCTAGCCCATTTCGGAAGTTGTATGACTGAACTGAGCATTAGCCGAGATGAGAATGTAAATTGCATGACCACCTTAAAGCCTGAGATAGCCCTTCAAATTAAAGAGAGTGTTTTGTGTCTTGTTCTAACTGTAGATGTTTTCCAAGAGAACATAAATTGTTTATTTATATTTTCTTGTGTTCACTCAATGGTTTCTCCTACGAAGCAAACGGCAGGTTTAAGCAATTTTCGATATAGATACGAACTTCCCGGCTTGAAGTGCACAAAGTACCATTATTAAAATTTGTGATCACCATATTTCAAAACTTTACCAGTAGTTGGAGACTAGTTGTACCACATATAAAATATTTGATTGTAATGTTTGCTGTGATATCAATGCGCGTGATTTTCGCGTCAAAGGTAGGATTTCATGGTCATCAGCCTCCTTTGATTCAAGGGACTCAAGAAGACGGTAAGGCTTACTATAATTTGCGAAACGAAACGAAACGAGATGAAAATCTGAATATTTTCATTTCTAGTAAAAAATTTCTATTTTGCAAATCATAAGCATATTTCCATTTCGCAATTACAGATTTCTACTTTTAAAATCACTAGCATATTTCCATTTCGCAAATTACAGATTTCTAAATGGAAATATGCTAATGATTTGCAAAGTAGAAATCTGTAATTCTGAAACAAAATTATTCTGGGACTCAGGGAAGAAAATAAAAGAGCTTGGGTCTGTTACGTTTTTCCCGGCAAATATGATATTTCATCTAGTAATATGCTGCGATACTCAGTGCAAATGCTAATTGGTAAACGAGAATCCATCTTAAAAGATATTGGATCTTTCATGGGTGATAGCTGATATCTGGTAGAGCGTGAATCTTCAACGAGACCTTCAAGGATAATTAATTATTAAGTAATACTCATTTCCTTAGCGACAGCTCGACAGTACACTTCTCAGTTTTCCTTTATATCATTATTCAACGAGTCAACAAGAGGACTGGGTGTGAGTCTCAACATCTATACCCAGATTTCTTGATTTCAACGCGGTCAGCGATATACGCCTGCGCAATACAGTATCGGTCTCTTACGCCATCGTGCAGATCAAATCATCCTCGTGTTTAGCGACGGAAAAACTCTTTTATGACATTTTACCTGGAATTCTATTCACTACTGTTTAAGATTATTACTAACTGGTAAGTTTAAATGAACTGTCGCTTAAAAGTTAGTTTGAAGTGCCGAAAACCTCTTCCAATACCGTGTTCAAAATTATCCCATGTTCTCGAATCGAAGAAGCATGCTGTCCCTGTAGCACCATGTTCTCGTACTATCGATCTGTATAAAGATTTCTTTTTCTGTAGAAGTTGAGGAAGGAATCCTTGTGATAAATGCTAACAGAAGGACTCGTGTTATCGATATCTGTAATCCAGTGATTAATGATCTTACAAAACGATCACTTCTTAGCTGATGGTACTGTACGTACCGTAGATATTGTTTTTTCCACATCTGATGCGTATTCGATTTTGTTGGGCGTATAAATTTAAGTCATAAGTATTCGGAAATAGCTCACCGAAGGTGGGATTTTGAACAAGATTTTGTCATCCTGTGTAATACCTTAAATTGCTTTTGTATTATTGTGGTTATAAATGGACCTCTTTAAATCGTATTTTTTTTTTAAACAAGGGTTTTCTGAGAGACAGAAAATAGCTCTTGTGGGTAACAAAATTTACGCGACGATGGCTGGGTTTTTTTTAAAACATCAAACAAAATGTAGCGGTAAATTTAAGTACAAACCACTTGTACACAGTTTATTGAACTGCACCACTGTTCGTTGTGTTATTTTTAGTTGTCCAAAGACTGTTGACATCGACAAGATGGACCTCAGTAACCCTGCTTTCTATAGTTGCTCCAAATTTCACACTATAGACGTTTTTGTTTTCATTTACAGAGTAACTTTTCTATTTATATATAATCCACTCTGGATGATCCATACTTGGATGAACCCTGCAGCGTAAGGGGGCATGAGTAAGGGTGAATAACTAAGTGGAGATGAATCTGCATTGCGCTACAGGCACCATTTGGATGAAATCTTTTTCAGCAAAGTACTGGATAATTACTTTGCTTGCTTGTTTTTCTGAAACTTTATGCCAAGGCTGTCCAAAGCCTTGAGTGTTATCTTTAATTCCTAATGGTGAAAGAAATTTTTTAAAGCTTTTTGATGTACACAATGGTCTGCTTACTTACAGCAGAAGAATTGGTAAAATGTTCCACAGAAGTAAAACTTGTTCATTTATTCTCTTAAATGTGGTATGAGTTTTGGAATAGAATTGTGCTTACTGAGAGAGGAAGAGGGGAGAAAGTAAACCTCATCCAAGACATTTAGAGCATGGTTGGCCAGGGGCTTTTTAGATGAGCAATATTTTAAGAAAGAAAATACATTTGTGAGTAATATGAAAGTTCTGATTTTTTCGACAGACCAGTATGAACCAAGAAAAGTTATCAAAATTAAAAAGTGGAGTTCAAATAGGAGGAAAGGTGAGATGTTTATTCAGGTACATCTACACTGTCAAGAATCCAGACATTACAAAAATGAAAAACAATTTAACAGTAGCAGCCAGATAAGTTACTGGTGCTTCAGAAGCAAGTAGCTGGTTACAGTGCCAGCTGCTGGTGCTTCTGGAGAAAGGTGAGATGTTTATTTAGGTACATCTACACTGTCAAGAATCCAGACATTACAAAAATGAAAAACAATTTAACAGTAGCAGCCAGATAAGTTACTGGTGCTTCAGAAGCAAGTAGCTGGTTACAGTGCCGGCTACTGGTGCTTCTGGAGAATCTAGGAAACCACCTTATCCTGGCCACATGGGATGAGAAGGAAGAGGAATTTTAAGAGGTGATATGATGGTGTGAAAGAAGAGATTTAATTTTGAGAATGTTAAATTGATCATGCTACAATGTAAAGCATGACAATCAGAAGGAAGCAGGGAGTTTGTCAGTTGGCACATTGGTTATTTTCTATGTTCAGGTGCAGACTTACAGCACAGTTGATTTTTTGTGTGTTGACAGCACTGATGTAATATAGGCAAGACTGATCAAAGGTACTATAGTTTTGCATACCGGGGAAAAAAATAAAAGAAAGAAAGGCAGTGGGTCTCTCTGATGTAGTTGCTTTGGCAGCTGAGCTATTCTCCAATGGCTTTTACCAATAGGGAGAGAGCCTGAAGGTAGACTTAACACCCTGTTTCTGTCGTCAGAGCAAAACCTGGCTACGACAGCTTTCAACATCAATTTATCCATATAAGCTGCAGGAAAAAAAAAAGTGCGTAACATTTAAGTTAACTTTTTTAGGGCACACCCAGAAGAAAAAAGAAGATAGTTCACAGAACAGCTGGAGCAGATGATAAGAAACTCCAGAACACCCTCAAGAAGCTTGCTGTGAACTCGATTCCTGGAATTGAAGAGGTAAATTTTGATTAATTATAATGGTTGCCACATGTAACAAGTAGCTTGTAGTACATTCACCTTGCTTCTTTTATGCATCAACAAAGTTAGATCAATTTCATTCTCATTCTTGATATCACTGATGGTCCATTGCAAGTGATAAGTTGGATCAGGTATGAGAAAATTTTTTTTTTTTTTCATCAGTTACAATGTTCCAATTACTTGTCCTTTGCAGGTAAACATGATTAAGGATGATGGGTTTGTCATTCATTTTACTAATCCAAAAGGTAATTATCGGAATTTATTGAACTAACTCCTGATAACTGGAATCTTTCACTTTCTCAAAGTAACAAGGATTCACACTGTGTGTCTTGCATGCATTAAGTGCAATTTTACCCAAATATTTTAAATCCTCTACAATGGGAAACTCTTGCTAACTCAATTTTACCCTTGGAGTTTTTTTTTCTTTTCTGGCTGTTGCTTTGTTTAACAGCAAAAGTGTTCATTTGGTTTTTAACTCTCCTCTCTGTGTTACACCTTAAATATGCATTGTCTGGATGGCAGTTAATCATTTTTATCCCACAAAATTTGTCACTTAACCCTTCAACTCTATGAAGTGATAAACATGTACATGTAATTTCTCCCTATTATATCCTCACATGTACATACATCATCTAGCAAACAGGTACTCAAATTTATTGTGTAGAATTTGTTATCTTGATGTAACACCAAATTCTCACAACTAATTTACAAGGAAATGTGTAGTAACAAGAGGGAAGAATAAGCAATCCATGTAACATTGAATTGTTGTACTTCTCCTAGTGCAAGCTTCCCTGCAGTCAAACACTTTTGCTGTGGTTGGTCAGTCTGAAACTAAATGTGAGTATAATGACAGACTAAGTTTTTTATTGTATGTGCTTTACTTTTGCAAGACTATGGGACTGAATGTGATGGGTGTAACACAAAACTGTTCTCGCCTACAAATTTCCTTGATCAAGTGATGGATTGTTCATAAAAAAAAGTTATGTGTGTAGTGATGTTATCAAAACAGTTCATTATTATTAATGTTACTTGCAGTAAAATGTATGTGTACACCAGCCATAACATGAATTATAATCTTGTATGACTAATATAATTTTTTGTGCTTGTCTCTCAGCAATTGCAGAAATGCTTCCTGGAATTTTGAATCAGTTGGTAAGTACACTTGTATCCTTGTACATGTACTCCTTAGAGCTAGTCTTTGGTTAGACAAGGAGTAGTCCTTGCCACTTGGAAAAGTCTGTTTTGCAAGTGCAAAAAGAATCATTATAAAAAAAAAAAAAAAGATTTGTGCTCACTGCTTGGAACTCTGGAAGAGAGGTGCACCAACATCATTTCTTTTTTTACTCATGTGACAGACCTTGCTGAAATGGAGGGTGTGCTTGTAGTTTAGTCTTTTGTAAGCTTTTTAAAGTTTCTCTAGAGAAACAGATACAGATATCATACAAACATACCTGTTTAAGTTTAATACATTACACCTGTCACTAATCATGGCTGATTGTTAACTGTTTAACCCCTTTGGGTGGCTGGCTTCTAATTTCTCCATACAATGTCACTCTTGAGTCAAATACAAAGGTCATGAGAATAAAGGAAATGATCACCGTTATAAAGAGGTCTTAAGTTTCAAAACAAATTCTCCTTGTCAGTATCATCAGAAATGCAAGGAGAACAGTCTGGAGTGTATGAGTTCTACTGATAGGGAGTCAAAGGTTACAAAATGCACTAATATGATTACTTTTCTCATTACCAGAGTAGTGAAGGTCTGACCAATTTGAGGAAGCTGGCAGAGAAATTCCCAAGTGAGTTAAAGATATCTGATAAGTAACTGCTTACAGTATCTCTAAAGTGGAGGTGGCTAGTGATATTTACCCTGTGATATTTACCCAGTGGTATTTACCCAGTGATATTTACCCAGTGATATTTACCCAGTGATATTTACCCAGTGATATTTACCCAGTGATATTTACCCAGTGATATTTACCCAGTGATATTTACCCAGTGATATTTACCCAGTGATATTTACCCAGTGATATTTACCCAGTGATATTTACCCAGTGATATTTACCCAGTGAACCACAAAGCACTGAGGTAACTAACCACCAATAGAAACTGACACTGATGTAAATAGTTTTTTTAGTGTATACTAAAATAGTGAGATAATATAGACCAAAAAGATGATGTTTATTCATTTATTCCTGAAACAATTATGATATTTTGGGGTGCAAATCCTGCCACGTTGCCTAGAGGTAAATAGTAAAAGATATTCAGAGTTGTAGTAGCCAATCAGAGCTTGCCTTCAACATTATCCACTGTTTTAGTGGGAGCTAAAATATTTTTGTTAACCCTTAAACTCCCAAGATCTGGATGTTAAGTCTCCCCTCTAGCTGCCACACAGTCATTTCCATGTAAATTGGTTATGAGAATTTGATGGGAGATCAAAAGGACAACTTCAACCTGATAAGTTTGAGTATTCTCATTACCAGATTGGGTGATAATGTGTGAATATTACAGGGAGAAATCACATGTTAATCACTTCTGGGAGCTAAAGGGTCAAGAGATGAAGGGAAACACAAAAGCAGCAATTGATAAAATCACCATTAAAACAGGATGCCTATATGTAGAGAAGATTTAAACAGTTTGGGAAAAAAAATGATTTTACAACCTTCATGTGGGTTGCATTTCTATAGATGTAGAAACCATGACTAGTGTAGGTATCTCAAATGTTGAATCATTTGCTGTTGTTAGAATAAAAGTATTCCTATGGAGCACTGAATAACAAACAACAATTTCAAATTAAACTGAATGTTGGGCTTGTGTCTCTTTTGACTTGGAATAGTTAGCCTTAATAACTTACATATAGGTACTTTCGCATGGAAATCTTGACAGCTATGTACTTGTAACTGAGTAGCTGTTTTGCTGTTTCACTTTTAGCAGCAACAGATGGTGCACATGTCCCAACTCATACTGAGGAGGTTGACGATGACGATGTCCCAGGTGAGACATTGCTCCTTTTTTCATTTACTTTATTGCAAACCAATAAACTAATAACCAGGGGAAAAAAATTTTGAACCACCTGGCTGAGGGTTAGAGGGGTGAAAACTTCCCTCTTGCTGTACTCAGCTATTTTCACCTTTGGCATTCTTGAATTTCTCTCAGGCTTCTGCCTATTTCTTTTCACTCTTCAGAATATCTCTGGTTTGTAATAGGGACTGGTTTTTCAACAATCTTAGCATTTCTGACATTTAGATAACCTTAACTTCTGCTGACCTCCTCCAGGTCAGTCTCACTGTGACGACTAATTATCACTCAGATAACCATGTTCTCTGAGCTATCAAGACATGAAATGTAGGGCTGACAGGAGAGGGGAATTGATATGAAGATATTAGGAGTTCAAAGGCTAACTGCATTCTCTTACTCATTGTGATATTCTTTTCATCCACAGAGCTAGTTGAAAATTTTGATGAGCCCTCGAAGGCAGAGGGAGTCTAAAAAGATCCCAGTGTGGAAGACCAAATCTAACAACTGATGCTACCACACATATGCTGACCGCAAGTAATAAACAGACTCTGTGGCCTGCTTTTTCATTGTATATGTAATAGTTAACAAGACAATTTTTTGTGGTGTCCTATACACTCTTTGTGTTGTTTGATATGCCAGCAATTTATTGGGCTGTCAATAAAAGAATGGGAACTTGCTTTATGGAGTGATGGTTTTTCAGCATAAATTGAATTACTTGCATGTATTCCATGTTTACGATACAGCATTGGTTTTTTTTTTTAGAGGTGTTTTTTTTCATGTAATTATGAAGCATGTGTTTGGACACAGCTATTGGGATCTCTCAGCCCAAATCCCTCTTAATCCTTTAACACTCAGATCAAATTTGTAATTCTCCTTATTGTTAACCATACAATTCTTATGATGTTAGTTCAGAGAATTTAGTATTGGATCAACTTATTATCCCCAAATTGATTTTTTTTCTTTTTTCTCATCAATTATCTGGTTGATATTGTGCTGATATTGTAAGGAGAAATTCTGTCTTGGTCACCCATGGAAGTTAACCCTTTCACTTGCACAAGTGACCAAGACAGAATTTCTCCTTACAATATCAGCACAATATCAAGCAGGCAGGTGATGAGAATAGAGAAGAATATCAATTATGGGATTATTAGTTGATCCAATACCAAATTCTCTGAACTAACATCATACGAATTGTATGGCAGATAGTAAGGAGAATTACTAATTAGATCTTGGGAGTGAAAGGGTTAAGGGGTTAAAAGTGGTTTGGGGCCTCCCAGGAACTTAGGTCGTGTGGATAATAATATGTATGCTAAAATGTCAGCCTGCTTATTGCTTCGAGAACACCTTAATTGATCGCAAACAATGCAGAAAGTTGAAACTGAGTGCAGTAGGTTAAAATTACTCTAAATATATTGGCAGGAAAGTTGCGAAGGTTAAACAGAACAAAATGGCGAACAGGTTTGGAGAAAGTAATAACGACTTAATCATGAACAAAAACATCTAAGAGAGCACATATAACTGGCTTAAAGTCTGGAAGTCTTGGTATTGTGTTGTTTGATATGCCAGCAATTTATTGCGCTGTCAGTAAGACAATAGGAACTTGCTTTAAGGAGTGATGGTGTATTTAACATAAATCGAATTACTTGCGTACATTCCATGTTTACTATATGGCATCGGGTTTTTTTTTTTTTTTTTTTTTTTTTTTTTTTTCGGAGGTGCTCTTTTTGATGTAATTATGAAGCATGTGTTTGGACACAGCTACTGGGATCTTCTCAGCATGACTAAGACGTTAGCTGCAAGACTTCCAGACACGGTTACGACAGAAGTATTGAAACACAGGAACCGGAGTCCCTGAACAAAATTCTCTCGGAGTTACCACAATGGTTCATACGAAAGATGGGAATTAAATTGCGGGCATGATAGCATTCGTGTTCTAGTCAATGCAAATTCTAACTGACAAAGTATTTATCACCCGATTTCTCCTGACAGAAGGTTTAAAAGCTCAAAAGTTTAAAATACTAACGGAAAAAAGCCCGCAAGCAAGCTAGGTGTCCGTATCTCGAATGTATCGATTAATCGACGGGCCCGAAGCCAAATGTAAATTTAGGAATGAATGCTGAAATCAAAATACCATGTTATTTGAATTATAGTGGATTGCTCTAAGAAAGTGGCCGCTTGATGGATACCCCAGGCAACGAAAAGGTATATCGAAATTATACTGTTAACAAATTGCGAGGATGAAATGTCTCTTATCAGACTTTGGATCTTAATAGCACCGTACCCTGCACGAGGTAAGAGGTTTCTTTGGCACTATGCTATTAACACTTCTCCGTTCTCCTTTACCTCCAGCGAATAGCAGAAAAACAGTTTTAAACCTTGATCTTACTTAATTTAATTTCAAAGTAAAAGCGGAGGACGAGGTTTTATCATACAATGGAATGGATTATTCGGAAACCGCGGAAGGTTTTATCTCAGAGAAGGCTTAAAATTTGATGATTTTTTTCTTTTACTATTTTAAGAATAACATGGCCGACAAACTAATCCAACATAAGCTGAAGGCGAATATTAAGTGACCTTAAACGTCTTGTTGTTAGTTGGGTGGAACTTCTGCAAATCGTATGTACTGCACATCCTATTTCGTAATAAACCGGGCGGACCCTGCGCACGCTTTGCTAGTTATGGCGGAGCTCGCAGTGCGCGCAGCATAGCCTTATACTTATAAAAATAGTAATGACAGCAACCCATCAGCCGAAAAACTTAGGTATGACCGCACGTCCGTACGTACAATGTACTACTTTTGACATACGCCGCCAGTTGCATTTGCGGGCTACTGGAAACACGATGAATGGAGGGGATTTCGGAAGTAGAAGCGAAATGGTGAAGGTAATGCGTAGGCATTATAGAAAAATTTGTGATAAATGATCGGCGGAAAAAGCTGCTTGTTTGGCTTTCATTGGGGAAAAGGAAACTGGAAAAATGGAAATAGACACTCTGTCTACTGCCCTAAAATTGGAAGTCAGATGTGACACGGTTGTTGTAATGAGACCTAGCCGAACCTGCACCTGTCGACAGCTGAAGTACGAATATTGATTTAGTCCCAAAAGAACTGAAAGTGTACACGGTAAAGGGTTTACGAACGTACGCTGAAATTGTGGTGTGGCGCTGCAAGAGACGGTAAACGCTGACTCCTAACGTAAATTATAAATTCACTTTTAAATCGACATCTTTCCCGGCGTTGCTGTTCTGACCTCTTAAGGTCTCTAGCGCGTTTCTTCGCTCGTGGAATAGTATGAGGCCTTAAGCAACCCGATCTTGCGTGAGGTCCGCAGAGGGTCTAGCGCTGATTATTATAGCCAGACCCTCCGTAACCCTCTCCCCGACTCGTCTCAGTCTTCACGCGTGCAGAGAGACGCGCGTCCTGTATTTTAGCAAACCAACATCCACAAACCAAACGACAGTCGAAAATATTTATTTAGTGTAAGATAATTTCAGTAACAATAAAAATCAAACAGCAATAGAATTGTACATTAAATAATTCTAAATCGTTAAGATAATTTATAGAATAAATCTCTTATGTACAAAAATTGATACACGAACAATTTGCGCCTTTGGCGACTTCTGTTTTCATAGTATTGACAGCTCAACTACGCTCGAGATTAGGATGGAAATTTAACTTCAAACTTTGCTTTGTTGGTCTTTAAGACCACTCCCTAAAAAAGCAATGCAGGAAATGGTTGCTATTCGAAACTCCTGTTAGACAATAAATCGGTTTTCACGACATAATAAACGTCGAGGTAAACCTAAAATAAAAACGATGAAACAGTAGAAAATCAAGTAATAACTATCCTGTCAACGAAAATAATTACTGTGAAAACCGAAACAAAAAAAAAAAAAGGTGACGACGCTTATTACAACTACGGTACGATACTTCAAATCACTTTGCGCATTTTGAATAATATGAGTGTCTAAAGGAATCAGGAATTGTTTTGATTTTTCGGCTTCACTGCATGTGACAACTCAGCGGTCAAACGTAAAGCATGCGCAAGTGGTTCAATCTTGCGCAGCCGCGCGTCAATTTCTCGCGAAAATGTTGAAAGAAAACATAAGAAACGACCGCTGTCAAGCAAAACATGCACGAAAAAGCGAAACGTTCAGAGAAATTTGTAAAACATAAACAAAAAAATTGGGAAGGGGAAAACTTGACACTTTCAAACACGAGGCTTATTAAATTACGGAAATTCTGTTGATTCAACACTTTGCTTTGAACTTTACCTAAAAAGCAATACGGTTTTAAAACACCGTGGATAACTGACTTGTGTCGTTGTTTGTTACTCCTGGAAGACCAATCGTTATGACTTAGCTATCCCTACTACTCTCTCTAGACTTTAACGGTCATCTCCTCCGTGTCAGGACAATTTGAATAATTTGTTCATAGTGCTTTTGAGAAAAATACAATGCAGTTGTCAATCAAGATCATATTTTCCATTTTGCTTTACAAAGTCTCTCACGTTCTGCTTTCACAAGACGCAGCATGTGTTACGTGGTCGCTTTTCCTTTCGTCAAGGGGTCTTGATCAACTTGCATCCATTCTATGAGCCTTCCAAAAAGGGCTCCTAACTAAGGTTGTTTGTCAGATAAGAATCAGTATTTCCGCTGCGTACATGGTTGTACTTGAGAGACCGTTGAGGTCCTAAAGTGGCTTGGTGTCGCAGAGAAGAGGTGCATTATCAGATGACGTATTCATGTCCCTTAACTCAGAGCCACTAGCCTCGCACTCGCTTTGGAAACTAAATTCGCTGTTTCTCCTGGTTGGAGAACGTGCACTAAGCTGAAAATTAGCACTGTTATCAGGAAGGAAGAACGCCAATAGAAGAGAAAGAATAACAGAGCCAGCGCCGAATAGAAACGGTGCTCCAGATACGATTGTCTGCGGAAAAAAAACATTTACAGCAAGGTAAAAAAGAATGATTTTCTCCTCTGACAGTACCTGCTTTACACATATCCCTATGGCGATGAAGAGGGAAATTTACTATACAACTGAGAACCTCTTCTATTCTTGATCATTTCTTTTGTTCAGGAGTTATACTATATGTATGATACTGTATTTGCAGGTCATGAGAAAGACGAAAACGGTTACTAACTAAAGAAGCTCTTTTTTGTTTACCAAATTCTCCTTGTTCGCCATAGCAAATAAGAACAGTGTAAAAAATAAGCATTCTGATATTGTCAATACCTTGCCGTACGGGTCCTCCATAATGGTGTGATTACTTGCAGCAGTGATATCGACAGTTGGACCTTCCTCGTCTTCTAAATCCACGTGAAACACGTAAAACACCAAACCAAAAAGAGCAGGTCCTATGCCATTACACAAGCCTCTTATTCCTGTTATCATACCTTGAACCACACCTGGCATAGAAAAAAAAAGAGAATACCTGGTTCAGATGTGTTGGTAATCTGTATTTAGCGGTCAGCCATGGGGAATGCTTAAAACAGGTTCCACAGGATGAGGGTGTTGTAAAACACGGGAAAAAACGCTAATTGACCACTTAATTAACCACTTGATGTACAAAAACTCGCGCAAAATACCACCAACATTGATTTCGGGAGAAAAACATGGGTTACTTAAAAATACTTAAAAGCTTGTTCTTTTTTTATTTGAGTGGTTCCACTTTAAATGAGAGTTTAGGACAGGTACCACTTGATACAGGTGAATAAAGATGAAAATTGCAGTGTTTAGAAGGTAAGAATGTCGGCACTTTAACAACTGACCGCTTAATCCGGTGCCAAGACGGTTGATTGACAAATGATCCAGAGGTATCTGAGGCACCTCTCCTTTTATAGCGCGCCTTCGTGTTTAATACAGGCTCGACTGTATTATCCAACAAAATACGGGGCGATGTGAATCAAAACGACAGTGAACTCTTTTGTAAGTGGACATCCTCGGGAATTGGAAAAAGCGTCTGCTAATAGAACTGTCCGACTACGAGGATTTCTTCCCATAAGCGGACACAAAGAAAATTAGGGCGGATGTCCGCTGACACCGAGTATCATGTAACATACTTGCTTTAAATGTCAAATGAATGGGCAGCTCGCTTTCTCGCCGACAAAAGCAGATTTGACAAAACTTCCCCGCTGTTCTTTTGCTTTGTCAAAGGCCATAATTTTCCTTCCTTAAAGTTGCCGCGAATTTTTCCGTATCGTTTCCTGATAAACCTAAAATTTCTCCCACCAGACTAAAACGACAGTTAAGAGTTGTAAATCTTCAATTTTAATAGACTCTTTTTCAGACCTTGGACAATTTTATTCTCAGACCGTTACCTGACCTTGAATCCATGAAAGACGGTTATTAAAACAAAGGTCAATGAGAACTTAGCCAATGGAGCCAATGATAACTAGTGTTTAGAACATGGAAAAGATCTCGTGTGCGGGAAATCGCGGACATCTCAGTAACGACTGCTTTAAGTCTTGCTCTGATTGGCTGAGAGGTTAGAGCAAGATTTCCGTGACCACTCACTAAGCAGAATGCAATTCTGGACCACTTTTAAAGGCTCTATTCGTTAGGAAACCAGTGGACTTACCTTGCTGATCAGCTTCAGCGTTACAGGACACCAGGGCACTCATGGATGGATATGTTATCATCGATATTGACGCCAGGGATCCAGCTGCCCACATCATCCTACAGACACAAAGAAGACGAGAAAGAATTCAAGTGGATGCGTCAACATTTCACTTTAATCAAAATTACAACAAATTGGGTATCACCAGCCCGATTTGAGCCTTAATAGAACAGTTTACGATTCATACTTGTAAAAGGACAGTGTAGCGACGTGCCTGTGTCATTGGACAGTACGCGTTCTATGCGCGCACCGTTGTTGCGCATTTTTCCGAGTTACATGAAGAAAGATGGTAAGTTTTAAGCTCGGTAAAGGAAGGGGAAAAGATGTTTTTCGTCTTGTCACAAGCGTGGGACAAAGAAAAATTCTGAGTCCCATGAGGAATCGAACCTCAGACCTTAGGATTCCGCGCTTCGATGCTCTACCACTGAGCCACAGACTATCCCGTATTACTTTGGAAACTCAACTGAAAATTGTAGCAACTTACCAAAACTGAGTTCCGAGACCATACCAAGATAACTGAAGAATTTCAAATATTAAACCAATAAGAACGCAATTCTTCAATCCTATAGTTTTCTTGAGACATGTAAGGACTACAGTCTGAAGACAGAACAAAACAAAAGAATCTGTAAACATAATTTATCAAGAACATAGGTTAAAATTCTGAATTCAAATTCGCCTACGGGATAGGCGTATTTCTTTCTGCTTTTTTCCTGCGTTTTTCAGGAAAGCGAAGGCAAGCGCGAGGCTCTCGTGCCTGACTCGCAGTTCACGCCGAGTCACGCTCTCGTCACACTTCCCTCTGACTCCCCTAAAAAAAAACCAAAAAGTGGCGCTTACCCGCAAGCCAAATTAACCACATTTTCTTTTATCTGTGCAGCGAGCATTTCGACGATTATTGGTCATTAAAAGAAGCAAGAAATAAATGCATTTGACCGACAGCCTAGGGAGGGAATGTCCTTTGCATGCTGTAGTCATCTGATCAACCCTTTAACTCCAAAGATCTGATTGATTCTCTCCTCTAGCTGCTACACATTTCCTTGTAAATTTTCTTGCAAGAGTTTGCTGTTAGATCAAGATAACAACTTATAGCTGGTAAGTTTGAGTATTCTCAATACCTTTTTGCTGGATAATGTATGGATATTATACGGAGAGGTTACATGTTAATCACTTTTAGGATTTAAAGGGCTAAGTGTTGTATGCTTCAAAGACGCGATAACCTGAGATCAATCGCAACAACACAATATAATATCCTTACCTGAGAGATAACTGATAATACACCTAACACTGCTATAAATGTAGCCACATCGTCTGAAGTAAATTTTATAACCTAGCAGAAGACCACAAGAAGAAAAAAAACTTGAAAAAAATGTTTTGTAGAATAATACTTATGTTGTAGATTAATTTAACCCCATAACTTAAAAGATTTTAAGATGAATACTCCCAACTGATGATCATACAATTATTTGAGCGCTAGCCAACAGAATCTGGAGTTAAATCAAGTTGATAAAAATCTCAATTCTCGCCACCTGTCTGTTCAAATGTGTATTGAATACGTAAAGAGAATTTCAATCTGTGTATAAGTCACAGGAGAATTCTCCAGCTTCCAAAAGTATTCTCTTTTAACGGAAAAGGGTGTCCACATATGGGAAATTTTAGCCGTCCGTTTTTTTTTTGGATGGTCTGTTGTTATAGTTTGCATGTTCAATAAAGCTTTCATCTGTGAATGACTTACTTGCTTGAGATACAGAAACATACAAGAATACTGTCCAGCTTCAGGTAGATATGACAGGAACACTGTAATACACATCAACAGAACTATAGGATCCTGGCCAACTTTGCGTAAAGACTAGAACAGAAACAAATAAAACAACACACAATTACTTGCTAGTCTGAGGAACAGATTCAAGTGACTTTCTAATACTTCCTTTTCAACCCTTTCACCCCTAAGAGTGACTAGCATCTAATTTCTCCCTACAATATCTCCACTGAATCACACATTAAGGTCATGAGAATAAGGGAAATGATCACTAAATAGAGGTGCTCTTGATTGATAAACAAATTCTCCTTGTCAGCACCTTAGGATTGTATAAAGAATAGTATGGAGAATATGCATACTGATGTTGGGGTGTAAAGGGTTAAAGCTTTTCGTGCTCGTCACAAGCAATGTATATTTGAATTGAAGATAGCAACATTTGGTGGCACTCCTAAACCCTTAATCCCCAAAAGATCCTCATCACATTTCTCCTTACAATACCAGCTCAAAATCACTGGTAAAGGTCAGGAGAATCAAGAAAGTGATCTACAAATTGACTAATTTTTTCACACTTTATCACAACTGATGCAGCAATATGAAAATATATGGAAACCAGTAAGGTGAATTTTTATGTTGACCAGAGTTAGAAAATACATGTAAATAGAACGTGTTGAAAAGGTTGCTGTTTTTACTCACTGCAAAAGGATCAGCCTGTTCCCAAGAGATTGGTGCTCCCCAAGATGCTGGCCTCACCCGTTCAGGAAGAGACTCAGGAACAGCAACTAAAATAAACAGCAGATCTGAAGCAGCCACAAAAGTAGCTAGCGCCACAACAGCCCTGTCATCATATATTCTACCAAGATATCCTCCGAGTGCTGGACTTATGATTAGACTTGCTGCAAATGTAGCAGAAACCTGGGGGAAAAACAGAAGAATTTTACAATTTACAATAACATAAATGGGTTTACTACACATTAGTATATGACTGCATTTAGTCATAAAGTTGGGTTTGTTGTTCCATATGTCAGTGGTCTGAGAGGTGCCAGACAGGAATTAGGTGAAAGGACTTTGTTCCTACAGGTGCTGTGGGTAGTGAATAGCTTCCAGAATCAACAGTAAGAAAGAGTAGGGGGGGTGACAAGGTGACACCTCACAAGGTGGTGTCTAAGAATAAGAATAGACCCTCTCCCCCCCCCCTTCAATAATTTAATCTATGAATTAATCCATCAGATTAAGCTTTACTGATAAGTAAATCTTACCAGTCCATAAGCAGTGCTTCTATCACCTTCGTCGGTACAGTCAGCTACATAGGCAAATGCTATTGAAAAGGTGACTGCAAACATCCCAGAAACTGAGATCATAGCAAAAAACCACCTGAAAAACAAAGTATACTTTCAGGAAAAGATGAAATACCCACCTTTATGAAGCTTTAGGGCAAATAGGAGCTGCTTAATGGTTATCACAGTTGAACAGTCCTATAGTAAGCTGTCACCCACAGAAAATGGCGGGGTAACCCTTTAATATAGGTTGACTACTAAATACAGGTTCCACATAATAGAATATAACCACAAAAACACCACCTTTTTTTTTTTTTTTTTTTAATGTTGCAACTTTAACTTTCCTTCTTTTTTTCTTCTTTCTCCTTTTTTTTTCCCTGTGTATGCACCTAGTTTAATTTATTGTATGTATGCTGTAACCTTTTCCTCTACGTCAGTATATATCTAGTTGTAGTAGTCTTGTATGTAATGAGTTGTGAAAAGAAATAAAGCCGTAATAAGGGGAAAAACCCACCATCTTGTCCTAACAGTCATAAGGAAAAAGATAATCGGCAATGCAGTGTGGACATTTGAATTCAAAGCACTAAGATTGATTTCAGGAGAAAAGCATAGAGTCATAACTTACCATGGGTTAAATTGTAGAAGAGGGATAGGTATGCAAGTGAAGAAAACAGTAACAAGAAGAAAGGATTTACGTCCCCAAACATCCGAAAGGGCACCAATTAGTGGAGCACACAAAAAAGATAATATTCCCTGAAAAGAAATTGAAATTCCTCATTATTTTGTAAGTGAACTCAGAGACTACAAGCAGTTCCTCTTTTACTGTAAAATCTGTCACACAGGTCAACAAAATTCAGTGAAAAAAGCTAGCCTCAATTTTTTTAAACTTATTTTTTCATTTCAACTCGTGAAACACATTCCACCAATAAGGAGGGAGTTGTCTAGCTTTTACATTTATTGAAATCCTGGCACCATTGAAATGAGTACACGTGTCTTAACAGACTTACACTGAGCACTTAATATTTACATGAGAAAATCACCACGATCTTAAGCAACTTTATCATTGCAAATGCATGTAAAAAATATTTTTCTGTACCTTAACTCCCTGAATTAATCCATTCATTAGAAATGTGTGTTGCTGGAATGTGTTGTGCAGGACCTGTCAGGAAAACAATACCTTTACTTAGAAAAGTCATAAAATGTATTTCTTTACCGAGCGCAAAACTTACAAACTTTCTCATTCTTTTTTCGAACATAATGCTATCTACATTGCTGATCTTAGCAATATGCAGGAGTTATGTCATACATGAACTTTTTAATGGGCCTTGCTCATCATAGAGTCTCTGTGGCTCAGTGGTGGAGCATTGGAGAGCAGAATCCCAAGGTCTGAGGTTCAATTCCTCATGGGGACTCAGAAATTTTTCTTTGTCCCACACTAGTGATGAGACAAAAAACATACTCCTGACATAGTACTGTTTCCAAACTGATCATTTATCAATGCAGCTTGTCAACCCTTTCATTCTTAACATCACTGTCATAATTCTCCTTACTGTGCCCCCTCCAATTCTCTTGAATTTAGTTTGGAGAATTAAGTTTGGATCAATTAATAATCCCCTAGTTGATATTTTTCTTTTCTGTGTCAGTAACCCAGTTTGAAATCAAAAGCAAAATTCAACTGTGCTTGGTTAGCTCATGAACATTTCAGATTGCCACACTGCTGTGCAGAGAGTCAAAGTTTCAAGCCCTAGACCAGACCAATGCCCACAATTAAATTAAAAAAACATTTCATATATGTCCATGTGCCATAGGAAATACGCATTGTAGAAGGTTCTCTACTAATTATGAACATAGAGTTTATTTTAAGTACATGCTTTATTTTTTTTCGAACATTCACCTCCATTTTGGTCAGATATTGCTTATACAAACCAATACAACCAATACAAACAAACAATATCTACACTTACTGTTGCCTAGTGAACATGATAGAATAAAGTCCACAAAAACAAAAACAGATGCAACATCACAATTATGCAAGCAATCACAAAGTGCAGTTATTGTAAGTGACAGATATATAAAAGATGAAAAAAATAACATGATCAGGCTTAGACAACAGTTTGTGTCAGGATGGTGAGGTGGCAAGTCCTTTTGACAAGAAAGGTTTGATTTTGTCAGAATATTGTTGGTTTGACTGTCTAGGTTAGAGAGAAATTGCTGTATTTGGTTTACAATATCTGAACTCAGCTAACTTCCATAACAGTTCCAGCATATAAAAAATGTTTTTTAGTAGTGGGTAAGATGAGTTGAGTTGTAGGTGGCAGAGGCCAAAGGCACCTGCCTTCTTGGGGAGTTGGGAGGCATGAAACCCAGAAAACTTTGAAAGTTTCTGCTTCAAATGGTGGTATCTGGTGCATTTGATGGTAAAAATATTTCTGCTTGTGTCTATTCATTGGAGAAAATTATTCCATTTAGTTCTTTGTTTTTTGCTTAAAGTGTAAAATGGTAGAGACTTCAAATTTGTTGTCAATGAATTTCAGTAGAAAGTACAGAGTAAGTAGCAGATATTTTATTGTAGGTGTCAAAATTGCTGGCTGTTGGCACATTTTGACTGGGCTGATGGTTTCTCCTCTCACTCATTGCACAGTACATGAATGTTGTACATGCAAGCTACAGCAGAATTGTAAATTGCACAATTCAGTAGATGTCATACACAGAGCAGTAAAGTTGTGATATGATGAAGTCTATTTAACCCTTTAACTCCCAAGATCTCATTAATTCAGTAATTCTTCTAACTGTCTCTCATACAATTCTTATGATGTTACATGGGGCTCAGAGAATTTGGTGCTGGATCAACTTATAATCACCTAATTGATATTTTTCTTTATTCTCATCACTTGTCTGCTTGATGTTGTATTTAATGTTGTAACAAAAAATTCTGTCAAAGGGTCTGACACTCTGGCTTTGTTTCAATTAGGCTCTGATCTTTTCCATACATTCTATGTTTAATGGCTAGAACAATTTGGCTTGTTAAACCAGGTTGACATAATTAGGATTGGGGGTTTATGAATTATTGCATCACTGTTCCAAGGAAGACACAAAAAATGGTTCACCCTTTAAACCCATGAGTTACCGAGACAGAATTTCTCCTTACAATGTTCATGCTATATCAACCTGATGAGTGATGAGAATAAAGAAAAATATCAATTTGGAAATAATTAGTTGACCCCATACTAAATTCTCCGAACTAAAACTATAAGAACTGTATGGTTGACAGTAAGGAGAATTATAAATTAGATCTGGGATTTAAAGGTTTAACCCTTTAACTCCTAAGAGCAAATAATATGTACTGTAACTTATCCCCATAATATCTATACATCATGCAACAAATGGGAAAACTCAAACTTATCAAGTAGATGGTGTTTTCTTGATCTTACGCTAAATTTTTGTAACTAACTTAAAAGGAAATGTGTAGCAACTAGAAGGGAGAATTAACAATCAGATCTTGTGGGTTAAAGGGTTAAGGCACCATGTTCACTCAGGATATGGTTTTACACACTTTTCACTTTACCCTTCAGTAGAATGGCCAAGTTGACAAAATAATTTCTGCAATGTTGTGATCAGATCAAAAGGTTTTCAAATTGCTAGAATTTGGCTGTAAAGAGGAACCAAACATCTCTACATGACAAATATCAAAATTTACAGCCTCAATTTCCTTGTTAACAGATCACTATCAGTTAGAGATTGTATATTGACTACCCAGACAAGAACTTATGGCAGAGGATAAAGGGTTGAACCTATGGAGAGGAGTGTAAAAAGAAGTAACACTTGTGTAGTTCATACTGTATTTATCCATTTTAACTCCCAGAAGTGATTAACAAGTAACTTCTCCCTATAGTATTCATACATTATTGAGCAAATAGGTAATAAGAATACTCAAACTTAGACAGGTAGAAGTTGTTATCTTGATCTATCACCAAACTCTCGTAACTAATTTACAAAGGAATTAGTTGAAGCAAGAGGGGAGAATTAACAATCAAATCTTGGGAGTTAAAGGGTTAGATGATAAGTTGAATTATACATGCACTTTGAGAGGTTCTTAGTTATATTTCTACTGGAAGACAAATGCATTGTTGACATCACCATTAACACCATTTTTTCTGTTTAATCATATTGAAAAGAAAGAGAGAGATTCTTCGTTGCCATGGGTTTGTAAAATAATAAATCACAGTAGACATCAAAATGTAGTAAAAAGCATCAATGACACACTCAACTGTGCCTCATGCACCATTTGTTTTTTTTTTTCCTAACACATTTTGACACCATCAGTGATCCACGTGTACATGTATTACTCAACAAACACAAGACAACATGAAATCTGACTTACCTCATACTTAAAAAGTTAGTTTTTCTTCAACCGATGAAAGTAAATCAAGGTTAGGAGCATGTAGAGTCTAATTTCATGTCATGAGTGGTGTGAAATGGGACAGATTCTTCCCCTAAACATGAGTATCTAGAGCAATGAAATAACTCTCACATAAAAACTTACTGTTAACATAGGTGATGTGAGAAGACCCCAGGCAAAAAATTCCAGGAAGATTACTACTGTGGCATGGTAAACACTTGGTTTTCCAAATCCCTGTAGAGACATTAAGATTTTCAGAATCACTTAATAACTTTATTTAAGTGTCAGTGATATGTAGCCAAGGATAAATTCTTCTAATTTGGGGAGACTAGAATAGGCTTGGAATTATAAAATTAAAAAATACCCAACCTGAATACAGATAAACTTTGACTATCTGGATTTTCCAATTATCTGGATCTTTCAATATTTGGACTATTTAGCCCAGTTCCCACAAGTTTGGATAATTAAAGTTTGACTGTATCATGATAAAATTAACAAATGCCTTTGTAAACATTACAATTAGAGGTTTGAATTTTACCATTTAAATCTGTGAAAACCTATAGTGTTGATATTAAGCCTGCATAATTTAGAGAATTGATGAAAATTACTGTCAAAACTATGTCCATAACACAAGGAATGCTAAAAATGCAAACACTAAATGAAATAAGCAGTCAAAAGAGATACACAGGAATTGATAATTCCTGTCAGATTCCAACTTTGATTCTTAACAAAGTAGATCTAAGCAATAACATAACGTGAGAGAAGGATAGAAAAAAGCCACCTCATTCATAAATTTTTCATCACAAACATAAAAATAAAGAGAATCGATTAACTTAACGACGTGAAATACCCACAGAACATAAAGGCAGAACAATTAAGACAATTTCTTTCCCACATCTTTCTTTGACGATAACACATTCATCAACACGAAGAGATCATGGTTACAAACGTTTGAAACACACTCGTAACCTTATGTTGTCTTACGAACGGAAGCTAGTTGACGAATTGCGCTTTTCCTAAAAAGGTTTAGAGGAAAATAAGATTTTGAAACATCGAAGAGCTAATAGTCAAGAATCACTAGCAAGTTACCATGACTTTAATGAAAGAACACAAGAATGTACCCTGAGCATAACATTAAGTCATTCTTTTGAACGATCTACAAGGGAATAATTTTATAAGAAGAATAAGAGGCTAGTTTGCCTTTAGACACCGTGACGATATTTCTAAAATACTGCTGCGTAATGTGACAGAAATATGTTCAGATAAACGGTAAAGTTATAAATTTGTTTGCAAAAATGACACGGTATAGTTAACATGTCCACACATATAACAAAAAGAGCCAATTGGTAATAGATCACAGCCGATCGCTTAACCCATTTCATATTCCTACTGCAGAAAACTCACCGAACCCGTCGGCCCTTCGCGGGAGTCTTTCGATCGCCATTTTCTAGTGCCCGTTGTAGGAAGAGAAACCAATCTCTTAAGACGCTTCTTTCCTATGATTACCTTATGCATCTAGGAAACATTTAGCGTTCACTATTTACGCTGGCAAAACAAAAATCTCAGATGAATTATTGTTGATATTCGCTGTTCTTTATGAGGCCAGCTGCTCGTCTCACGCAACGGTGCATAAAATTTTATCAATAACCGCTCTCCAATAAGTTCCATGTGGGCTCAGTTTTACCAGTTTCCCTTGCGCACGTCCGTTTCCGAGCAGCTCTTAGCAGCGCGGGAACCAAACAAATGGTAGATATGGTCAATCTGACTTTGAATTGATTTTACCTTTTTATCTCCAAAATGACTTCGTCCTCCAGCTGTTGGGTAAAGAAAACAATTAATGGACCTGTCCCGGCTCCAAGGTAAACTAATTTTACGGTTTTGGGGTGTTTCGATGTCTGAGAGCCGAAATAGTATAATTGCATTTGACGTGCGAACGGGTCGAATTTAAATTCCTATGCAATGTTTTTTTTTAGATTCGCTTTGATTTTTCTTAAGGCACTATCAGGCAAACTTAAACGGTATCGTGAACTATGATCTAAGATTTTGTATTCTGGATTATGTACAGTCACTTTTAGAATAATAAGTTTGTTTCATGTTGTCCTCCTGAGCTCAGTAGCTTTTAATTTTAAAATAAATTAAAATACCGTAGTTTTACAGCGAAGTTTTAAAATACTTTGAAATATTTCAAACGAATTGATCCACGGCACCATCGGTGAGTTTGCAGGGCGAGTGTAATTTCTAGTCCTTGAAAAAATTTACAGGTGCATCTTGCACGAGAATAATCATTGTTTATTAATAATATATTCTGGGTCTTCTGTATCATGGCAAAGTCATTATTATAACGAAAAATATTACATTATTATTATTATTATTTGTTGTAGTAGTAGTAGTAGTAGTAGTAGTAGTAGTAGTAGTACATCAAGTAGAGTGAAGATTGCATGACAACAGTCTCATAGCTGTGGGCTAAGATAATTGTCGGTGACCATCATGAGGTTAATAATAATAATAATAATAAGTCTTTATTAAGCACTCTAAACAACAAACGTGTTTAGTTACAATGATATGAAATCAGCAAGTATAAAACTAATAAACTAACTAAATTACTAACTGAATAACTAATAAGAGAACAAACATCTATTAATAAAGGTCCTTTTGAAACGTTCAGTTCTGACAAGCGGGAGAATATAATTATGTATCCATTGTTCGCTCTGGTGGCAAAAGGTCATCTAAAGCTGTTGGAAAATCGCTGTCGGTGATCTTGGCCCACAACTTCTTATCTTTTAGAATGATAATATTTTCAATCGAAAAAAGCTCTTTACAGTAGCCAAGCTTAAAAGCTCTCTTTTTGAGGTTGGCCCTACTCTGCCTGGAAAAGTTCAAGAGCAAAGGGAAAAACTCTGAACATTTGGGAAAACATTTTGAAGAAAAAAATATGTTGGCTGGTATAAAGTAGTTTTATTTTATAGAGACATTTTGAGTCTGATCTTTTTTACTTGCTGACCAGTCATTAGTTTTCAGTATTTTATCTTTTTCCTCTTTTCTAAAGTTCAAGATTTATCAAGAAAATATGTAATGTAAACAATATCATATAAACTGGTAATGATACGGATAAAAATGTCAAACTCCAAATCCTACATACTCATTCTTGCTGAAAAAAAAGGTCTTAAAGGTATATAATATTAAAAAGACCTTTTTTTTTAGCAAGAATCTTTATGAAGGATTTGAATTTTAAAAACCGTCTAGTGTAATTTTTATATAAAAATGTTATTATTATTACAATTGTTCTTCATATTATTTACATGGTGGCCTATTGTGCTGCATTCTTTTTGTTATTTTGATGTTGTACCTTTTTCACCCTTGAACTCTCAAGATCTGATTGTTGATTCTCTCCTCTTGCTTCAGTCTACAAATTTCCATATAAATTAGTGAGGAGAATTGTGTTAGGTCGAGATAATAACTTCTACCTGCTAAGTTTGAGTATTCTCACTACCTATTTGCTGGATGATGTATGGATATTGTAGGGAGGAGTTACTTGTTAATCTCTTCTTGTTGTTAAAGAGTTAGATGTTTTAAATGCAAATTGAATGTTTCCTTTTTTCATTTTAAAATTATTGTTGTAAACGTGATACTCATTATCTGATAGCGAAAATCAAAAAGGAGTTTATCAAAAGAGTGAAAATTGTGTGTTTCTTAGGCAGGGTCATGCAGCAGCAGTTGTTGACAAGAAGGCATACATCTTCGGTGGTAGCAGTGGAAGTTGGTTTGGTGGCGAACATAGTGAATCTACAAGTGACCCAGTTTACTTGAATGACCTGTTTGTTCTTAAAAGTAAGTTGCTGCACAAAGTCTGTTCATAGAACCCATCATTGGTCATATAATACCACAAAATGATTGCAAGGGTTTTCTGCAATTAAAAGCAAGTGCCTTTAATAACACTAGATTATAAGACTCTCAGACTCATTATTAGGGAACTTTTTAACATCTGGATGAAACTATTGTTAAGTAATAGAATTCTTTTAGGGTGCTCATGAAGCCTTATCTGTTGCCATGGCAACAGGACAGCAGTGCTTAGAGAAGAAGAAAGCTGTCAAAAAAATAGCACACTAAGATGAAATTGAAATTTTCTAAATTACTGGGGAAGATTTTGGATGAAAGAGTCAACATTTCTTATTCTTAATTAAACTTTCCAATTTTATTTTGCAAATAAACACATTCAGCTTTTGAAAACATACAGGTCCTGCAATGTTCATTTGATTTGTGGCCACCCTTGTTGTTTATAACTTTTGCAAGATAATTTCACTGGAGGATTTTGCTTGGGATTCATTTGTTTGGATCCATTCTCCCTCAGCTTAAATAGCCTTGAGCCTCTTTAAACTTTAAATTATCTAGGATTTCATCACAGTAACTAGGAAATGCCTGATACCTTTTTTTCATTATTAGTTGGAATACAGGTCACCTGGGAAAGATTGCAACAACTGGGAGATATTCCTTGTGTAAGGGATGGACACACTTTGAGGTACACAAAAGGAAGCTTTGTTCAAACAGACAAATTTATGAAATGATAAAGGAGACTTATGACCACAGTTCTTCATTATGGGAACATAATAGACCTTGAAAATAGCTTATTTAAGTTCCAAAAGAAAAAAAACACTGGGCATGTAGTCTGTATATGTTACACGAAATGCATTCACACCTGAAATGCCCCAAACTGCTTGTGTCTAATGTTAAAGTGTCAATTAATTATTTATAATTAAAAGTGATGTTTAAGTATCATTTTTCACAGAAATATTTCAGTGACTTAAGGGGTACTAGAAAGGGGTAATCTGGTGCATCTACAACAAAATGTTCACACTGGGCAAAATGGCATCTGTGCCACTGACTCTTCGTGAAGTCCACAAATTTATTTTCCTTGTTCATTATACCAAAGATCTCATTTGAGAATGTTATTAAATTTTCAGTGCTGTTGGTACTGTTCTCTATCTTTTTGGTGGATCAAATTATCCAGAATCTGATGAATGTTTAGATGGGTTGTATGCCTATGATATTGGTTAGTGTAAATTATGGCATTACTAAATGTAAGCCATTGTTAATGTTAATTACTGTTGTAGTATAATAATTTTTAGGTCAAGTTAAAATTTGATAGAACTTGTTTGACTGTAGAGGAGATGTAGTAGCAAAATAATTGGTGTGCTGGACTCCTTCTGAGGGTTCAGGTTTCGAGACTGGCATGGGTAGGGTCAATGGGATGAGTTCTTGGGCAAAACACCTTACATTCACAGTGCCTCTCTCTCCCAAGGAGTAGCCTTGCCATTGACTAAAATCTCATCCAGGAGGGAGTAGTAATACTCCTAGATGCTTCATGCCAAGGAAACTGGAAGAAGCCCTAGCTGAATGGGCCCACGGTAGCTAGACCACATTGTTAGACTACAGTGCTGTATATGAAAGTTTAGAAATGAGGGTTGGATTAATTCTTGGCGATCAAGAGGATCACGATGGCTGCTTAAAATTTTCTGGGTCTCTGTCAAATATTTTGGGCCTACCAAAAAGAAAAAAAAAATCCCTCATATTGATGAGCACTAAATGAGGTAGTTAGTGAGCTAAACAATGTAATTGCAACTCTTTCTTTTTTTTTTTTTTTCAATCTGTTGGTTACCAACAGATTCACTTGCTCTGGCAATGAAATGGTCACAGCATGGAGCGCTGATGTGGAGAGAAGGTTGAAGGGTTAAAATAAGAGTAGCCTTCAATGATTATTGTATTTTTCTTCATTATTTTACAGGGACATTATCTTGGGAGTTGTGTCCAACTCAAGGACGTCAACCCAAAGCCTTAGGACACACAACCGCAGTAGTGGGAGACACATTGTATATATTTGGAGGAATTTATCATGGGAATGCCACAAACACTCTCTATATGCTGAACACAGGTGTACTTACATTAGAGAAATGTAATCTCTAGTTGATTTACAGAATCTTATTTTAGGATATAAACCCCTTTAAGTGGCTGGTATGTTGAATGATAATGTCCATGGCTGAGAGATTGTCCAAAGAATGAATATTTGGCTAAGATCAAAACTTGGGGGTAAATTGTGAAATTTGAGAACAATCTGGCAGCCAAGGTATTGTGCTATGCCTTTGCATACTAAATAAGCATGCTTGCCATGGTTATTCCCTAGATGGAAGGTTCTTTATTCATATTGTTATTATATGCGATTCGTGCTTAAAAATAGAATCATTTATATTGTGTGAGAGTGCAAGAATTAGACTGTTGAGTTGCTGAATAAACTTCACTCTTAAAAAGAAAGCTTGTCTCGTCTGAATACTTCTTCATGTTTGGAGCAAGGAAAGCCCCACATGAGGAAACACAAGAACATTATCAGCATTAAAAATATGCCATTGCTATCTGTTGTTCTAAATTGGTTTTTTTTGCCAAAGGGAATTTAACATGGACTCCTCTAAAAGCATCTGGAAACCCTCCCTCACCCAGGTATTCATTCTTATAATTGTAGGAATACATGAGTTAAAATTATCTTTTTGTGGTATACTATCTCACTGTTTTAGTGCATACTAAAACAAATATTTACCTCAGTGTATAGAAGAGTATGTTAACCTTGCCCCCTCACAGCGTGGTCATTTTCCACCAGTAGCTACCTTCACTTCTATTAATTGTTGTCAATTTTTCTGTCAATAATTGTTGTTAACTAGAGCTTGGTTGAGAGGAGCAGTTGTTTGATGTTTGACATTATGGCCAAGGGGGTGGGCATTGATTTGGGAAGGGGGCTTATAAAAGAGTAACCCTTATTTAAGGAAATGCAAAAATGTAAGTTTATTTACAAGACACTTTTGACTGGCGATTTGTTGTTTCAGATGTGATCATGCTTGCACTGTGGCTGGTGAGAAGTTTTACATTATGGGAGGGACTGGGGGAAAGAAGCTGTGGTATAATGATTTACATGTCTTTGATACAGGTATGGAGAAATTGGTTAATATAATGTTTAGTGTTGCAAACTTTTTCATTTCAATTTTTTCCCAAACAAAAGTAATTCCATATTTCTCCAAATAGAGAAGAAAGCCTGCCAAAGTAGACAAATGTTCGAAGTACATCTCTTGATCTTGTTTGCTTTCTAAAGAGGTACCCAGCAGGTCAAAAACTTTTTCCTTTTTCTTCACAAAGAAGGTGAACCATTTCAAAAATGTACTGATGCCAAACACTTTGGGACAAAACCACTTAATGTCACCAACATCAGAATCCCTCCTGTGTTATAAATCTAACACACCATTCAAAGTTAAACAAAGGGTAATATGAAAGACTGCTTCATACATACTAATAAGCTTCTTTCAAGCATGTTTTTTTGAGTGCATTTGGAAAAATTGCATGCTTGTTTTAATACAGTTTTCATGTGCATTTAGGGCCAATTATTTCTGAGCTGTACTGTATGTATGTTTGATTTTACTCTGCAGTGACACTGAGATGGGAAGCTGTTAATGTACAGGGTCATAAACCACACACAAGGAGTCTTCATACCTTGTGCACACATCATAGCAAGGTATTGTATGAAACACCCTTAAAACAGCAATGAGTGTCTTAAACAACATAAATTGGTGTTAAATACTTAAGTTAACTTGATGCTGATGTACCACAGGATTGGCAAGAGGAACCATGATCTGGGCAGTAGAGGAGTTCTTATTACAGAAGCATGATGAATTATGTGAAATGAGCAATGATAATGCTCAACACTTGTACTCCTCTGGAAAGACTGTACATTTCTGGTTCAAATTTCCCATCCCCAGTGCACAGATGACAGTCAAATGCCTGTGGGAAATGCCTGTGGGAAATGCCTGTGGGTTTCCCTGAGGAGGGGGGGGGGGGAGGTTGAAACTTTGAATTGATTGGCACATTACAAGGTTGAATAAGCGTGAATTAAGTTATCATGATTTGAAACAAGATTTTCCATTTGTCATCAGTTGTTATTTGTGAATTTTAGACCAGTTTTAATTCTCATCCAAATAAATGAGAACAAGAAAAGGAAATGCCCTAGTTTGGGGGAGGGGGGGGTTGATGGGGGGGGGGTTACTCATGTCTGCCTGTAAAAAGGGATGGGAGAGTAGGGGTTTAAGAACAAATGCATATTTTATTTCCATTTCTATTTGTTACAGGTACATTGACAATTGATATTTCTTTCTTTTTTAATGATAACTGAATTATATTTATTAGGCATTGAATATATAGATATATCACGATTTGTACATATTTTCAATGGTGCCCCTAATTTTTCATATTTTTTCCATCTTCTTCTACAGGACATTTATTTATTTGGGGGTTCAAACGATGTGGCAAAAGTTACAACACCGTTTGATGACATATACAAGCTTAGTTTGAGTGAGTAAACTGCTTGTTTATTCATTATCCTTTTTTTTGTCCAGACAACTTAACTGTAAGCACTGGAATATGGGCCACACACTCAAAAAAGTTACATCCGAGTTCGCCAACTCAAATTTTGGGAAAAAAACATCAAAAATAAATTGAAAAAATCACTTCAAGGTTTCCGCACAGCCCCCTACTATGGTGAAACAAAGGCGTAGTGCCAAAGGTATTATTTTGTTGTCGATATTGTTTTGTTTCTCTGAGAAGTGTTTGCACAGTGGAGTATAGGGAGGGCAAAATCTTACTGAAATGTCAAGCAGTCTTGAGAAAGTTGCTTTGTACTAGTTGCTTCATTGAATTTACACCAGAGTAAAATCATTTACCATTAAAACGGAGAATACTTTGAATCCTTATTTATTATTTTAATATAAGTGATCTGGTGTTGGCTTGGTATATTCTGATGACGCAGCCATCCTGATTTGCATATTACGGTAATTTAGTGTTATCTACTGAGTCGATAACGTAAATTGGCCACCGTAAGGAGTTTCAAAGCTGACGTCTCGAGCGTTAGCCCCTTGTCAGAGCGAAAGATTGAAAGACCCTTCCCTCTGACTGAGGGCTAACGCTCGAAACGTCAGTTGTGAAACTCTTTAGGGTGGTCAATTTACGTTATCGACTCAGTTGATAATACTAAATTACTAAGTTATACTCTCCCACCGACGCAGCGCCACAGTTTCTTTAAAAACCGACCCCCTTTATTGATTTTCGTCTTGCTTGGTTTCTCACTCTACTCTCCATCTATCATGTAATATATTGCATGAAGTGCAGTCAATCAGATTGCAGCATTCTGTGATAGAGCGTCGGTAGATTTATGCTAAGAATCGTTAGTCTTTGCAGACAAATATCCAAGCATATTTTTAGGTGAAATGGGAGCTGTTGTTTTGTTGTTTATACCTGGGTACGTTATCCCGTTTCAGCTAAACTGAAATGGAAGAAACTTCAATGCTCCGGTGAAGGACCTGACAGAAGACACGGGCATACTGCTGTGATGATTTACGGACAGGTAAAGCTTTAAATACTTAACCTCGTGTTTGTCAAAGAAGCTAAAAAAAAGGTTTGTGCCCCATCAAGAAAGAAAGGTTTCACGCAGATCATTGATATTGATTTATTCTCTTTCTCTTCCTTTTCTAGCTCATAATTTTTGGCGGAATGGATGACCAGAAGGATTTTGATGATGTTTGCATATTGCAGACACGTGCTGCCTTGAAGCACCTCCCCCAAGAAATGACAGGCAAGTTACTAAATTACTTCAGCTAAAAACACAGGGATGTTTCTTTCGGGATGGGAGTGGTTTTGCAACTTCTCTCTAGCATACTCAGTCCTTTGTTTTTGGCTATGCGTAGTCTTCTCTCCTCCTGTGAGGCTGGAAAATTGCGGAAATCATTGAAAGAACTCAGAGAAAAATATATTTTTAAACATTCTGGCAGTTATTCTCTACTCCAATGTAAAGCTGACTGTTCTTATTTGAATTTTTTTAGAAACAGACGTACTGTCGTCATCTCTGTCCAGGTTTGTTTATTATTACTATTATGATGATGGTGATGATGATGATGATGATTATTATTATTACTGCTGTTGTTATTTTCAAAACAAACAATCTTCTCAAGAGATTTAAGGATTAGTAATCGTTACGCAATGCAGAGTTATCTAGAGCGGGTTGATGTTCCAGCCATAGTTAGCACAGTACACTCATGTGAAGGAGAGGTATTGATGCTTTAAACGAGCACCGAAACTGGACTTGATTCTGTGCTTTCCTTGAGAACCAAAGCTCTGCACCCTACAGAACCGCCTTAGATCAGCCCTACCCTCAAGAACCTGATTAAGAAACGCCAAAGAGCACGCAATCAGGCGATCATACTGGGTTTAGACTCCTGCGAATTCGTATCAATCATAAACGCACGTAATGTCGATCTGACTGCAATGAGCGCCGAGCATCTGAAGGAGTGCTCCCCGTCTGAGTGGTGGAAGGAAATAAAGCGACTTGGTCGTGTCACTAACTCCTATGGAGTAGGGAACAATGTGAGGAAGGCTGTCCGTCACCTTGAGGGTGATCGCGATATATCGCCCACTGACTTTGCTAATCATGTCAACTGAGCCTTTTTGACTGCAACAGAAGGGTTTTTTCGCTCACCCACATTCCCCGCCATTCAAAACACTCTGGTTTGTTTGCAATAGATTGCGTGAGATTTCGAGCTCTTTGTTTTGACCTAAAAACGAACGACACAATTATCACACATTTTCGACAGACTCTCACAAGGAACACGCACTTTTTTGTACATGTGAGCTCATGGTCACGTGAGCAGTGAGACATAAAACAACAACTCAAAAGCTCCCTAAGGGAGTGGGGAGTGACTAAATTAGTATGTACTGATATCTTTTTCAGTGGCGGTAGTGATATGTTAGGCCCCCTGACATCTTACGATTTGTCGATACAAGTTCCTGCACCGTACAGACCTGTTATTCCTGCTGTTACCGAGGTAAGGATTCAATACAGAATTTCTCCTGACAATACTGTACCAATACTATTTCAAGAATACAAGTGATAAGAAATGCGAAAAATATCAGTTAGGGGGTTATGAGTTGATCCAATACCAAATTCTCCGAACTGATATAAGAATTGTATGAGAGACAGTAAGGAGAATTACCAATGAGATCTTGGGAGTGAAAGGGTTAATGTGATATCCCGAGTTCAACCATGGAGGAAGAACAAAAAAATTAAAAAACATTTACGGAACATTAATATTATTTCATGAAAATGTTTATATCCTCTTAAGTCCCAAACATAAACACGACGTTTTGTTAATGATGCAGCTTTCTTCGTGTCTGCCAAAAAAAAACACACAAAAATTATGGACCTTCACTGCAAGTCTAGTCGCCAATTTTTTTTTTCTTCTTCCTCTTTTGCCCCTCTTCTTTCTGTATAGGACTCCTATATACTTACATTTTTGAAACGTGCAAACATTGACAAGGCTAGGCCATAATACCGGGAGCTATGCTGTCTACCCTACGCACGGAGTGTGTGGCTCCTTAATTGACTCCTGCTAACCAGTACTGATAGGGAAGATGCAGGAGACGGAACCCACGGTTTACTGTTCTTATCGGAGAAGACTACTGTAAAAATGACTAATATCATTTGCAGATGTCATAGCAAAGGTATCATATTCTACTAAGTTATTTTAAGACCCTGAGTGCTGGTCCGATCTTGGGCTTGAACCCTTGACCAGCAGCAAAGCAGTCTAGGACTCTTCAACACGAGCCACTGAACGAAGCGCGGTTATCCACTTGCCATGGCGACCAAAACTTTGCAACTTGGAGTGCTGCCTCGCTGAGCAGGGTCTGTTACAGAACTCCAAAACTGATAGCGTATTTTATTGAATGTGTAGCCTGCTAAACCCCCTGAGTTTGATGATGTGAAAGCGTCGTTCACCAAACGAGTTGAAGAGATTTTTGAAGATCTTTCAAACAAGTATGCGGAGGTTCAAACGTAAGTCTTTGTGTGTGTTTTTTTGTGTACCTGCTTTTTGTTGTTAAGGTTTGTTTTGAGGACTAAACTTTTTCTATAGGCTGCGAAAAGTGTAATCCGTTTGTAATAGTATACTAATGCAAACATTTTCGCACGGTTAACGGCTTTGAGCACCGCAGTTGATCCCTGGTAGTGTAGGGAGATGAAATTGATAAGAAACAATTAAAAATTGAAATTTTGGTTCTAAGGAATTCATTTTAAAAATTGTATCAGTAAATAGGATACTTGAATGATGACTCGTACAATTTGGTACAGGTAAACACTCCTGAACTTTCCAAAGATATAACCGCATTTAGTATTTCCGACTTTGAGAAATCTATTCGTGCTTTAGTTTTGTTGTTGGTGTACTGAGCTCACGCAAATCCATAGTTTGTGTGGTTGATGAAATTGATGCACATAGCGCGGTTGTGGTAGATCTTGTAGAAAGTGCATATGGAACTATCTGTGTGCGATATAGTAAGTGTTTTTGCGGTGGTTGGCATGATTAATGAAATTGACGCACTTGGTGTAGTTTCTTGATGTTGCGGTAATTTGGGCATTTGAAGCTGCTGCTGGATTTGTCGTGCTTTGCTAATTTAGTGTTGTTGCCCTATTTGATGCCCTTTTGGTGCAGTTTTGGCAGCTTGTGCGATTGGTGTAGTTCGTGAAATTCCGTGAATTTGACTTTTTTTTTTTTTTTTTTTTTTTTCATGTTGCTTACTAAGACGTCCCTATTAAATTTTCCGATCGTAAAACGTCAAACTTGAATGCAGAGTTGGTTTTGTTCGAAGTATATTCTTAAAACTTTCTCTGTGAGGCACACTAACGGATTAACACAACCTTTTTCATGCCTGTTTCGTGCGTCTTTTTCAGACAAAGGGAAGCGTTGAAGAACGCGGTGGAAGCTTTCCAAGAAGAAAGGACATCACATATTGAGTTGTATGAGAAACAACAGAAGGTAAAAGCTGACTTTATGGTATTATCATCATTTCTCGATACTTATTACCATACAGTTTATTATTATTATTATCATTATTATTATTAATTAGATGAATTTACGTTGTTTTCGTTCTGCTGAGGAAAGGTGCGGCTTAAATTGTGTGTCGATAAATTCGAAGCTTTAACATTTTTGCCCTCCTTCCCCTCCCGGGGGGGAAAGTGTCGTATTTGATGGTCGATTTTCTAAAAGGCAAAATCAGCAGCTATGACTTTCCAGTCATTAACCAAGCTTCAAGACATAGCCTTTAAAGAACTTTTCTTCTGAGCCACCAGCTCGCGAAATTGAACTCTCTTTACCTTTAAAGACTTTTATATTAAAAGGTAAACACATATATTCCGCCGGAAGGATTTAACACTTCCAGTCCAAATCCCCCTAACCCCCGGTCACAGATGACGGTCAACTGCACTTGGGTTGCCTGAGGTGGGGAGGGGGGAGGAGCTTAAGACCTGAATAGATCGGCGTATTATGTTTATATACTCTTACTCAAAAGGAGCTGGAGGACATGATAAACAAACACAGAGTAGAAAATGAGGAATGGATAAACGCACGGAAACAAGAACTTGAGGAGGAAAGACATAGATTAGAATTAGAAAAGGTATTTTGTAAAATTGCTGATTTTAATTTTGATATCTTTTAACGGTTATTTACGTTGCACTTCGGATTTTTTTTAGCCTTCCAACACAACTTGAATTGGAATCTTTAGTAATTATTGACTTGCCGTTAATATTTTTATTTATTTTTGCTTACTTGAAACGAGGCTAAATGTAATTTAGGTTAGGTTAAGTCACAGCACCGGTTTACTAAGCCGGTTTGGAGGGACACTTTGCTATGTGCTTTCACACGGTTTGCTTTGTTACTGTGTGTACAGTTATTTGTTCCTGTAATTATGGTGTTGTTTTTGCAGTTTTGTAGCGTTCCTCCTGTGTCCTTTTTTTTGTAATGTACCACCTTGTACTGTATTTTCCACATCTAGAATACGTGTTGAACTATCGTTGGTTGTGCAATTTTTTTTTTCAAAGTCAGTTTGCTGCTGTTGATTTTCGTAGTGTTGATTGCTTGTTTTTCATGTACTGAAATCAGTTTCACTGTTCTTTTAATAGGGTCAATTGGTTGAAGAAAGGGAAAGACTTCGAAAGGAAAAGCTAGAATTTGGCGAAAAAATTGAAGCTATCGAAAAGCTCGGTGGTGGAGCCAACCATCTATTGAATGGAGTTAGCTAAACACAGAATCATTCAATAATACATTGGAGCGCTTTTCGACTGACTGTCGTAAAACCGAAACCATAATAATCACAACGACCAATCAGAAGAAAGGAAAATACCTTAAAGAGCCAATGAAAACTCAGAGTACAACCGACAAAACTTTCTAACGCGCGGGAAAACGCGGGCGACGAAGTCGTGACTGGTATCAGTTTTGCTTTTGATTGGTTGAGAGAATGGCGCAAATTTGCGGGACCAATCAAAACGAATAAAAAAAACGACAACAACAAACAATCACGGATTACTTTCCGACCCTTGATTGGAATTTGCTCCATCTAGACTATCAACGAAATTAACTAAGTAGAGAATTCCAGCAAGTGAATCGAAACACCTCACAGAAAAGCACTTCAATGACGCTTTACATGTAATAAAGCACAAATATTTGTTTATAGCAAGTAGTGTCCGTATTTCTTCAGCGGAGTATATTCTTTGCCCTACCAAAACATAATTCACCGGGGCATTATTGCTAGTGAGAATTTATAAACGGGACTACAGTTTATCCCCACCATTCCGGTCCTCATTAAAGCAGTTATACCCCTCCTGGATTCCTTTTGCCCTCTTCGTTACTTCCACCCCACCCCAGGGTGTTGTTAAGGAAGCCCCCCTGTCTCAGTGACTGAATCTTTTCTAGCGCAAGATACTCCACTGATCAGTCGCCATCGCCGAACGAATTCGAGCCCGCTGATACAAATTGCTAGACATCAATTAATGCAAGGTACGCACCCCCCCCCACCTTCCCCTTCTCTTGGAAATTACTTGATTCCGTTGTTCTCTTTGCCATGGTACATGTATCAACAATGCCGCTTTAAAAACGATTAATCCCTGAGAAGGTACCTCGATTTCTGCGTCAAATTAGAATAATAATAATTATATAATATCAAAGCAGATATGTTTCGTAAAATTGAATAAACCGGCCGTTCACCGGATATTAACGGGAGTTACACCAACTTTAAACAGACAGGTACATTTGATTGCGTATCGAATCTTAACCACCGATTGATTATTCCGTGTTCAAACCAAGGGATATAGAGGTTCTGGAGGAGGAGAAGGGGGGGGGTGTTGTGAGGCAGGCAACCATGTTAGATCGGCACAGTCAGCATAGTTTAGGTCCAAATGAGAGATACCAAAATGGAGGAACGAAATAACGAAAACACTTCCCTTTTTGGAGGAGGTCAAGCAAAAACAGTAGCTCCTTAGAAGACGTCTAGTGAATTCCACCTCTCATGGACTTGGGAGTTGACATCTTGGACCTAAGCAACACTCGTTTAGTCGTTTTATTTGGAAATCCATATTTGTGCCCTTCTCTGTACATCCCACCCCACCCCACCCCCCTCTCTCCCCTTCCAGCCACTGTACGTTTTCCTTGAAAAGGAAGAATTGTTTAACAATCAAAGCTTCTTAGGTTGGCGTTGGCGATACGCGATCTTAATGAACGACTCAGGGTTATTAATGCGAGGAGAAATTAGACACTGGGCGCCCTTAGGATTTAAAGGGTTAAAAAAGAATGTTTCTGAGGATCTAAGCACAGCAATTGAACGCCGGTGAACGGCACTTCGACAATCTTCGCTGTGATGCCGAAAAATCACGAGTGTCACGAGTGTTAGAATTCAGTACCTAATAAAGTGACATCGATGACATAAGAAGCAAGAAAGCCTGATCTTGCCTGGGAAACCACTTGGCGCTGTGTATACCGCAAAAAGAAACATGGAGCAAAAGAAATAACTACATTATATTCTATTCCAGGGAGCAAGAAGACATCTGGTTGAAGTGTGCGTTTCCACCGAAGAGATTCAGACAGCGGATTCCCACGGCATAAGAAACGCAATTTTTATTTATTAAATATGGCGGCCAATAGTGGAGAGCCGAACCATGAAGACAGTATTAGTGTGACTGCTGTCGTCAGCGAAGCAAGATGTCTTCGCGAATTTGTGAAAGAAATCGCTCCAAGTATTACTGTCGATAATCTGAAAGCGATGAAACGGTTTCTGCGAGATGTAATCTCGTTGAATGTTGGTGTTGAATCTGACTCTGGGGGAGAGCTCATGGCCACTCTTACGACTTGTCATTGTGTGAACGATTACGATTTGGATCTTTTGGAATATTTACTTGGTGTAACTGGAAGGAATGATAATTTAAATATGCTGCGGGAGTTTAGGAGGAAATGCTCTCCAACTCTGGGCAGTATCCCGGAAGAAAGAATCAGCGAAATCTCTCCAGGTAGGATAAGATTAAATTTTTAATTTAAAGGCACATCTGATAGGAAACTTGCGAAACCGTATCTGCCATTTCTTTGGTTTCTTTTTTGTTAAATGATTAGGTCCCAGAAGAAATGTTATTTGATGTAATCCTATCGTTAAATTATGCTTTACTGACTGTTTTTCTTGTATGATCATCACGGCAATTAACATTGCCTCAAAGCAGTCATTACTATTTCCAGAAAATCTCCCTTGCTCATAACTGATTCTGTTTGGCTAGTGAAAAATATAGAGTTCACCATGTTGGAATTATTTTCTTTGTAATGCCGCTGGCTCTGGGGTGTGTGACAAAGCGGAACGCTTTTATAGAGAAGACTAACAGACTTTTCTCAGGTGAGAAAGTAGTCACTAGTCTTCTGGGAGAGGAAGTGTTGCATGACAGCCTCGTGGGTTGTCCAGAACGCAAAAAGAGGAGCTAAATGATAGAGCATGTGACCTTCTGTACAACTAAAGTCATAAGACTACTTTTGCCAGTAACTAAGTTGGCTAATAGGTGTTAGGTATCACCTGTGACTGACTGTTGAATTAAATTAATACATTTGTTATGAAACCAACAGCTTTTGATTTCTCTACACAAAGAGAGTTCTGTATGAGTTTTGCTCTCAGATTTCTAGATCACGGGTTCTCACACTGGGATTATTTTGTTCACAGCTTTTTAGGCTGTGATTTGGAAGAATATAGTTAAGCCTGAATCTCGGATTTTAATGAGGATCTCTGCATCCTGGCGAGTCTTGTATTTTACCGTTCTTTACTTCTTGTATTGACTTAGACTTCAAATAAGACAGATATATTGAAAGAGTTGTCAATAATCTCTATGACAATCCATCAATCAATTCTCTCACAGCGTAAGAGACAGGTTTATCAATTGTATTGATACTGACGACTACTATACTGTGAGTCTTTGTCAGGTGATGAAGTTGAAAGTTTATATGTTGTTATTTATAGCATCTTGGTTTGTCTTGGCACACTGTCATTGGTGCATTTCAATCCTCAATATTACTCCGACTATTAGATGTTGTTCCCTCATGGTCCACTTGGTTACTGATCAGTTGTAATGCTCTTTTATAGTACATGTAGTTAATCCATGCTTCAGGAATTTTGATCCTTTACCACCCCTCTCACACGTCTATAGAATGCCAAGTGTGGCAACATTATTGACACCATACGAAGGGAATTTATACAACATTGATACTAATCCATAGCAAAGAATGATGACATTCGAAAAGATTATTATTAAGCTTAATGATTAGCTGCTTCGAAACAGAATGGGAGATCAAAATTGAGTTATTGTCATGGAATTAAAATAAATTGAAATGATCAACAGATATTCCTTCTGAGGGATGTATCAGGATTGTTTGTAATCACTGGCCTCTGGCACCACACTCTTTTCTTCTTATCAAAAACAGTGTTAATTTGACCCATTTTAGTGACATCAGGAAGAACTCAAAGGCCTGACAAAGATAAAAAAAAAAACAAATCTAAGCCAACCAGAAACCCTTGTGACTCCTGACAAGACATCTTCCATTTTTAACAGACAATTTACAAGTTTTGCTTCTTTTTGTTTCCTTTATTGAACATTTTATTTAAAGACAATGTGACCAATCAGTTTATATCTACTTCAGTAACATTGCAGAGTCGTGAATGTGTAATTCTCCAATTTCATTTCCATGACAATCTGTTTTGAAGCGGATAATTTTTAAATGTAACAACAATCTGCTGCAAATGACATCATACACTGTATTTTGCAGCATATAAGTTTAGTATCATGTAATTAATCCCCTGCTTATGGTGTCCATCATTTTTCTACAATTGGCACCACATGTGTGGACCAGTGAGAGTCATTGTGGTTTTCTAGCAGTACAACAGTCAACAGTTGCAAACAATACAATTGATTATGTGACCTATACATCATGAGACAAATGATTAAATGTTTATTTATCCATAAAACCACAATAAGCAACAAAATTTTCTATAATGATCTTCCCAGAAAGAAAAAAAATCCTGAAAGGATCAACACTGAACTTTTCCCTTTAACATCCATACATTATCCAGTAAACAGGTAATGAGAATACTCAAACTTATCAGGTTATCAGGAAGAAATTATTGTCTTGATCTAACTTTAAATTCTTGTCACTAATTAACAAAGAAATGTGTAGCAGCTGGAGGGGAGAATTAACAATCACATCTTGAGAGTTAAATAGTTAAAAGCAAGCTTGATTTTCCCATCTTCACTTAGTCTGTTTTCTGGAGAAGTTTAACCCTTTACACCCTAACATCAGTATGCATATTCTCCATACTATTCTCTACACATTTCCAAAGAGGCTGACAAGGAGAACTTGTTTAACAATCAAGAGTTTCTTTAGTTGGTGATCATTTCCTTTATTCTCATGACCTGGATGTGTGATTCAGGGGTGCAATTGTAGGGAGAAATTAGATGTGTGTCACTCTTAGGGGTTAAAGGGTTAACCCTTTAAACCTTAACATCAGTATGCATCTTCTCCATACTCTTCTTTATACATTTCCTAAGTACTGGAAAGGAGAATAAGTATATTAATCAGGTGCATCTTGAGTAGATGAAAATTTCCTAAGAATGATGAAAATAAGTTTTTTTCTATCTTATGACCTTAACCCTTTACACCCTGACATCAGTATACATATTCTCCTTACTGTTCCTATACATTACAAGGTGCTGATGAGGAGAATTTGTTTCATAATCAAGAGCTTCTGTAGCTGGTGATCATTTCCTTTATTCTCGTTACCATAATGTGTGATTTGGGGGTGATATTGTAAGTAGAAATTAGATGCTAGTCGCTCTTTGAGGTCAAAGGGTTATTGCAATATGAGTGAAATTACTAAAAGTTCGGTTGAGGTTCATGCTTTTTTTTATTATTCTTCATAGCAGAGGGAAGAGCAATAGTGTCTTTCATTTTAAATGAAAGTTTCCAGGACATTACTTTGCATAAAGCCCTTTCCTTCAAGAAGAGCCTATGCAAGCATTTGAAGTTGATACCGGCTGAGTTCACTTTTGTTACAACAGTGAAGATTCCACAAAAACATCTGGTGTTTCAGTTGCCTTCAGAAGTGCTCCCTTTTCTGCGGCATTGTACTGGATGGAGAAAGGAATGGCTGTTTTCACTCAATGTCAGTGGTGTACAGGTCTCTGGAGAAGATGAAATTTCAGTTCATGAACTGAAAATATCTCAACTTAGATTGCAAGAAGATCCAGGTATGACAGGAATTTGAAATCTCAGTATACTTAATGTTAAAATGATAAATGAATTGTTCAAGTGTAGAGCTGTAATTAAAAGCTGGTGATAAATGTTGTTGTATTGTAGCCCTCTTCCTGCTTTCCTTTGCAATACAGGTATTAAAAGGCAAAACACATCTTTCTGAAAGTGCCTCGTTAAAAATGGTCATATGATGGACCATGCAGGGATAGATGGGTTCAAACTCTTCACCTGGCTGGTCAATACATGAACCACTGAACACAAAAATACAATGAACATATCACAAGATTTCTAGCTTTGTGTACACTTTTAACCCTTTAACTCCCATGAGTGACCAAGATAGAATTTCTCCTTACAATATCAATACAAGATCAATTAGATAAGTGATGAGAATAAAGGAAAATATCACTTTGGGGATAATTAGTTGATCCAATGCTAAATTCTCTGAACTAACATTATAAGAATTGTATAGTTGACAGTAAGGAGAATCACAAATTTGATCTGGGAGTTAAAGGGTTAACCCACAAAATTAATGAAGATGTCCCTCATGCACCACAAGTAGCTTTCCCACGCAGACCTCTTTGACCCAATTTTAATTACAAACTTGATAAAATTAAATTTGCATTTCATGCAAGTAGACAAGATATAACATGCAAAGTTAATAGATAAGACAAATAATCACACAGTACAATTTTGATACAACTAAGACAGTTGTTTACTTAAAGTTATGATCCATTCTGAGGCTCCACTGGCATGTGCAGAAAGATGGTATTTCTCCCTCTTTTGTTCATTTAGGTGGCAGAAAATAACACTCAACATTACAATGAACTTCAATTTGGAAGAAAGGCTTCAAGCTTAACTTTCTGAATTTTCCTATGTAAAATGGTCACTACAAATAATGATTTGGTCTTGAAGACAAAAGGACAATTTGGGGGCTTAATATTTGTGCAACCAAACAGAAAGAGGATTTTTTTTACAGGAGAAAATGACAGAGCATGAGTAATAATTGTGATGAAAATGATTACCTCACTGATCTCAGACCACAACCACTGGCTCATCAAACACCTTTCCTCTTGCTACTGACCACTGAACACTGACAAGCCACCAAATTGGTGACATGCGCTGCATATTGAGTCACCAAAATATTTTCAGTCGCTGTGCATGGTGACTGATACCGCTGTAGTTTAGGGCCCTGAAAAGAGTACAATTAAGGGTAATGATGAAAATAATTATTAAAAGGGATTAGATTTGTTAGTTTTTATTTCTATTAATCATTTATTTTTGGTCATTTCTTCATGTAGTTCTGGTGTCTCCTGTGTTGCGAGTAAGTGAAGCTGCAAGGACAGGTGATGTCCCAGAATTGAAAAGAGTTCTTGACGCAGAAACCATAACTAAACGAGATTTTCTGCTCAAAACCCGCACTGACGGAGCGACACCTTTGATTATAGCTGCAAGGAATGGTAACACTGCAATTGTCCAGTGCCTGCTTGATGAGTATGATGTAGACTTGGAGCAAGAGGGCACCGTCAAAATCGACGGAGATCTGATTGAATGTTGCACACCATTATGGATGGGGTCTCTAGGAGGTCATTTAGCAATTGTGAGGTTGTTATTGGAGCGAGGGGCTGAAGTGAATCATACAACATTGACCAACTCCACCCCACTGAGGGCGGCTTCCTTTAATGGACACACTGAGGTATGTTTGATATCAAGGTTAAGAGTGCACATTCAATTAAAAAACATTTTAATAAACTCTCTCCCTTACAAGACGACCACTGGTCAGAAGAAGTGCACTCTTGACAGCATTCCTCATGGTCGTACTCAGACCTGACCATTTTTTAAACACCAGTTTTACAATGTGTCAGAAAAAAATTTGACAGATTTGTTTGTCTTGTTCATGGTCCTTGGCATACTTACCTACAGTCTTAAAATAAATATTAGTTAATTATTTGCATCGGGAATTTATACGTTTATTTTCCTTCATAGAGTCATTTTAGTCCTTGCCTAGGGGCTCGTCTCTGAGTCAGGCCCAAAACATACAGGGTTCGCAAGGGTCCTACAAAACCTGGAAGGTCCTGGAATTTTATTTTGACATTTTCCAGGACTGGAAATTCCTGGAAAAAGAATATAGGTCCTGGAAAGTCCTGGAATTCTTCTTAACCCAAGCTATGAAGTATTCAGAATTTATGTTGTAAGAAATGTATGTAGACCGTAAGGAGAATTGATTTGGAAATCATGGGAATGAAATGGTTCAAGGTGAAATTTGAATTCCTGGAAAAATCAGGCAAATTCCTAAAAAATAACTGGAAAGGTAATTGAAATTTGTCTCTGAAAAAGGGCACCAACCCTATATTATGGCCAAGAACATAAACTCTCTTGATTTATTCTGAATCAGTTGTGTTTCTTTTTCTTTCCTTTTTTTAAAGGTTGTACGATGTCTCATTAATCACGGCGCAGACGTGAACAAGCGAAACCAGGATGGAAACACTTGTATTATGGTGGCTTGTTGGAACGGACATCTTGATACGTTTAGGTTACTACGGACATCGGGAGCCAACATGGAAGTACAGGACAATCAAGGTTTCTCGATGATTCATTGCGCTACAGCTGCCAATAATCTAACTCTCCTTCAAGAGCTCCTTCCGGTACCGAATACTGAGGCGGTGAACGCGAAAACCTCGGAAGGTATTACTCCGCTGATGTTGGCTTGCGAAAAAAATCACCCCGATGTTGTTTTATTGTTGTTACAAAAGGGCGCTGCAGTGGATGAAAGGTCTGACAAAGGTCTTACTGCGGCTCATTTTTGCGCACTGTCAAACGATATTAATAGTCTGCATCATCTTATAGACTATAAAGCAGATCTGAGCAAGGCCACGGAGCGAGGCAGTACCCCCTTAATGCTGGCCTGCGCGAAAGGCTATGTCTCTATAGTAACTGCCTTGCTTAGAAACACTTGTAAGTCCAAGTTGAAGAACGAGATTACTTCAGCCCTAAAGCTCCGCAACTTGACAGGACAACCCAGCTGCCTGGGGCTTCTGGCAACGCCGAAAGGGATGGATATAAATGCTGGGAACGAAAATGGAGAGACCTGTTTGATGATGGCCTGCGAGAAAGGAAGCGTGGAGATCGTAAGGATTCTCCTTGATGAAGGAGCTGACCCAAACGGCGCCGACCAGAGCGGTGTGACCCCTCTGATGATCTGTTGCAGGCGAGGTCAAGAGAGGATTATACCCCTGTTGTTGAGGAAGGGTGTCCTTGTGGACCAAAAGAACAATGAAGGAGACACCGCTTTGCACATTTGTGTGCGGCATTACCGCGAGTTTAGCGGTCACAAGAAGTGTTTGGAGCAACTGCTTAGTACTGGCGTGTGTTTAGATATGAAGGTTCGTAGACATTCTCGTTCACAATCTCTCTCTACTGTTTCGCTTCCCCCCCCTTAGCCCAACCCATCCCTCCCCTCCTGGACCTGCGATCAACTCCAATATCCTTTAGTTACTTGTCGGTTATTCGTTGTGTTATAGCTTGGCATCAAATGTGTTCCGTGTGCAGAAAAGTTGTCAACAAAACGTGCAAAGGCTGTTTTTTTTTCTGGAGTGTTTTCTTCCTTAAACCCATTGTATTTCCCTTTGTAGGTGTCGGGTCCAAGCCTTTTCGGAGCCTGTTTGCCTGTGACGATTAATTTGTCACAAATGCACACGGTATCAAAATAAAATTATGTTGTAAACCAGCCATACTAAGTATCGAGTTGTCCTCCTATGTTCCCTGTGAAACGAAGCGTTCGCGTTCCAACGAAATAGAGAGCTCGTCAAAGCGGAGCTCGTAACATGCGCAACTTAGCTCCGTGCTTACCGTACCATTTTTTGTCTCTGTTCAGAATTCTTCAGGCGACTCACCAGTCACAGTTGCTCTCAGAAACAAAAAGTGGTGCGGGCAGGCGTTTGAAATGTTACACAGTAGGGGACTGGAACTCAGTAGCCCACTTCAAGACACCAATGGCGACACAGTTTTCCATAAATGTGCGAGATCTGGTGACGTCTCGTCTATGACCTTTCTGTTGGCCCTGGACAACAAAGGACCCTTGCAAAAGAACCAAGATGGCGACACGGCTCTCAGAGCAGCAGCCTTAGAAGGCGCCGAGGCAATGACGCGCACTCTCATCAACACGGTCAGTGGGTTCTCACTTAGGGACAAGGTGGAGGCTCTTGAGTTGTTAGGTGTCGGTGTATTGGCTAAGGAGATATCACGTGATTGGGACATATCTGCCGTGGTGGGTTTCTGGCAGGAAGCTCTAACGCTTCGTCGCACCCACAGTCTAACGCTCCCAAACATCGTTCCTCGCGAGTTTCCACTGGAGTACTTTTTGGAAGCCAGGCTACCCAGCGATCTGACTGCGTTCGAGTCAAATCCGAGCGCGGTCACTGCGCAGGCGCTGCAAATTTGTGACCGCGTTTTGGGGGATACCCATTCACGCCTGCCCTCCCTCCTGGGGACCATCGGCGAACGATTTGCGCAAATAGGCGAGTTTTGTCGCAGTTTAAATATTTGGCTGTACGTTTTAGAGATTCAACTCAAATCCCTTTCTTCTTTACCAGACGGGGTTGAAGACTTGCTTAATACTTTCCGCTGTTTCGCTGATGCGTTTGGTTTTGTTTTGAGCCGAAGTGGGAGTGTCTTGCATTTTAAAACCGTCTATCAAGTCATTAAAAGTGCGTTGCAAGGTTTCAAAACATGCCCTGCAGTATACGAATCACGTGATAAGATGATGGTCTATCTCCTTCACTATTTGTCTGCCTTACTAGAAGTTGCGTCGGACGATCGTGATGTAGAGGTTGTCATGGAGACAGTCAAAGCGGTTGCGTGGTTGGGCTTGCGCAGCACAACAGGGTCAACTCTTCTCCACCTTGCTGCAAACTCTAAAACTGAAGACATAAGCTCTCTTAAGGAACACCTTCACTTTCCGAGCCGCCGCGTTTGTGAGCTTTTGATGGACAGCGGTATTGATCAGAACGCTTTAGATAGCGACAGGAACACCGCACTTCATATACTTCTCACCAAAGGGCACGCTGAAAAAGATGTGTTGGCTTGCTTTTTAAAAGCAAGGCCGCATTTGGACGCGAAAAATTCGTCAGGGAAAACAGTCCTTGACTTGGCGCGGTGCAAAAAGGTCAGGGGTGTTGTCAGGGCCGCTGAACGAGTTCCTGGTCTACAATGTCTCGCGGCCCGAGAGATTATACGAGAAAAGTTGCAGTACGAGGGTATAGTTCCAAAGAGATTAGAAACATTTATACAGCTACATTAGCTCAACGGATGTTATATATTTAAACTGCGTGTATCAACTCACAGAAACAAATATTAAAACATTTGGTAACGCCTCAATTGGGAATCGAGTGTACTGTTGCCAAAAGTGGCTCAGGCTAGTCACGTGAGGCAAATCATCAGGCAGTCACCTGGTGAAGTGAAAAGAACAATTACCAATTTCCGAATTACCAAGCATTGGAAGTGTATATCACACGATCAGACAAGAAGTGCCAGAAAGGTTCACGCGCGGACTTGCCTGACCTGTATCTTGTAAAGAATAATTGTCGTTTGAGACACAACCTTATAAAGAAAAGCTATGTCGTCCTTAGTCCTGAATAAAATGATGACAGATTTATAGAAATCAAAGTATCTATTTCTCAGCTGAACTTTGACTTGGAAATAAATCGATTTGATTTGAAAATGAATGTTGCTATTAGTTAAAATAAACGTTGATTAAGCTTTAAAAAGTTAAATTTACAGATGTTATTATTATTATTGTTACTATTATTATTATTATTTTTTTTTTTCGTATACTTTTTTTTTAACTGGTTGGTGGCTCGTACCTACCCGAAAAATGAGGACATTCATCAAGATCTCAAATGCGAAATTTTTACACGGCCAGAAGCCTTCATATTCAAGGCCAGTTACTGAGAATGATATGACTTAACGATTCCTTGCAGAAGCAAAATGCCTCGCATTTCACTGGAGCAAATTGATTAGTTCGACCACCGACGTGGCCAGTTTGAATACAGCTTAGTGACCCGGCCGCTTACCTGTGAGCTCGTCAATTCCCACTCCTCTCTCTATTATCTTTAAGCGGTCTTTCCAAACAACAAGAAACCACACATGACGCCATTTTTTATTGAAACAATTTATTCATCGCCATTCTGGTGCGACTGGCTAACTGACCTGCAGTGTCCGGATTTAAATTTTAAACGCTGGAAGACAGGTTTTTAACGGTTCGTTTTACTCTTCGGAATCTCAAAAAGTATCAAGTAAAACATTCTTATGTGTAATTCTCATTGGCGCGGATAAAAATAATATGGTGTCCAGTACATTCTTCTCGTTCAAAGCGTCTCTTGATCAATACTAAAACCTGTATCAAACTTTAAACTCCCTGGATAGACAACTGAATATGTGGCTTCTCTATACAATATCGATACATTTTCAGCTACTAATCTTCTAGAACGAACAAATTTTGAAGCTAGAGGATGTACAATGATTGAATGCCTAATTTCCCAAAGTTACATAACTTGCTTAACTTTCCTAAACAGGAAATATCTGTTAGCAAGGGTAAGAGTTAAGTCTCACATTGTGAATACGGAGTTAAAATAAAAACGAACTCTGTGTTATTTGAGACCAAGGTTGGTTATCAGAGAACATTTCTTTCGGTAATCATTAGTTTCTCGAGCTCTAAATTATGTAACTCATTGAAAGAACTGAAAAAACTTCAAGCGAAGAGAATGTTTTGTAACTTGTCTTCAACTCTAAAAAAAAAGGTTCATCCCGAAATTGTCGCCATTTTTCAGACGCGGTACCTTTCGAGAAAAAGTAATATGATGCGTTAGTGAAAAAAGAGACATCTTTAATGATTGGCATATTAATGATAGAAATCGTCTGTTCTTTCGAGCGACAACGTTGAAAATTTTACTAGAGAAATAAAACTTAAGTTATATTTTACATTCCGTTTGTGGCTCCATTTGGAACATCCAGCATTTCAGCCCCTGATGCTGCTATTTTGCAGGCAGTGGGATTAAATTGTATTTATCATGAGGGCTTTTACACGGAGCCTAGTGTAAAGTGATGTGTAATTTGAAACGGTTTAGTCTTGTTAATACTGTTCGTATCCATTGACGTTTTCCCGTCAAGTACGTAGAGATGAAATGTTCCAAGAATCTAGAATGTTTCAAAATGGTGAACATGGAAAAAATGTGCGATTCCTTTCACAATTCAACTTGAAGTTGCATAACAGGGGGAAACGATATGCTGGTCAGGAATCTTTCTTTTGAACTAAACAATATACGTGAGTAACATGGATATCATACAAAGGAAAATGTCACCACCTTTCATCATGAACAGGGTCGGGACAAGACGAGCGACTTCATGTTTACCCAAAATTTCACTTTTCTATAACTTCTTTAAAAGATGTAAATTCTCCTTGAGGCAGAGCGAAGTTTCCAGAGAACACTTAGTATGATATTTGGCTTTAGAATTAAAAATCCCCAACGTTGGAAGCTGGGATAGAATGATTGAAACCCGTTAGATCTCCAAATTTAGTCAAAACAAAACGTGTGTTACTAAGTAACTGGGCTTTGCACTGGAAATTTTGTCGTCAAAACAAACCGGTTTTAAGACGGCACCAAAACGAAGCCGGCTATTTTTTTAGGATTGTTAACGCTTAAAGGGTGAAAGAACATCGATTTCCTTTAAACACCACGATACTAAAATTAATTTTAATGTAAGCGGCATCTGCTAAGGAAATATAGGATTTATATATGATGAAGTGGCTTGTATCAGAATCAAGAGTGCTTTACCAGAACCTGAAAAGGAACGAGCATGTGGTGTTTCTTAAATTACGCGGTTTTGTTTTGTTTTGTTTTGGTGAGAAAAGAATCTTTGATTTTTTTACCTAGAGTTTAATTGATTCATGGTAAAAAAAAAGGTTACTTTGGTACACTATACTTTTAAAATTGTTTTTGTATCTTAAGTGCTCTGTGCTGCGTTCTGTATTGTATAGGGAACATAAATCCGGATGGGAAATTAGGGATATTGTCAACATGACTCACTCCAGGTGTACTACGTGACCCAGAAAGTAAAGATGTTCTAGATGGATGGTTCTAAAGATGGAAACCCAAATTTCAAAACTAACAAAGTAGCGACTTTTATCACTCTTTTTTTTCTGCCATACTGATATGGTTAAAAGTGTAACTTTTTAAACCTGTTGAGGAATACTGAGGTGTCAGCAATTTTTCTTTAATTATATATATATGTATATATATTTTTTATTTGATTCAGTCTTCTTTATATAATAATTTTCAATTCTACTTCTCGTTAAATAAGCTTTAAGTTTATACTGTAAAAAAAAAAAGAAAAACAATATCGATTTATGTTTGCATTTACTCTTTACAAACTTCATTTCCGCCAAAAACAAATCGTCCGAAACGATTTGTCCGCGCCATGTTTTATGCAAAAATTATGCGTTGGAGGCTCTTAGCGCTAACTTTGGCGGTTCTTTATTGTTTTTGTCCAAAATAATGGTTTAAATCCCAAGCTGTGCTTTAAAAATGAATACCTGCTTAAATTTTGTCTGAATCGAGTCAGATCCCAGGAGGCGAAAACGTAAGACCCTAGACAACGTGCGTACATGTAAATGAAAAGTTTCTCACCGCTCTGCAAGCTATTCTAACCACCTCGACGCTTTTGCGTCACTGAGGCAGATCTCGTGTTGTGTGCAAATTGTATAAAATAGGACAAGCCACTCGTTTATTGAACCACAATTCACTGAACTATTCGAAAGAGGTGAGCCAAACTGTCTGTGCAAATACTTAGAAGCAGAATGCCAAAAACCTGCTTTCCCAACCTTGTTCAGGTGGCAATGGTTACAATGCTTCTGAGCATGGTCTTCGTTGAAGAAATCAATTCAGGATTTACCGGAAGTACCCCAAGTTGTTATTATCATCCTCCATATAACTGCCCGTCACCGAAAGATGGCCAAAAGCGTCAACTTAGAAAGGTTGGTTTATTTTCAACAAGTTTGTCTTTTGTTGTTGCTCGAGATGATAATCTTGTATCACCCATCATTTTGGTTTGTGTAGATTCTGAATTTTCATAACGCAATTTTTGCCCTTGGCTGTTATCGCTTTGCTGTCCAACGCCTCGCAACGATTGCTTGATTTCCCACGCATGTTATGCAATACTTTTTTTTCCCACGCTTATTGCAGAGTGCTCTTTTCCCTGCGTTAGGGGCAGAATGCCTCTTTTTCCGCGCTTAATGCAAAGTGCTTTCCAGCATTTGGCATTGATTGCTTGTTCCCGCTCCCGGTACACAGTGCTTCTCTTCCCACCTCTTATAAAATGCTTCTTTACCCGCGCTTGGTACTGAGAGATTCTTTTCCCGCGCTTAGTTCAGAGTGATTCTTTCCTTGCGCTTGAAATCGATAGCTTGTTTTCCCGCGCTTCGTATCGAGCCCTTCCTTTCCCTTCATTTCTACTGAGTTCTTCCGATTTTTCCCGTGCTTCCTATTGACTGCTTTTTTACGACCAGCAGTTTTTCCTCGTTTTAAGTCCCCACCGATGCAAAGAGATGATTTAATTTCTTTGCTTGTCATTGGATGACCAATCCCTGTGATGTAATCTGAATATCAATGTTGTCGTACGCCTTTCAGATTGAGGACATGTGCTTGACAAAGAAGAGAAGCCTCTGCCGATCTGTTCAACTTTACTGCAACTTTGAACAAGAACTTGGCAACAATTGAATAAGAATATTCGAGAACCAACGCAGAAATAAAAAGGCTAAGGATTTGAACAATGTTAAATGATAAATTTATGTCAGTACGCAAAAGGTCTTAATTTAGGCCATTTTAATATCAATTTAAGCTACTACAATTTTTTTTCCAAGCTCCATGGGTACACTTATTAAATTAATTTACATGCCTGTAAACTAAAGAATAAATTGCGCCAAGTGGTTAAAGTTTCAACTTTTGATGTCACCACCGTAGCAAAAGCATTTCATCATCATCAGCTGTTATCAATTGAGTTGATGACGTAAATTGGCCACTGTAAAGAGTTTACAAGCCAATCGCTCTGATGAAGGGCTAACGATTGAAACGTCAGCTTTTAAACTCTTTACGGTAGCCAATTTACGTTATCAACCCAGTTGGCAATACTTTATTACCCTGTTATACCCTCCCACCGATGCAGCATCACAGTTTCTCTAGAAACTTACCCCCTAAATTCATCATCATCAGGTTAAATTAGCTCGGCTTTCCATGACAAGTTTCTTCCCTTCTCCTCTGTCATTCCCATAACATTTAGAAGTTTTCCATATCCTGCGTCCTGAATCGTCAATCAATTGGTCGATGTTTGTCCTCTTTGGGCGTCTTGCTGCGTTTCTGCCATTTGGAAGACACATTTGGAAGTTCTCCATATCCTGCATCCTGAATCGTCAATCATTTGGTCGATGTTTGTCCTCTTTGGGCGTCTTGCTGCGTGTCTGCCATTTCTGGAAAAGTTTAACTCGTTGAAACGTTATATTTAGTGAAATAGATCAATTTCAATATATAGAAACATGGTGAAAATGTTTGTCACAAATTTGGTGATGATTGAACAAATACTACTTAAGAATCTTTTAGAAAAAACATATTTTTCAAAAAATGAAAATTAACGGTCCAAAAAAGGGAACAAAATTATGTTGCAGTCCCAGGTTAGTTTTTCAAACAAGGTTCGCTATTTTTGCAAAAATATGGTTGAAATCCATACGATCTGATTGTTTCCTTAGTCAACTTTGTCGTTATCTACCTTTGAAGCTCATTGCAGGGTTCTGTTTGCCGAAAGCTCCAGCTTTATGTATAACTCGCTCGCCGCAAATCTTTTCTAGGTCATATTCTTGGTCAGTATTTTTGTTGGTCTCAGTTACGCGAAATCGTTTAAACCGCTCTGTGAGCGCTTGAAATCCCATCAGAGTTCTCCTGTGTCTATCTAGCGAGATCAGAAGCACTCCTTCACCACAGCCATTTGGCACAGTAATAATCCATATTGGACAGGAGTCTCCGTAAGAACCTTCACACTGATGAGTCTGGAACCATTTCGTAAGCGCTCATTAGGAAAGAATACCTTCGATTTTAATGCACCTGCCAAAGGTTTTGGAAATAACTTCCGGGAAAAATTTTTTCGCCAATCTTAGCGCTGGGTTGCAACTCCAGCAACGCATAGATTGGCAGGTTTATACTGTTTTAGTGTACTCTCCTTGTAAATCAAAATCATCTACACGAAAATTTAAAAAACAAAAATATATCATTTCCTCGTTTCGATCTCGATACATTGGTGAGATACAGATTTATGCTCAGTTTAAATTTCAAAGCTGCCGTTTCGAGCGTTGGCCAAAACGTCAGCTTTGAAACTCTTTACGGTGGCCAATTTACGTTATCAACTCAGTTGATAATTCCTAATTATCATGCTATACAGTCTCTTTAGAAACTTACCCCCTTTTATGTTCAGTTAAACTTCCTAAACTTTCTTGTGTTTTGAGACACATGGCGCACAAGCACCACCTCTCGTCACAAACTGTAATAGACTTCCCATTAATACCGAGTGACATCCTCATACTACCCTGTTCCCAAGTCATCCCACATACTCTCATTCGTAGGAGAGACCTGAACTACCGTGAAGTACCAAGTTTCGAGAGGAAGCCGGTACCGGTAGAGACAGATGTTCTGGTTACGGGTTGTGCTCTTGAAACGTAACTTGCATTCATTGCTTTTTTTTGAGACATCGCTAACACCTTGACACTTCTTTAACACATCCCCTTCGTACCTCTACTCTTTCTTCCTGAAACTTTGACATGGTCTACCTTGCTTTGAACGAGATACACAAACTACGAACTGACACACGCGGGTGAAAAATGATGACCTTCTTGTTAGAAAGTGGCTGTGAGCCACTGAACTCGGAAAATGAATCATGAAAGGGATGAGATATCGAGGCTAACGAACCGATTTCGTATTTTAAAACCTCTGGTTACTCTTTATCGATATGATCTGCTCCTAGAAAACAATACTTGCCACAATAAATCGCGCTTCTCCTCTCGAACATGAGGTCTGAGAACCGATACTTAGCGGCAGAAAGTGTCTTTTGTCTTGTTTTGTCTTTTGTCTTTTCCTTTTTCTCCTTTCCGAAAGCATATGTTTGCCCGGAATGTCAACGTTTTTATTAATCGGCATTTAAGAATCCAACTGCTTAATTATTATCAGGCTCAGCGGTTTTCTTTCCTTTTCGTGTTTTTGAAAAACAGAGAGGGTTTTCATCATTCCCACATTACGTTTAGTTTTTAGATTCTAAAATGATACATTTTGTGAGGCTTGGAGGCAAAGCGAAGATCATTTTAATTACGCACACGCGCAAAGGCGATTTTGATTTGAATCGCGAGTATGATTCACAACCAAAATTGCACGACTTTCAAAATTCAGTCGACTTAGTAACAATAATTTTTAGTTTGCACAAACAGTTTATCGATACAGCTAGTTTGTAAAAGATTGCAAAACTCGTCTTTCGTTTTCCTGCAATTTAATGAATTGTTTTCTTTTAAACAAGTCTTGAAATCTGATAAGTTGTTTTGTTTTAGTGAAGCCGTCTATTTAGTAAAGCTGCTTAAGTCTTATTGGTCACATTTCGATTGAGGTATGATTAATTAACACTTTATAATCCTAAAATTTGCTGGTCCCCGAAAGCTAGAGAATGCTTGGGATATAGCAATAGGACACTATTTAACAGAACAGATAGCACAGAGGAGAGAACTTTGCAAGCACATGGAGATCGAAATAACTGGAACGGAAAAAAAAAGTATTCTCCTTCACTGATTCCATTGTGGTCGAAGGTCAAAAATTATAAATAAATCGGCAATGGAAAAAAATAGAGACAGGATTTTTTAAAATGTATCCTCAATAATTGAAAAAGTGAGGGAGGGGGGGCTCTTTTGCATTTTCCAAGAACGTGGATTAAAGTTCTTGACTTCAACCTACAATAAAAAAAATGGGAAAATGATTCGCGCTTCTCGGTGAGTTATGAGTTTCTTGTTCTGACTGGAAGAAAAACAACGGAAAGTTGTTTGTTTGTGTTTTTTTTGTATTGTATAATCTCTTCGGTAGTTTTCAAGTGCGTGCCCTTCATTTTAAAGGCAAGTAAGCCCTATTTAGGTTGAAACAAAAGTTTCGAAATTTCAACATTTGGTCGTATGATAAAATGCTTATTGACAGACTTTGGTCAAGCCGGTTGGGAAAATATTTGGCCCTCGGTCATGATGCAGGGACCTCACTGCACTTGGTTCGTAGGTCATGACTTCGAGCAGATATTTTCACGTCCTATCCTCCCACTCATTCAATAAGCGTATATTGTCGTATCATCATATGATCGTACGGACCCGCGTGCGAAATCCCATAGAAAACCATAGTGAAAGCTGATGTTTGTAGGGGCCAGACAGATTGACGTGAACCGGTCCGGAAAAAGCCGTGGGGCCCTACACTAACACGGCTTGTTCCAAAAACTAAAAGGAAAAAAGAAAAAAAGTAAAAGAAAGAACTCATGTTTTTCGATAAATTGCGAGTTTCTTGCTCTGACTCTTAAAAAACGAAGGAAACGTTTTCATTGCATAATCATTTTATTTGAGGTTGTCCCGTGCGTGCCCGTCTATCGCGTCCTATTTAGTTTAAAAGAAGACTTTCAAAATTTTCAACATTCAGTGGTCATATGATAAAATACTTCTCAGCTTATGCCGGACGGGAAAATATAAAAATTTTCTCGTCCGACCCGACCAAATTCAGCCAATAAGTACATTATCATTCATAACCTTTGCAAATATTCAAAGTTGGTGATTTTAAACTGTAGTTTAAGTCGTCTCAGTTGATAAAATACCGCATTATCTGATAGTAGACCACATTTAATTTATTCTTTCTTTGTTTCATTTTGTTTTCATTTGCTTTGGATGTTTGTCGTTATTAATTTGTTTGTAATTTTTTTCATTAATCTGGTGGGTGATATCGATGGGTTGATTTTGTAACAGTTCTTTTATTTGCTTATTTACAGGCATGAACTAGTTTCGCTCACGCTGTCTTTGTGCTCTTTCCAGGGCCCACTCTCTTCCTTCCGCGAGAAAGTACCCTGTTTGCGGCTAGGCCTTTGCCGATTGTGCTCGGCAACTTTTGCGCAACTTGGCATTTTGAGAAACTTTTTCAAGTTCTAGCAACCTCAAGCAATTCTGCCTCTCTGAGCAATTTTTTAAGTAAACTATAGATTCAGAGCACATATCAATTTAAGCTCGTAAAAGTCAACGATTTCAGAGAAAACTTCAATTTATACGATTTTGTTTATCAGCCTTTGAAAACAAAACCTGTCACTCGACAATGTTTGCAGGTCTGTCGTAAGACTTAAAATTATCCTTAAATCTCATCCAATTTGCGAGCAAATCCTTAAAGCTGAGTTTCACTTCATTTTTCTTGACCCATGTTAGCAATTATTGTGAACAACGAAAAATAATGCTTTTGATTGACGTTTATGTAAAAAAAAGTCGAGAAATTGAGATAGCAATGTTTGAAATGTAGATAGTAACCTTTTGGTTTTTGGAGATTTTCCAGCAAATTTCTGGTATTTCAGCGAACAACTTTCCAGCGCTTTCCGAGCACAATCGGGACAGGCCTGGTTGCGGCTGGTCAAGTGCTTATGTAGAATAAGGAACGCTGCAGAGAGGGTGGATCCTCGACCGATCGACAAGGCACAAGTGCATTTTCAAAAGTGCGGTTACGTTCATTAGTAGACTTCAATAAACGCCTTAATATATAACCAGATTTCAAACCAGAGAGA